CAGCCAACGATGATGAAGGAATCACCTCCATAACTGTGGCAAGTAAAAATGCAGAGGTTGATTTATCAGAGTACTGCTGATGTTTAACATTCCTAAACCTGGTGTTCAGTTCAATTTAGGTTTGTCTGAAAAACGGTGTGTCTTTATACATGGACTTATAAAGTATATGTATATATATATATACACTTATACACTGTGTATATATATATATATATACACATATTTACATAGAAAATTGTATATATATATATATATTTACATAGAAAATTGTATATATATATATATACATACATACATAAACATACAGACACCATTGCATACTCCAGTTTGAGTAGGGAAAGTGATGACAAACCAGCAGGTTTTAGGGGTAGCTCCGCCGCTCGCCGCTCTCCGAGGCTCTCGGAGAGCTACTCTTCTTGCAGTCCATCAAATTGTCGAACAACAATCTCCGCGGGAGCATCCCTAAGCAGCTTGGACACTTGAAGCACTTGCGAGAGTTGTATCTGGATCACAACCAACTCTCCGGCGAGATCCCGAAGGAACTGGGTCTCATGACGTCTTTAGAGGTTCTGGGGCTGTCCTCCAACCAGCTCGAGGGCGAGGTTCCGCCACAGTTAGGGTTGCTGACAAAGTTGCGTTGGTTGAGCATCGCAGAGAACAAGCTGACGGGTTCAATTCCCAAAGGGTTCGTCCGCTTGAAGAAGCTGGAGCGTCTCTCGCTATCGAGGAATCAACTTGAAGGTGGGGAGGGTCTTTGTCTGTACAGCAATCATGACGGAGGTACTTGGGCTGTCCTCGTGTTTCCCTTTTCACGATCATATTCTCAACTCGGTCCAGTCTTCCAACGTGTTCTTTTGCAGGAGCACTTCCTGCAGAGTTGAGCGAGCTGTCCATGCTGGAGGCCATCCAATTGGAAGACAACAACTTTAGTGGTGAAATCCCGCCAGAGTGGGGTCGCCTGGGACAGTTGGACCAGCTGGAGCTAGGGCGGAATCATCTCACTGGAGGCATCCCCAAGGAGTTGGGGAAACTGCTGAAGATACGCGTTCTCCGCTTGGATCAAAACCAACTCACAGGTAGCATCCCCAAGGAGCTGGGGGACATGAAGTCCATTAGATTCTTTGAATTTTTAAAAATTCGGGATGGGAATGATTGATTGAAAGCTGATTTGGCACCTGCAAAAACTGAAAGATTAGAGTCTAAGAGTCAACGGGTAGTATTGAGGAGACATTCGTGGTCCCCCGTAATGGTAGCGCATTTTAGGCTTGACCTGATACAGTTTTTGACATCGATATGCCCAACTTGGACAAAACATGGCAGGCGGCAGTTGCCAACTTGAGCTTTCGATCACTAGTAATTTGGTTTGTCCAAAAATGGACCCCAACCAGATAAAGGTTTTACTTGCAAGAATAGAACATATTGATTTTCAGGATATCATGTTTTTGGCCAGCTCAGCCAAGTTATCGGGTGACTGAGGATTCTTGGCCCTGTATCAAAATTACCTGACTGGCGCAATCCCTGTGGAGCTTTCAAAACTTCAGCACCTGGAACATCTGCCCCTTTTCCACAACCGCTTGAGTGGCGAAATCCCCCCTCAACTGGGGAAATTGAAGGCGACTTGGCTGAGATGGTCAGTTTGAGATCTTAAAGAGGGGCACTGAACGCTGCTGTTTTTCCAGCTTTAAAGGAATATGTAGCAGTGTCACAATCGGTCACAATCTTAAGCAGGGCAGCAAACTTTTGGAGCAAACTTTGCGAAATACCACGGGGGCAATGCGCAACAATCATTGTTTGCAGGTAATGTGTATAAATATATCTAGATAGATTTGCAGGTAATACGTGTATATATATATATACACTACACATATACATACATATGTATATATATGTATACTCACACACATATATATATATATATATGTACATATATAAGCATTGTATACACATATGAGAGTACTTAAAGAGGAATAAACCAATATGCTTCTTAAAACTTTTACATAACATCCGTCTTGCGGAAAAAAAACTACGGACCTACGGATCACTTTCCAATTCCATCAACAGCCCAACCAGGAACTCAAGAAGCGCAACTTTAGTGGCACCGTGCAGGAATTTCACTGGCAATCTCCGAACTTCAAATGGGAATATCATATAAATATTCTGTAACTTGGTATTTCTTTCTTGGCATTTCCCAGATAATCTTATCACCGGGTACTCATACTCCATGGTCAGGCCTTGCAAACCTTGGCCTTGTACAAAAACCGGCTCCACGGCCATCTGCCTTTGGAGTTGGCTGAGCTGTCGCAGTTAAGAAACCTTTGGCTGGGGCAAAATGCCTTGGAGGGAGGCATTCCAGCAGAGTATCCTGCCCGCTTGAAACGTTGAGCTGGGTTTGCTCTTCAAAATGACGGATGGCCCCGAAATGATGCGGATTAAGGATGATTAAGGTATCGGGAAAACATGTTCTCCTCATAATTTGATTATTTTTGTGGCAGTTGCTTGAATCCAACAAGACTTGCGGGATTTTGCCCCATGAAAGAAGTATAGTTTAATTTTCTGCCGGCATCGGCTCCGAGGTTGGGAAAGCTTCAGCATTTGCAGATGTTGGAGCTTGACCAGAACCAACTGACAGGGCAGATCCCCAAGGAACTTGGTGAGTTAAACGCCCTGATATACCTTAAACTCAACGAGAACCGCTTGAGTGGCAGCATTCCACCAGAATTGGGGCAGTTGGTGAAGCTGCAGGTGATCTGCTTGGAACAGAATCAGTTGAGAGGTGACTCAACTTTGAAAAATGGACAGGTGCCGACAGATGTAAAGTTTGGAGGAGTTTTTTGCGTGGCGCATGTACGGGGTCCTCGAACTTTAGATCGTTTGTGGGAAACCACAACTCAACTCAGGCTGACTCAGCCTGTTCGATTCCTTAGCAAGACAAGACATAGACTGTCTTAATTGTTTTTTAGAATCCTAAATTTTCAGCCCAGAGCACCGAATGATATTGTCAACATTAGAGATTGGGTTGGGGCCAGGGTCCGAATATTAAGGCTTTCCAGGGGAAGCTGTCGGTCTTCCTCTGCGATTTCCCTTTGATTTGGAGCCATCGCAATCGAATGAGGCCAGATTCCAACCAGCTTTGGGCGGCTGATAGATGTAACGATACTACGGCTTGAAAACAACCAGCTCACTGGAGAGATTGGGAGCATTTGGCCACTCAGTGATATCAGGAATGGCGAGAGGAAAGCTGAATGCCCCCCATGACCTTTTGATTTTGAGCTGTGCTGCCGCAATGTTTTTTCAATACATTTCAATTTTCTATTTGGTATATATACATATACATATATATTTACATATATATATATACATGTATATATATATATATCTATACATATCTATCTATATACTCATGTATATATATATATACATGTATTGAACCATATAGTTATATAGAGTATCTATATGCTTGTATGCATCACCTATGTAACATGCATATACAGTACATGTACATATCCATTCCATTTCCAACATCTGTCCAGTCTATCCAGGCCCTGCATGTGCATACATCTATATATTCACACATATCCTACAGCAATCTAGCTCTTACTCTATCTATCTCTTTGTATCTCTTTGTATCTCTTTCTATCTCTATCTATCTCTATTTACCTTTTACCTCTCTCTCTCTCTCTTTCTCTCCATCATCTTTCTCTCTGTCCCTCTAGACTCTATCTCTCTCTCTCTCTCTCTATCTATGTTTATCTGTCTATCTGCCTATCTGTCTATCTGTCTATCTGTCTATCAGTCTATCTGTCTATCAGTCTATCTGTCTATCAGTCTATTAGTCTATCTGTCTATCTGGCTACCTACCTATTCATCTATCCATCGATCCATCCACCCATCTATCCATTTATCCTATCTGTCCTATTTGTCCTATCTATCTTATCTATCCTATCTATCCCGTCTATCGTATCTATCCTATCTATCTTATCTATTGTATCTATTGTATCTATTGTATCTATCTTACCTATCTTATTTATCTTTATCTATCCTATCTATCTTTTCTATCTTATCTAGAGTATCCTTTCTATCTTATCTAATCTATCTATCTAATCTATCTTATCTTACCTATCTTATCTTACCTATCTTATCTATCGTGTTTCTCTTTTTCAATCTTACCTATCTTATCTTTCTTATCTACCTTATCCATCTTATCTAATCTATCTATCTACCTATCATCTTTCCTTATGCGCAAAACTATTTCTTGATGTGTCTTGACTTTTTCCTATTTAGTTGAAGCTGAGGGTTCCGCCAAAAGCGCGGCCACCTTAGGCAACTGCAGAAGTTACAAGACCTCTACCTGGGGGGAAATCGTTTGCGAGGACCCGGGGTTATGGTGGTTTAACTGGGATATTTTTTCATGGGATAGCAAACCAATAAACATATTTGGGCGTGAGAATGGAGATGTTAGCCACCACATGGCAATTCATTCAATAGGGACAATTATGATTAACCAGTGGTTGGATTGGGGGTATTTCTCAGACAAACCTACATGAGGATTTTGTCAACAAGACTTGCGAGGCTCAGCTGGTTGCAAAGATTCATGGGAAGTCAGTTGGCGACATACTTGGTCTGTTTCAACCGGCGGTGTAGTTGGGGGCGGGCACCTGAAATCGTCCTAATTTTGACTAATAGTGGATTTTCCCATTAAAAATGGTGATTTTCCATTGCTATGTTAGTTCACCAGAGGGTAATCTTTCTTTGATTTCGAAACTTGTGGAGTTTCAGCGGTCCTACGGGATCTTTTTGTGTTTTTGGTGGGGCCCTTTTTTCCCAAAAGATCATGCGAAGGGTTTTTCCCAAAGAACTGCCTGCCAAATTCAACTTTTCACTTCATCTAAATAACATCTCCACATCTTTTACATCACCTACATCAACTTCATCTGCATCACATACATCATCCACCCCATTAAGACAACCTCCATCTACATAAAATACAACATCCTACAACATCTACATCGCTTACATTACCTACATCATCTATAGGTGATCAACTTCTACATATCGCCTACAAAAATCCTACAATGTCATTTGCACAGGAGCTGTTACACAGGAGTTCTACAAAACTCCTACTTCTCAAGTTTCTATATTTCTCCTTTTTGGCGGCAGGGGCAGCCAGGCGGTGGCTGACGAAACGTGACCCTCTGCGGGAATTGTACGTCTTGGACGTCCAAACGTGTGGCCAAGCGCGAATTTTGTTTGCGCTGGAGCAACCCTCTGTGGAAATCGTTCGTGTCGGACGCGCAAGCGTGTGGGGGGAATGCGAATTTGGTTGTGCGCGTCGTCACAGTTTCGCGCGAAATGACGGGCGAGCGTCAAAAACTGATGTAAAGTTGTCACTTTGAAACTTCAGATGCAAGCCTTTCGGTGTAAAATTGGGATTTTACAACATCATGCGTAAATATCAGAAAGCTGGTGTAAAGTTGCACGTTTGAAACCTCAGCAGCAACCCTGTCGCACGAAATGATGGTCGAATGTCAAAAACTGAGGTAAAATTGCAATTTTCCAACCTCAGACGCAACTTTTTCGCACGAAAAGATGGCTGAATGTCAAAAACTGGGTGTAAAATCGCGGTTGTGAGATGTCAGATGCAACACTGTCGCGCGAAATGCTGGTCCAACGGCAGAAGCTTAGGTAAAATTGCGATTTTGCAAAGTCAGACGCAACCCCCCTTCGCACGAAATGATGGTCGAATGTGAAAAATTGCGGTCAAATTGCGATTTCGAACTCTGTGAAAGCTTCTCTGTGTAAAATCTTCTCTTTCTAAAGGTATCTATGTGTAACAGTTTCTTTGTGTAAAGGCGTCTGTGTATAAAAGTTTGTGTGTAAAAGCGTGTGTGCGTACAAGCTTCTGTGTGTAGAAGTGCAAAAGCTTCTCTGTGTAAAAGTTTGTCTGTGTAAAAGCTTTTTCATCAATCTTCTCTGTGTCAACGTTGCTCTGTGTAAAGGCATCTCTGTGTAAAATCTTTTCTGTGCAAAAGCTTGTTTGCGTAAAGGCCTCTGTGTGTAGAAGCATCTGAGTGTAGAAGCATCTGTATGTAAAAGCGTCTGTGTGTAAAAACTGCTCTGTGTAAAAACTTCTCTGTAAAGGCGTCTCTGTGTACTGTGTGTAAAAACTTTTGTGCCTAGTAGCTTCTGTGTGAAAAAGTTTAAAAGTCTTTGTGTGAAAACGCTTCTGTGTGTAAAGGCGTGTGTGTGTCTGTGTGTGTAAAAACTTCTGTCTTTCCCTGTGTGAACGTTTTTTGTGTTAAGGTGTCTGTGTGCAAATGTTTCTGTGTGTTAAACAAACTGTGTGTAAAAACTTCTGTGTGTAAAAACTGCTCCGTGTTAAGGCCGCTCTGTGTAAAAACTTTCGTGTGTGTTGAGAAGCTTTTGTGTATACAAGCTTCTCTGTCTAAAAACTTCTCTGTGTAAAAGCTTCTGTGTAGATCTTCTTTGTGTAAAATCTTCTCTTTGTAAATCAAAGGTGTCTATGTGTGAAAGCTTCCCTGCGTAAAACCTTCTTTTGTAAAGGCGTTTGTGCGTGACAACTTTTGTCTTCCACTTCGAGCACTGCTTGCTACTGCTACGTCGGTGTTTTGTGCGAAACAACCAAGTGTGCGACGCTGGTTGGTGTCTGTTCTGTTTCGTCCAGTTCTTAGATCGCCATGTCTAGGTTCGTTTTGATGTCACTCCAAGGACAAAGGAGGTGGCAAACGCACATTCAGCAATAACAAACACACATTCTCATCATCATTCATCATTCATTAAGAACTTCATTCATCGTTACTCATCTTTCATCATCATTCATCATCCGTCATTTTCAAACCTTTACATCCTCTTTTGATCTAATCCCTCCGGCTTTTCTTCGGGCCACTGTTGTTTAGTAGGGAAACCGTTTTTGTTTCTACCAGCCAAATCTGAAGTTTTTCCTCAAAGCTGGGAACAACCCACCAAGACCCGCAAGGAGAAGTACCGCGAGTTCTCCACATGCAAAAATTGACACATTTAGATTTGAGCCGCAATCTCCTCAGTGCCTGGGTAAAATTATGTTCTGAGGATGGGATCAATGTCTGTCAGAGGTTCAACAAGTTTTCAGGAGCCTGTTTTCCAATCCGATACCACTTATCGGTGTTCAATTCCTTCTGTTTGTTTGTTCGCCAGCATGAAATCACCTTTCGACAAGGAAGTACGTGCCAAATCACCCGCAAAGTTCAGTGAGTGTCATTGCGGTGTGACATATCAAGAAATGTTCCAAAAGCAGATTGGGTTAGGTAGCCCATGCAGAACCAATCATTATCCCATTGTTGTACAGCTTCGCACACCGGCGATGCCATAAGGGTTGCCTGTCCTCACAAGCAGTGATATTGGTTGCTGTTGTTGTTGTTGTTGTTGTTGCTGTTGCTGCTGCTGCTGCTGCTGCTGCTGCTTTTGTTGTTGTTGTTGTTGCTGTTGTGGTTGTGGTTGTGGTTGTTGTTGTTGTTGTTGTTGGTTGTTGTTGTTGTTGTTGTTGGTGTTGGTGTTGGTGTTGGTGTTGTTGTTGTTGTTGTGGTTGTGGTTGTTGTTTGTTGTTTGTTGGTGTTGGTGTTGGTGTTGCTGTTGCTGTTGTTGTTTTTGTTGCTGTTGCGGTTGTTGTTTTTGTTGTTGTTGTTGCTGTTGCTGTTGCTGTTGTTGTTGTTGTTGAATTAGTTGAATTAGTTGAATTTGAATGAACAATTGTGTCATTTAAGAAAGTAGTACACATCATACCGATTAAACCCTTCTCTCTCCTTCATATTAAACGGACGGCTATTTTTTCGGGATTTTCTTTTCCGTTTGGGGCATGCTTTTTGCATTTCTGTTTCTCTGCTTCTTCGCTGTTTTTTCTTTCCAGCCTTTTTCCGTTTCCTTGCTTCTTTGCTTTTCTGCTTTTTTGCTTCTCTGCTTCTCCACCGTTCTGCTTCTCTGCTGTTTTCTTTTTTTTGCTTCTCAACCCTAAGTAAACCCCAAGAAGCGCAATATAGATACACCCCAAGCCAACCCTCAAGTAAAACCCGACCAATCCTCTCCAAAAAACTAGAGAGCAACCTTATGTAGACCCACAAAAAAGTCACAAAAACTTTAAAATCGCTTAAGATCCGAAACTTTTGCCAAACAAACCCTAAACCAAGCCTAAATAAACCCAAAGTAACATCCAAAAAGAAACAAAAGCAACCCAAAGTAACCCCAGATCTAAAACTTATTTTAAAAGACCCTACACCAACCCCAAATAGATCCTAAACCCAGCACCCTGTAGGCTACTGTCGGCACAATTTTGTTCCGCTGTATAGGCTATAGGCGTTTCATTTTCGAAACTTCCACCCCTGGCTTGCCCGGGTACTACTTGTATGATATTGGCCATAGATAATCTCTATATTAAAACGTATCCATCACCATTCCAAGATGGTTAACCCATCTTAAACCCCTGAAGCGACGTTTTTCCCTTCGCACTTTTGATTTCTTGGTTCTATATCCCATTATATGGTTAGGTGTATGCAGAAGGGCAAGTAGAGGCGATGTCCAAGTATAGGTGGGGTTGTGAGATGTTATGAGTCAGTTCCTAACTGGAATGAGCTAAGATATATCCACGATAACTCCCATTTTTTTTGTTAAATCAGCATATTTGCCGCGGTTTCTTGGTTAGTTTACACTCCAATATTTTCGGATGGGATAAGGATTCTACCCATGACCTGCTCCGGGACGGCCTGTGGTATCCGCTGGAGGTGGCGAGCTGCCACGCTTCGATTCACCGGAATTGGAGTTCCTGGACCTCAGCGACAATCTCTTCGTTCCTTAGAAGAACTTTCGGTTGCCTGTTGTGCCTGTTGTGCCGAGTTGTGCCGAATCATGGAAACGCGGGGAACACCTGGGAACAATGGGGAAACAGGGGGAAACATAGGGAAACATGGAGAAGAACCCCCACAATCAAGTTACCACCAGAAAATTTTGATGGGTTTATCATTAGCGTGGGTTTTATAATCGCCTTCGGCGTGTTCCACCGGCCACCATGGAAAGAGCTATTCTGCAAGCCACAAACAGCACTTGCGCAGGCCTAGGAAGAACGTAGTTTTTGTGTAAAACGTGGTTTTGTGCATAGTACCGTTTTTGTGTAAAACAGCGTTTTGCGCAAACCATGGCTTTTATGCAAAGCATGCTTTTTGTGTAAACCACGGTTTAGGTTTAAGCCAAAGCATGAGTGTGTAAACCAGGGTTTTGGGAAAAGGCCATGTACATAGAGGCTACGCGTGTGACAGGCCACCTATAGCAAGTATTGGACATAAGAACCGACACAGCAAACCGGTGGCAAAAAACCGCGCCAAGGGGAAATCTAGACAAAACCGAGGGTCAAGACAGACAGTACAACTAAGATCCACAAGACACGATGGCAGGCCGGCGGATTGATGCTTGACTGGGTGGTTAGCATCGGTTCTAAGTGGTGTTTTTAGAGAGCGGGGGACTGTGGGGGAAAGCGTTTTTTTCCACTGATGTTACTTCAAGATCTCATCTATCAGGTGCCACACCCAAAGGTTGGGGCCCCGTTGTCAGGTTGGTCCGCTGGCTGAATCTGTGGAGTCTCTGTGCCACTTCGCTGCAGCGTGGCCAGGGATGGCAAAATTCAAATTTGGGACTTAACATTTTATATTGTTTTCTTTTTAAATGATTGTTGTCATCATTATTGGGCATATAATTTTATTCAAAGTCGTTGTCATTATCAATATCATGATCATTGTCTATTAATTACTACTATTATAAAATTGTCATTATCATCATTACCACCATCACTATTATCATAGTTATCATTGTTATTTGTTATTTATCTATTACTTATTCTGTATGGCGTGCTGTTTATAATCTATTGTTTGTTACTGTTTTTTATATTTCTTATATTTGTGCATATATATATATATATATATTTGTTTACTTATTTATTTTTGCTTATTTATTTATTTATTTATTCATTCATTCATTTATTTATCTATTTTTTTAAAAAATATGTGCTTGTTTGTTTATTTATTGGTTCAGTCATTTATTTTTTCAGTCCCTTTTGTTTATTCATTTATCCTTTTATTTCTTTATTTTGTTTTTTTCATTTACTTATTTCTTTGTTATTTTATTCATTTCTTCTTTATTATTTGTTTATTTGTTTTATTTTTTAGTCGTATTATTATTTTTATTATTAATTATTTTTATGTTTTGTTTAGATATTGCGTTTATTTTGATTTATGATTAATACTTATTGCTATTTCGTCTTTTTTCATCTTACTTATTGTTATGTGTTTTTTTAAACCAGTATTGTCTTTATTGTTATTAATTCACTATTATTATCGTTACCCTTCATTATCTATATATTAGGTCTTGGCACCAGCGTGAGCAGGTATGTGACATAGTTTCACTCCGTTGCCATGGAGCAGCACTTCGTTTTGAACTTTCTACTACGGTCAGCTTTGTCTACTAAGGTTTAATGTCCGGCTTCAAGCACTGCTTCCAGTCATGGTATTGGTCAAGACATCTATTACTGGTATTGAACTCCCTTCGAGGCTCTTTGGGCCTCGCCTTTCTGAGCTTGTCGTGTACGCATGTCGGTTACGCTCTCTTTGGTTGCCTTTCGCTCTTCTCCAAACCGCGGCCATTCCCAGCACGAAGATTTCGACATTTAGTGGAAGCACGAAGCCTCCTCACACAGGGTTTGGTGGCCCTGGCATGGCTCTTCTCTGTTTGGCTGGATGGCATGCTGTCGAAATTCTCATAGCATGGCTGGTCGGAGTGGTAACAAACTGGCTTGCAGCCCTCCGCCCCCCACATCGGGGTATGCTCACACACGGGGGCAGACCGGGAGACCATGTCATGGGTCTTTTGCAACTTTCAACAGTGCATTCCTTTTCTTAGTCTTACAATCTGTGCTTTGTATATTCTCCTTTGATTGGAAGCAAGGCAGTTCAAAGAAATGTAGCGAGTGGCCACGGATCCCGCATTTCTGTCCAAGTGACGCGCTGGAGCTCTTCATTTCAGATGCCTTATATATTGCATGTAGGGAAGTTGTCACCCTGGTTCCCTGCATGTGTCGCTTGAAAAGGGTGCATGTTAGCGCGCAGCAATTTAATTTCGGTCTTTTGTAGAAGCCTGTGAAATAGTAGCCGTTCCTCTTTAGTGAGCTCCTGAGGTGCAGTCCAAATGGCAGATCCAGGATTGCATTTCGCTAGCCCCAAAAAACTCTAGAATAAAATTCATTCTTTCTTCAATATTAATTCTATTATTACCATTACCATCATTATTTTTTTTTGTTTGTTCCTGTCATATTTTGATATTAATTATTGATACTATTATTGTTTTTTTGGTTTTATTCCCCACATCTTTGTGTGGGGTTCTTGTTTTTGGTTGTGCACGCCCGCCTGCCTCCTGCCTCCCGCCTACTCCCACACAACCCTCACACACACGCAACTTACTCACACATAATTGGCTCTGGTGGCGGGTTTGGTTCCCGTTTGGCACCGTTGTCGCCGCGGCTGTTTGTGTGGCAGGCGTGGCCCTTGGCGACATCGAAATGCGCTTTGCATGGCAGGCGTGGCACTTGGCGACAGCGACGTGCATTCTGCGTGGCAGGCGTGGCACTTATGGCCCTGGCTGGCTCTGGTCGCGCGCTTGGTTCCCGTTTGGCGCCGTTGTCAGGCAGGCAGGCAGTTAGGCAGGCAGGCAGGCAGACAGACAGATAGACACATGCATACACACATACATACATTCTGTATCCGCCAAAGACCTGCTGCAGATCGTCCGCTCTCATGACGGTCTGCGCGGGCTGCTTGACATTGCACATGCTGCCAAGACCGGCGGTTGCCGTTCACCTCTACTCATGGTCTTGGCACATCAGTTGTGGCTACATAACATGATCACCCACCACTTATCCACAACACTTGTACATACGACACTTTAGCACACAATACCTTTCTACACCACACCTTTACACACACTTCTCTCCCGCACAACTCCTTCACACACAATTCTTGGACACACACTTTCCCATGCAATACTTGTACACACAATACTTTTACACCCACTCCTGTCCCACACCACTCTTCCACCATTTCTTTTCTCTTTCCTGCCTTTCCCATCCCAGTTTCACCATTCTTTGGCTACTTATTGGAAGAAGTTGACATGTGGGGTTATCCGGTCCTTTAATCTGTTTTGGTCTAAGACTAAGAAGTATTGTGGCTGGAGTAGGAGGCTCCCGACTTTCTCGTTTTGTCAAAAGCCAGGTAGCTTGCAAAACTCCCCCCACCACCCCATTCGGATTCTTGACAAGGACCCGTTGAAACTTGAGACATGTTCAGCGTTGCTCAACTCAATTGACAAAATTGTTTCAATAAGGTAGTTATTGATTCGGCTCCATTTTTCTGACCCTCGAGATTGGATGCATTGCCACTAGAAATGACCGGGTTTGTGGTTCCTTTCCACACCCCCTTTTTGGAGCCGCGCTATGGGCCCCAAATCAGCACCAAATAGGTCACAGTTGCAAGGGTTTTTCCCAACTTCGTCTCAGCCAAAACCACTTAACAGGCGCTTGGGCTCGCTTGGGCACTGGGTTGGTGCATGCTTGTGCATCAGCTTCGCTGTGTATGTTGGACCGGGAATGGGTCCATGGGTTTCAAGGAATTTAGAATACAAACGAAGGTAAGGATGAGAAAGACAACAAATAAAGACCATGGTTTTCTCATGTTTTTTCCAGCCGATAATGCTATCGCTACATTGGTGGATGAACATCGGTCTTTCTCGCTTTTTTGAACGAGAGTGTGCCAGGGTTTGGACCCATAGCCAAATAAACCCAGTGAATCCAGGTGACCCAAGCATTTACAAATCTTCAAGAGCATTTTACTGCTGCTCCTTCCTCTCTACCTGGGGCAGGTGCACTGCCGCCTTGTTTGTTTGAAATGGAGCACTTGACACATTTGGCGCTCAGCGACAATCATCTGACGGGGTCAATCCCAAAGATTTATGCCAAAGAATTGGTGGTGCTTGCGCTGATGCTTGGCTTCTGAGATGGCAGATCCTTTTTTTGATTGGCTGAGCAGATTGGCTTGGTGAGATGTGAGCTGCACCCGAAACATTTTAATTCCAAAAGAATGAAGATCTGACTATGAACTGTTCCTTTCCTGCGTTGATGCAGATACCAATCCAAGTATCTGGAGAGATTGCATGCAACCAAAGCCTGAAGATTTGATCCGAGCGTTTGAAGTCCAAATTGCTAGACAGGAAGGTTTCAAATCCGCTGGAGTTATATCTTTTTTCATACACAGCTCCCTTCTCGACTTCGGCTGGCTTGAGCATTGAGTATGGTGACAAACTTCCAGTTAACAAGTCTGGTAGGGTAGTGGTTTACTCTGGAGAACTATCAACTCATTTCTTCCGTGCCATTCCCGGGTCTTTGTCACGTCTGGAACATGCTGATTTCAAGGCACGACAATTTTCTGAGTGGTTCCATCCCACACTCTTTGCAATCCTTGCAACACCTGGCAGTGCTCACGTTGCACGAGAATTCTTTGGATGGACAGATCTCAGATTTTTATTTGACCGGACCCTGCCCCTTGGATGCAGAGGCCCAAAGTGAAAGGCGCTTCAGTGAGATCTGTATATCAATTCTGTCGGCTAGATCAATGAAAATCAATGTATGTGTATATGAGAGTTCTTTTAACCCCGTAGTATTCGTCAAAGGAAAATTGATTTTAGGATTTTGTAATCTGGCAGCCATATGGCTCGAAACGCAGGCCGCGCAAGAGCGCGCAAGGGATAGCGCAAGGATATTATATATACAGTACATGAAAATTTCATTCTTATTTTCCTTCATATCATGTCTTAAAATATATTGCATGTATGTGGATGTTTATGTATGCCAGGAATTGGTTGGGCACGAGGATATAGAACAAAATCCAAAACGCCTCTCCTCCTGCGGTTTCCAGAAACACGGGGTATCTTCCTACACGCCATCTCAGACACATTGCCCATGTGTGTGTGTATGTGGGAGGTTTTGCAGTCGACGCCCGTACTTTATCACTCGGCAGCCTTATTTTGTCACATTTTCCCTAGGGGGAATAAGCTTACGTTCTCTCAATTCACCTTGGGGCTTTCGATTTCCAAAACGGCCGTTTTGGAATTTGCAGTCGACACCTCTATTTTGTGACACGTTCCTGAGGGGGAATAAGCTTACGTTCTCCCAATTCACCTTGGGGCCTTGGGGCTTTTGATTTCCAAAACGGCCGTTTTGAAATCAAATACTCAAACTTCAAACAAATATTGGAAGAAGGCAGTCGACACCTCTAGTTTAGCACACTTTCCTTTCTGGGGAAATGAGCTTACGTTCTCCTAATTCACCTTGGAGATTTTGATTTCCAAAACGGCCGTTTTGGAAATCAAATACCCAAACAAATATTGGAAGAGGGCCTTTCTTGTCCTTTGCGGACATGAGCGTACGTTCTCCTAATTCACCTTGGAGCTTTTGATTTCCAAAACGGCCGTTTTGGAAAGCAAGTCTTCAAATAAATATTGGAAGCTGAGATAGCCTAGTGACAGGCCCAAAAGAGGTCTGAAACTGGTCTGAAACACCTTCCTACTGACCATCTCAGACACATTCATTGCCCAAAGTGGCCGTTTTGGGAGCCCAGTATTCAAGCAAATCTTTGAAGAAAGGAGTCGATAGCCTTATTTTGTCACACTTTCCTTTGGGGGAAAAAGCTTACGTTCTCTTAATTCACCTTGGGGCTTTTGATTTCCAAAACGGTCGTTTTGGAAATCAAGTACTCAAACAAATATTGGAATGGAAGAAGGCAGTCGACACCTCTATTTTGTGACACTTTCCTTAGGGGAAGTAAGCTTACGTTCTCCAAATTGACCTTGGGGCTTTTGATTTCCAAAATGGCCATTGTGGAAATCAACGTAAGCTTGCGTTCTCTTAATTCACCTTGGCGTCTTGGGGCTTTTGATTTCCAAAACGGCCGTTTTGGAAATCAAATGCTCAAACAAATATTGGGAGAGGGTAGTCGACACCTCTATTTTAGCACGCTTTCCTTTTTGGGGAGTTGAGCTTACGTTCTCCTACGGCCGTTTGGGAAAGCAAGTACTCAAATAGATATTAATATTAAAAGCTGAGATTAGCCTAGTGACAGGCCCAAAAGAGGTCTGAAACTGGTCTGAAACTTCCTACTCACCATCTCAGACACATTGCCCAAAGTGGCCGTTTTGGGACTCCAGTACTCAAACAAATACTTGAAGAGAGCAGTCGGCAGCCGTATTTTGTCACATTTTCCTTCGGGGGAATAAGCTTACGTTCTCTTGAGTCACCTTGGGGCTTTTGATTTCCAAAACGGCCGTTTTGGAAATCAAGTACTCAAACAAATATTGGAAGAGGGCAGTCGACACCTCTAATTTGTGACACTTTCCTTAGGGGAAGTAAGCTTACGCTCTCTTAATTCACCTTGGGGCTTTTGATTTCCAAAACGGCCGTTTTGGAAAGCAAGTACTCAAATAAATATTAATATTAAAAGCTGAGATTAGCCTAGTGACAGGCCCAGAAGAGACTCACCATCTCAGACGCATTGCCCAAAGTGGCCGTTTTGGGGCTCCAGTACTCAAACAAATACTTGAAGAGAGCAGTCGGCAGCCGTATTTTGTCACATTTTCCTTCGGGGGAATAAGCTTACGTTCTCTTGAGTCACCTTGGGGCTTTTGATTTCCAAAACGGCCGTTTTGGAAATCAAGTACTCAAACAAATATTGGAAGAGGGCAGTCGACACCTCTAATTTGTGACACTTTCCTTAGGGGAAGTAAGCTTACGCTCTCTTAATTCACCTTGGGGCTTTTGATTTCCAAAACGGCCGTTTTGGAAAGCAAGTACTCAAATAAATATTAATATTAAAAGCTGAGATTAGCCTAGTGACAGGCCCAGAAGAGACTCACCATCTCAGACGCATTGCCCAAAGTGGCCGTTTTGGGGCTCCAGTACTCAAACAAATACTTGAAGAGAGCAGTCGGCAGCCGTATTTTGTCACATTTTCCTTCGGGGGAATAAGCTTACGTTCTCTTGAGTCACCTTGGGGCTTTTGATTTCCAAAACGGCCGTTTTGGAAATCAAGTATTCAAACAAATATTGGAAGAGGGCAGTCGACACCTCTAGTTTGTGACACTTTCCTTAGGGGAGATAAGCTTACGTTCTCTCAACTCTTAATTCATCTGGGGGCTTTTGTTTTCCAATACGGCCGTGTTTAAGTTCAGCTTCTTTTCCGGAAAGAGGGCACAGCCCGTGAGCGCCCCCCCAAAGGGTCTGAAACCGGTCTGAAACCACTCTGAAACACCTTCCGGCTCACCATCTCAGACTCTATGCTCCTTCGGATACAGCATCATTGCTTTATTTTGCTTTTAGTTTCAGGAAAGATGTGTTGATTTTGTATGTTTTGGTTTCATTGGCGAAGGGCAATGGCCGTGTTTAAGTTCAGCCTCTTTTCTGGCAAAGGGCAAAGCCCCGTGAGCACCCCCAAAGGGTCTGAAACCGGTTTGAAATTGCCGTTAACTGCTCACCATGTCAGGCTCTATGCCTCTTCGGTTGGTTACAGCATCATTGCTTTATTTTGCTTTATAGTTGCAGGAAAGATGTGTTGATTTTGTATGTTTTGGTTTCGTTGCCGGACCACTTCGAAGGGCAATGGCCGTGTTTAGCCTCTAGCCCCGTGAGCGCCCCCAAAAGGGCCTGAAACCGGTCTGAAACCATTCTGAAACACCTTCCGGCTCACCATCTCAGACTCTATGCTCCTTCGGATACAGCATCATTGCTGTATTTTGTTTATTAGTTGCAGGAAAGATGTGTTGATTTTGTATGTTTTGGTTTCATTGCCGGACCATTTCGAAGGGCAATGGCCGTGTTTAAGTTCAGCCTCTTTTCCGAAAAGGGCAAAGCCCCGTGAGCGCCCCAAAAATGGTCTGAAACCAGCCTGAAACCACTCTGAAACACTTTCCGGCTCACCATCTCAGACTCTATGCTCTTTCGGTTACAGCATCGTTGCTTTTGATTTTGTATATTTTGGTGTTATTGCCGGACCATTTGGAAGGGCAATGGCCGTGTTTAAGTTCAGCTTCTTTTCCAGGAAAAGGGCAAAGCCCCGTGAGCGCCCCAAAAGGGTCTGAAACCGGTCTGAAACCACTCTGAAACACCTTCCGGCTCACCATCTCAGACTCTATGCTCCTTCGGATACAGCATCATTGCTTTATTTTGCTTTTAGTTTCAGGAAAGATGTGTTGATTTTGTATGTTTTGGTTTCATTGGCGGACCATTTCGAAGGGGCATGGCCGTGTTTAAGCTCAGCCTCTTTTCCGGAAACAGGGCAAAGCCCCGTGAGCCCCAAAGGATTTGAAACCGGTCTGAAACTGCCGTTAACTGCTCACCATCTCAGGCTCTATGCCTCTTCGGGTACAGCGTCATTGCTTTGGAATTGCGGGAGAAATTTGTAGATTGCGTGATTTGGTTCAATTACTGGACCACTCCGAAACACCTTCCCGCTCACCATCTCAGACTCCACATTCTGTTCTTGCAGAACTGATTCCAGGTCAATTTTTTAAATTCCTGAACCATGCTCATAAAAAACGCTTCCAATATTTTAAAAGTGACTGAAACGCAGGCCGCGCAAGAGCGCGCAAGGGAGAGGCGCAAGAACTCCTAAATGGAAACGATCTTAAAGGAATAAAAGACAACCCCCATATACATATTAATAAAACAAATAAACACATAGACAAATAAATTCAATATATATATATATATACATACATACCCGCACACACCGCCGTTTATAGTCTACACCACTAGTACCGCACAAGGTGGTGATAGAAGTTTCAAAGATAGGACACCACACAGGAGCAGTGAATTGTTGTGATGCATGGATGGCAGAGCGAATCCACTGATGGACCGAAAGGTGGTTTGGAGTTGTGTTCTTTTTTTTGGGGTGGTGGCTGTGGTCACCTCACCAAGAACTAATGGATATAGTGTGGTGTAGCGTGGTGTAGTGGTAACTGTAGTGAAGTGTAGTGCAGTTGTGGTTGTGGTTGTGGTTGTAGTTGTAGTTGTAGTTGTAGCTGTAGTATAGTGTAGCGCAGTGGTCGTTGTAGCTGTAGCTGTAGCTGTAGCTGTAGCTGTAGCTGTAGCTGTAGCTGTAGCTGTAGCTGCTGCAGGAGTAGGAGTAGGAGTAGGAGTAGGAGCAGGAGCAGGAGCAGAAGCAGGAGCAGGAGCAGGAGCAGGAGCAGGAGCAGGAGCAGGAGCAGGAGCAGGAGCAGGAGCAGTAGTAGTAGTAGTAGTAGTAGTAGTCGTAGTCGTAGTCGTAGTCGTAGTCGTAGTCGTAGTCGTAGTCGTGGTCGTAGTCGTAGTCGTAGTCGTAGTGGTAGTGGTAGTGGTAGTGGTAGTGGTAGTCGTAGTCGTAGTCGTAGTCGTACTACTACTACTACTCCTCCTCCTACTACTACTACTACTACTACCACTACCACTACCACTACCACTACCACTACCACTACCACTACGACTACGACTACGACTACGACTACGACTACGACTACGACTACGACTACGACTACGACTACGACTACGACTACGACTACGACTACTAGTAGTAGTAGTAGTAGTAGTAGTAGTAGTAGCAGGAGTAGTAGTAGTAGTAGTAGCAGCAGTAGCAGTAGCAGTCGCAGTCGCAGTCGCAGTCGCAGTCGCAGTCGCAGTAGCAGTAGCAGTAGCAGTAGCAGTAGCAGTAGTAGTAGTAGAAGAAGGAGTGGGAGCAGTAGTCGCAGTAGCAGTAGCAGTAGCAGTAGTAGTAGTAGAAGAAGGAGTGGGAGCAGTAGTAGCAGTAGTAGAGGAGTAGTAGTAGTAGTAGTAGTAGCAGGAGGAGTAGTAGTAGTAGTAGTAGGAGGAGTAGTACTAGGAGTAGTACTAGTAGAACTTCCAAAAGTGCTTCGATGATGAGGAGTTTGTACCATTTTGACTTTGACATGAGCTTCGCGCCACAATGGCGTTCACTTTTAACGAGACCTCAACGTCCAAGAGTGGTCCGAGTTGTGTGCTTTTAGACGTTTGACTTCGAATTTGCTTCGCGCGACAGTGGCGTGTATTTTTTGAACATATCAACTTCCAAAAGTGTTACGACACTGAGGTGTTTTTAACATTTTGACTTCAAAATGTGCTTGGCCCCACCGGCGTGAAAATTTTCATCTCTTATCAACCCAGATGGCTCCGCACCCGGCGCTTTAGGGAACCTACTTTTCGACCTTTCGGAGCCACAAGACATTGGAAAAACCACAGTAATTCGTGACGTTTCTACTGTACCTTTTCGCGCACTTTGATCTTCTTGCTTCTGCCTTTCTCTTCTCTGACTCTTCCCACCTCTGCTTTTCCATCTGTCCATATTGAAGATTATTGTTGGAAGTTTGATTTAACAAACTTCCTTCGATTAATCTGTGTCAAATGATCTGCTTTTCTATAGATCTATATCAATGTGCATGATATGTCAAAGTTGTCTCATTGTTTGGTGATTGTAAACTCATTTGAGATACTCATGTTAGTTCAAGTCAATTCATGTTCTTCCCGTCCCTCTGCAACAAACACCGCCCGCACCACGTTGTTATTGCGGAACGGCTTTTCGAAGTTGAAGAGTATGTTTGCTGGGGATGCGGGGTGAACTTGGGCCTGCTTGGGTCCAACCGTTGGGCCTAACCAGGGCCTAACTTGGACCACTTGTCTCCAACTTGGTCAACTGCCAGGATATGGAAGCTAGTTAAATAATGAAAAATTGCTGTTGAGTTTTTATTGCCATGTGAAACTCGAAACTCGAAAGTGCTGCTTCGGCGCTCAGTCGCGAGTTGCCGGGATTGCGAGGCACGGACAGTCCCAGCTTCAGGGTTCGAGGCGCTTCCTGCTTTGACCTGGCCATTTTCTTCCATCGAGAACTGGACTGGGATGGGGATCCACTGCGCTGAATCCAACTAGGTCTTTTTGAAAATGGGGGGTTCATCGGAGGTACGAGTGTTTTAATAAGGAATCTGGGATGAACATTTTCAAGATGCATAAAAATTAAAGGACCGGACAGCTCCACAAGGCAGCTTCTTCCAATAATGAGCACCACATGTTGTAGCGGAGACGGGGAAAGAAGGAAAGACAAAGGATGTGGTGGAGGACCGACAAGTAAAACAAAGTTGTGTGTGACAAAGTTGTATGTGAAAGATGGTGTGAGACGAAGAAAGATGGTGTGTGCGACAAAGTTGTGTGTGAAAGATGGTGTGTGTGAAAGAGAGCGTGTGACAAAGTTGCGTGGGCAAGATGGTGTGTGACAAAGTGGTGTGTGAAAGATGGTGTGGCGAAAGATGGTGTGTGACAAAGTTGTGTGTGAAAGATGGTGTGGTGAAAGATGGTGTGTGACAAAGTTATGTGTGAAAGATGGTGTGTGACAAAGTGGTGTGTGAAGGATGGTGTTGTGAAAGATGGTGTGTGACAAAGTGGTGTGTGTGTGTGGAAGATGATGTGTGACAAAGTTGTGTGTGCAAGATGAGGTGTGACAAAGTTGTGTGTGAAAGATGGTATGTGACAAAGTCGTGTGTGAAAGAGGGTATGTGACAAAGTTGTGTGTGAGAGATGGTGTGTGACAAAGTTGTGTGTGACAATGATGTTGTGGAGGCGGGAGGCGGGAGGAGGAGGAGAACCTGGGATACAGAATCAAAAACAAGAACCCCACACAAAGATGTGGGGAAAAAAAAGTAAATTTGGATAGAGGATGCTGCACAGGGGCTAAAAACCTAGGGCTGGCGCGCCTGGTTTTAGCCCACAGACGGCTTTGGCCTGTACACCAAAAACGTTACGCACGGGATTTAAGGATCTGGGAAAAAAACCTCAAGCGCCGGTATTCATCCAATAAGATATTTTTTCTGGAAGAGTTGCCAAACGTCAAGCTCAGGGGTATCATCCAAAGTTGGATTTGCAAAAGCCTGGTTTCCCATCAGACCTTGACACCGTTTCGTTTCGGATGTGTCGGTTCAGGGACAGATTAAAATTAAAGGGAGCCTCCATGTTTTGCGATCTCAGATGTGGCAATTGCCTCGGTGAAGATGCGATCCCGACGATCTGTGTGGACTTGACTCACTTGACACATTTAAACGAGGGAACTGCAGTTAGAACTGCCGTGAGAACAGAGACAGCCTTGACAAATTCAAAGAATTCAAAGAACTGTGAGAACTGCGCGCCCGCGGAAGCTGTGCGAGCAACGTCTCCATTACAATCAATGTCGAGAAAACGGACAGCAAGAAGCAACGGACAGTAGGTCAGTAGGTGTTTTATTTATAAAATCCATCAACTGTGAGGGAGCGACACGCTCTATGGTGCGGAAGTTTCAAAAGCACATCTCTCAGTTGATGGTGGCGGATTTCAAACAAAGCATTTCGGGTTCGTGGGTTCTATGGTTAAACAATTCTTATTGTCCGTTCTCCACTTTCTTTCCGTTCTCGCATTTGTGTAGTGAAGGGTTCATAAAAAGGTGGCAGTGGATGATGAGGGGAGCGAAAGGCGAAATAAGCAGACCCTCACATTCACTGTCATCTTTGTAAATCTAGATTTTTTTAAGGCACAGCATCAACCGCCAACTTCAACCATCAACGACGTGGTTGAAGTTCCCAGCAACAACAAGCAATGACAACACTGACATCAAATTTACGAGACCAAAAAAATATGAGACCCTCACCTGACATAAAATTTGGGAGACCTTCAACCAACACCCCATAAACAATCTTGCAGCAGAGACTGCCACAGGCTTGTTCAAGCAGCTTTGGCATATGCCCGAATGGCAATTAAGCGGTGAAGTGCATGCACGGGCTAAAAACATGAGACTGAGATGCATGAAAATTAAATGCGACATTCTTTTGCACAGGATGAAAACCTGGGGCCTGAGTTTCATGAAAATGAAATAGTGAAGTGCTTGCACAGGATGAAAACCAGGTGCCCGAGTTTCATGAAAATGAAATAGTGAAGTTCTTGCACAGGATGAAAGCCTGGAGTCTGAGTTTTATGAGTGCCACTCTGGGATACCAGAAACGTTCGTTTGTACCTCATACACCATTTTTATTGAAAGATTTTAGCCCCAACTGGGGGCTCAAAACCAGGTTGCCTGTCTAGAATGCTACAGCAACGGGTATAATTTGGGCACCCAAAGATATATCATTTTTGGTTATGGAGGCTACTCTGGCTAGAGTTTCTTGAAAAAATTGGGTGAAAATTCACATCCAACTGGGTTTTGCTAGACTAGAATTCTGGTTGGCAGGCTCTTCACCTTTGCTGTCACTTTTGCTGGTTGCTGTATACTCCCTGCATTGCCGGCTTTATTTATTTCTTGCTATATACGTCCTGCCAGTTTTCTTTTAATAGCTCTGGTTGTATTCCCAACAAATGCTGGTCACATTCCCATTTGGATACTTCGCTGGCTATGTTCCTCATGCTACTAGGTGCATTGCAGGGTTAATCCCAGAGGATCCCACATGACTCGGCTTAAGCATGGGTTATTGGTGGATTACTGGATATTGTTAGTGTGTCTATCATAGTGGGTATACCATTGGTGTTCACCAAAGCCCATCGTTGTCAGCCTCAAGTTGTCGCCAGGACTCGGACCGAGACTGCGAAGCCGTGCTGTCGAGGGCTCGCTACTCAGGAGCCTGTTCTTCTCGTGGATCATTTGGGCCATGGAACAGCATACCACTGTTGATCGGTTTTTCGGGGGTGCTACTACCGAATTTATTAAGGATGACAACCCGATCATTCTAGCTACATTTCTTGACGTCTTTTTTGAGAACAAGTGCGATGATTGGAGGGCAGTGTATCCCACCAACAGTAAAGAGACAACACACAAGTCAATGTCTTGTATTCAATACATATGTATGTATGTAATGTAATGTAATGTAATGTAATGTAATGTAATGTAATGTAATGGTATGTATGTATGTATGTAATGTATGTAATGTATGTAATGTATGTAATGTATGTAATGTATGTTATGTTATGTTATGTTATGTTATGTTATGTATGTATGTATGGTAATGTAATGTATGGTAATGTAATGTAATGTAATGTAGTGTAATGTAATGTAATGTATGTATGTACTTAATGTACTTAATGTACTTAATGTACTTAATGTACTTAATGTATGTAATGTACTTAATGCACTTAATGTACTTAATGTACTTAATGTACTTAATGTATGTTATGTTATGTATGTATGTATGTATGTATGGATGGATGGATGGATGGATGGATGGATGGATGGATGGATGTATGTATGTATGTATGTATGTATATATGCATATATACATACACATAATACATATAGACCTTAGTTGAGTGAAATGAACGCAGTGATTGGAATGAGAACATTCCTATAGGGGTGTGCATGGAAGATGCTGTAGCATCTTGGCTCTAAGCAGCCTTGCCTGGGAAGCCAGAGAGCCAGGCCTCTGGCCTGTGAGGACGTAATGTCCTGCCCGGGCAACCGGTGAGATGCCTGGGAAATGGGTCGGTGGCCCAGGGTCGGGCGTGTCCCCAGACGGGGCAGTTCATTGAAGCGAAGGTGTTTGATGATAGCAAGAAGGAGCAAGGAACGACATTTGTAGAAGTGAAGAGGTTGTTCGGAACAGGCAGCCCAGGGAGAACTTTCTTGGGTGACCTGGTGACTGCCTCGGATGAATACTACAAATACTAGAGGTATTGGGTAGGGTCACCTGAGGCATCCCCTCCACCGCTTGTGCCGGAATGACCCACGTTCCTGCGTAGGAAGCGCTGCTGGCACAGTGGTGGTATAAGCAGGGAAGCGGAGAACCTGGAACGAAGAGGAGTTGGCCGAGGGAAAGGTGCCACATCTTTCCAAGGAGGCTGTCAACATGTTGAACCGTTACTTCAAAGGAGCCCGGCGAGATGAGCCGGAGAGGAAGCCCGCGCGAGGTGGCCTCCCTTGGGGAGAGGGAAAGCTCAACAATCGACAAAAGGAAAGCTGGCGACAAGGAGGAGGCCGGAGAGAAAGGAGACAAAAAGATGCAGGCGAAGAAAGCCCGCATTACAGCCATGGAGAAGGAATTGAGAGCCTTGAAGGCTGAGGTTGAGCAAGAAGATGAAGGGACACCAAGGCGAAGTAGGTCGAAGGGCCGTCGAGCAAAGAAACCCCACAAAGTGGGAGAAGGAGCCAAGGAGAAGGACCCTTTCAAGGTTGGAGGGTTGCGAGAAGCTCGGCAGAGCATCAACGGTTAGCGGAAGCCTGCGACCGCCTTGGACTCCCACGACAGGAGACCAAGACGTTGCCGGGTGCCTTCCAAGGTAGCATCCAAGGGGGTGAACTCAGAGGAGATGAAGGGGTCTTCACCCTGCAGATCAAGAAAATGCAGCTGGATGCTGCTCTGTTTCTGGTGGTTGTTGTTTCAGCAGAGATGGAACCCTAAGAGAACTTCAGGGATCATCGGCCGCTTGATCTTTGCCGGGGCCTTCCGGAGGCCTTTGCTGGCCGGTTTCGCTGAAGTCTTCCGGCATTTTTGCCACAAAAGTGGCAAGCAACCAGTGTTTTGACGAGGTGCTCGGCATGTTGGGCCTGCTGCCCTTTGCTCTTACGAATCTCAAATCCCTGGTGAGCCCCGCTTTGCATGCCACAGACGCCTCGCCAACGGGGGCGGGTAGTTGCGTGGCAAGGCAAATCAAACGCGAGCCTGGCGCGTGCAATCCCGGTGACCTTCTATGCGGAAGTTGCCGAAAGGACATGAGCGAGGCAATGGCCGTGGGCAGGAGATGGACTGCCCACAGCAGTGCGGAGGGAATTTTTGTTCGCTCCGATGTTATACCTGGCCCATCGAGAACAACTTGCTCACCTGGCAGTGCCAGTGTTCAGCAAGCGTTGGAGTGGGCCGAAACTGAAGCCATGCTGAAGCAGGGGTTTGATGTGCTGCCGCCCTTTGATCGGGCGCGCGGGCCCGACATGGACTTCTTCACGGAAGAGGGAAAGAGCCAGTGGCGGGTGTTGGCCGAGGAAGACCCTGAGCACCACGCGCCCGACTGCAAAACAATGTCGCGGGCACGCGGAAAGCCCTTTTAAATCGGGGGAACGTGCCACCGAGGACCCCCCGTTCTCAGAGACGAGCGCAGCATCATGGGCTTTTCAAACCTGAGGGGGCAGGGCGTCGTGAAAGTCCGCCAGGGAAACAAGATGGCTCTCGCATCCATCAAGCGGTGTGAAGAGCTGGATGAGGCAGGAAAATACTTCACATTGGAACATCCTTACAGAAGCTTCATCTGGTACTATGGAATCGGCTGGCAGACCAAATGTCCGCATGGCAGTTTTCAGCAACTGCTGTTACGGGGGCCGGCGAGCCAAATGGACGGCTGTGCTCACAACAATGTGGGCATCTATGAGGCGCTACATAAGCCATAAGCCTGAGTGCCCCCATTCCAGGGAGGACTACCGGCCATACCTGGTCGAGGGCCGAGTGATCTTCCCAACGGAGGAGGAAGCGGAATACCCAGCAGGGTTGAGGGGGCCGCCATCCACCTTGGCCTTGCAGCTCACGTGCAAAAGGCCTGCAGCTGGCCCGCTTGCAGGCGGTGGAGGCGGACCTGGCCAAGTATCATAAGCGTGAGGATTTGGAATTGCGGCAAAAGACGGCGTATGAGATCATGGCTGCTGACCAAAGGACATTACACAGGCAGCGACGTACGACTGGCTTTGGAGCACTGTGGTGCCAAGTGCTAAGCACCTCGTGCCATAACCCGGCCGGCCGCTGGCTATGGTGCGAAGTGTTCAGCTTCAGGTGGAAGCAGGAGGCGCACATTAATGTGCTTGAGCTTTGCCCCATTTTGCGCGACCCGTGGCTGCGCAGCTGCAAGCTGGTTGTGGTGGTAGACAGCCAGGTGTTGTCCTACGCGGTGGGCAAAGGGCGCCGATGTTGCAGTTTTCCTGCTCTGGACCATGAGCGCATGGAACTGGGCCGACAAGCCCTCTAGGCGGACAAAATGAGTTTACAATTTGCCGGCTTGACGCCGAGAACAGTGCAAAGCTATCGGGGCAATAAGGCATTTTTTCAGATACCTGGATGATGAGGATATAAGTGTTCCATCTATTTCGAAAGAGATAGACCGGTGTGTCAGCCTCTATTTGGAACACATGGGGTAGGATGACCAGCCCATCACCTATGCCGGGCACCTGATGAGTGGGCTTAAGCGGTTCCTGCCCGAACTGCACTGGCGCCTGCCTCGTGCTAAGCAATATTATTCAAATTGGCAGGGTACCCATGCAACGAAGCAGGCTAACCCGTTTCCGCCTGGTGTTATCATGGCCTATACCGGCTTAGCCGTGGCTACCCGCTAGTACAGCCTAGCAGCGTTACTGCTAGTGTCAGATTTTAGCTTTCCTCCGTGGAGGAGAGCTTGCTTCACTCACTGCAGCAAAGGTTGCAATAGACCCCGCCCTAGGGCGAATCTTGGTGGCGCTGCCCAGGACAAAGACATCCCTGTTGAAATCCTTTTGTGGCTAAGCTGGTTTCGTTTGTTTTGCAACGGGGGTGTCAGGCTTTCTGGACAGGTACCCCGGCTTCTTTTAGGGCCACCCTTAAGCAATTTGCTTCTTTCTTTGCCCTGGACGACTTTGCCTTTTCTGCCTATAGTATTCGTCGGGGTGAATTGCTCGTAAGAGGAAGATGGCAAAGTCAACGCACTGCCAGAATATATACCTCGATACTCGACGTGCAGCGTTAATCCAACAGCGGTTTCCTGAAGCCCAGTCCAGAAGACTGTCAACGTATTCTGCAAAGTTAGAAAGATTTTGCGAGCAACTTCGTTAGGGGCGCACATGCTTGAAGCGGAAGAAATGTGCTTTAAGTGGAAATGTGCCTTTGAGGTATAAAGGAGCTTCTTCATATGCTCATGTCTGGAGCATGGCCGAGTTAGATGTTTACCCGTGAAAATGAATTCATTTGTGTGTGCAGTAAATTTGGGGATATCTCGAAGCAGTATCCCTTTGGCACGTTATATAGCCTTGCCTTGACCTGCCTGTAAAAAACTGTTCAGGAATCTGCCCCTATAGATCTTAGTTGAGTGAAATGAACGCAGTGATTGGAATGAGAACATTCCTATAGGGGTGTGCATGGAAGATGCTGTAGCATCTTGGCTCCCGCCTCCCTCCCCTTTCACCTGCCGTAGCCAGTGTTGTATGGAGCCCAGGGATCCCTGGCAGGGGGGGTTTGGCTGCCTTTGAGGTATAAAGGAGCCTCTTCATATGCTCATGTCTGGAGCATGGCCGAGTTAAATGTTTACCTGTGAAAATGAATTCATTTGTGCGTACAGTAAATTTAGGGATATCTCGAAGCAGTATCCCTCTGGCACATTATATAGCCTTGCCTTGACCTGTAAAAAACTGTCCAGGAATTTGCCCCTATATATAACAATACACATACATAATCATACATATATACATATACATACGCAGACACATATACATATACATATATATATATAAATGTGTTTGCCTTGTATAATATTTTCTGATCCTGATTCTTCAAATTGGTTGAAACAACATCTTCTGATGTGGCTGGTAATTCCAGGGTTTTCGTGCCGATTTCCCTTCAGCCCGCCCCGTGACTGGTGGTGACTGGTGACCCCTGCGATGTCTCTGGCTGTAGGAGAGGAACTGGAGTCAATTATGATGAACTGCCCACGGCTTTGCACCGTGGCTGAATGTTGTGCGGCAAGTGAGACTGAGTGGCGAATTGGTAGGTTGGTGTTGGTCGCTTTTTGAATTCGCCGGAATCATTTTTTGAGGAAAAAGTAAATAAATGCTATCCCAGGGATTTTTTGTTGAAGGGTCGCTAAAGTTGGGGAGATTCTGCGCAATGTCTCTGGAGTTCATGCAAATCATGCTGGTGGCATCACCCCTGTAGCATGTGAGCAGGCTCCGAGAGACCACATTTGTTTCATTCCATCAGGTTATGACACGAAGAAACAACTATAAATGGGAGGTGAAAATTGTCGACTAGGGTTCAAACCAAAGAGGAGGTCCATCAACCAACGATGCGCGGGCTATTACCTATTACATTTACAAAATCATCCCATTACTAGGGATACAGTCAATAGTAAATCCCAATTGGGGATGGTTTATGATTGAGCTTACCACATTGAGCAGGCTCAAGTGGCAGCTCATCTAAATGTCTTTCCTTTTTTTTAAGGCATTCCCTTGAGTTCCCTAAATGTTAAGGTTCAATATTTTGATGTTACTTTCCTTTCTGGTTGCATCCTGTTTTCAACAGAAGATGAAACTAGGTATAGAGAAGCTACAGCCGAGGCAATCGATGTGAAAGGAATCGAACTGCCAGAGCCACCTTCCACCACAACCGTTTTTCCTGTGAAGTTCCTGCGCACATCAGTAAGACCTCTGACATCCATGCGACAGTGGTCATGGGTAACATGGTCGGCCATGGGCGTGAGTTGGACGTCTCATGGATTTCAGCAGAAGAGAACCAGGCCTTTCTGTACTATTCGCCAAAGATTTGGAGTGATCAGATGTCTCTTTTCTGCCAAACCAAGCACATTTTGGAGACTCTTTGTGGGGTTGGTAAAAAGAGCACACTTGAAGATGATCCCACGAGTTCAATTTTTGAAGTTTCACTTCATTGATCAAGCAGATTGAATATATTCCGATACGATTTAGCTGCATTCTGTTGAGATTGCTTCAGTTTTTTTTGTTTGGCTGCCAGTAGGGTTGACAAATGGGTCTGGGTGAAGAATGTCGTCCACATGGGGATACGACCAAACTTGCCATTTTTTTCAAAGCACAGTCATCAGGTCTCTTCTACCGCCCTTGCAAGTGCAATTTCACGATTTTAAGGCTTAGCAAACTTAATCCCATGTCTGTTGCTAATATTCTTATTGATGCTGATGAAATGCCACTTTATTGGTTGAATCTCCCCAAAACTTGCGAGTATGGTTCGAACTGTGGGTGCTCAAAAAGCCGGATGGTTAAATGCTAAAGACAAGCTAAAACATGTGGTCATTAGGTTCGTGATGTGTGCCCTTCTGGCCTTGGGCCTTTGTGCTTCTCTCTGTCGGAAGCAGCTCCTTGGACTGCCAGACTGCCAATTGTGTCATTTTGGGAACGCAAAACTTGGCACAAGGGAACTTTTCCATCCTACAGGATGTCATTTGGCAGCCATGCATAATTACGAACATGCACGCATACAGCTGTGTGAATACATATGGATATGTATACTGTGAAGCGAGTTTTTTGGAGCCTATAGGGGGTAGGAAGCAGCGATGTGCTTGATTGGTTGGGTTGGTGATTGGATGGATGAACGACTGATGCAATGATTGATGGATTGATGGATTGGTGGATGGATCGATTGCTTGATGGATTGATTGGGTGAGTGTTGAGGTACAGAGTTTCGACTAAAGGCTTGATTTATGCATTGGCTGGCTATTGATTTCAGATCGATTGGCAGATGGTCGATGGATTGGTTGGTTGATGGATCATGCGTTTGGTTGGTTTGTGGATTGGTTGTTGACATCCTCAAGTTAGCAAACTGTCGGGTAGCCACTCAGCCAGCCATCACCACGGCCATCTGTGCCAGAATTTTTGCTTCCCCAGCATCCACTTTTCTATTCCTGTTTCAAGCTGATTTTCTCAATTATAGATGTCCTTTAGTTCAATCCCGGATTCCCCATCAAAACATCCATTCTTCACGGGGGCCTCAGGCTTGGGAGCGGCCTGCAGCATGCAACGCGCAGCTTAGCGACGGGCAGCACTTCGCGCGTGGCGGCGTCGAATTTGGCGCTGCTGCGGGTGGCGGCCTGCGGCCTGGTTGGGATGGGATGGGATGGGTTCAAGGGATGAGTTTAGCTTGTGGTGATAGATCAGTTGGGTATAGATGGCCCATAGAAATAGATGGTTTACCTATAAAATAGCATGGTGATTTTCCATGATTTTCCATGGCTATTTTAAATAAGCAGATAAGTTGGGCTATCTGTGATGTGAGTCGGGCCATTGGGTACAATTCCAAGTAAAAACATGCAAACACATCAAACATGTGGGTGTCATGAGTCATGGCGTAACATTCATGTTATAAATACATCACAAGAAGTGGGATTTGCATCATCCGCCCTGCGGCTTGGGATGGGGCCAGCGGCTGAAACTTGGCCGTTGCTTTCCTATGACTGGTGATGGGTCGAGAAGGTATCATCTTTAGGCAGAGGCACTATCGACATGTGGACAATTATGATGAGTGCATGGCATCATTTCCGAATCGGTAAGAAAGGGACATTATCAGAGTCTGCACGTCTCAGGTACAACTCTTTTGTGCAGTCCTTTGCTGTTGATTTTCCTGGCCGGTACCGGGTACTACATGTGTGCTCCCCCACTCTCAGAAATCACCATTGCAAACCTGCGGGAAGATCCATGGGCAGAGTTTTTGGTACCTTGGCATTGTGTCACTGCCGCAAAGGTTTTTCATGCGGGATTGATCCAGCGGTGTAAACCTCTAGGATCAGTTGGGGATGGTATAAACCCATGCACCTCTTGAAAGTCATTGGGGATGGTTTACGGTTGACGTTTCCCACAGTAGCTGAATGACAGCCAAACCTGGAGGGATGTGGGATATGTGTGGAGGTGACTTGATCGTAAGGATTGAAAGTGTCGGTTCACCCCATGTGGGTGGCGGTCGTGGTTTTCTATAGCAAATTGCAGACTTGAATCTTTGTACTTGGTGTTTGATCATTTTCAATTGTTTGGTCCACTTCCGGGTTGTTTATGTTGCTAGTCTTCGCCTTGACCGCAGTTCAATTGGACTTTTAGGTGGTGGTTTTCTGGTGCTTGGCCAGCCTGCTGTCTCACACTGTCGTGGCCAGCATGCCAGCCGTGGCGAGCGTTAAGAGCTTCCGGCATGCGGCGCCAAGCCCCACTGCGCCGCAGAATCGGCGGGGGACGATTTTTAGTTTCAGTGGCCCGGCAGTGAGATGTTTGAAATAGAAAACAAGTGTGGCAATAGAGTTCAAACCCCATGAAACCCACTAAAAACCTGAAAACTCCACATTTATTTGTGCAATCTTTCCAAGGGTGGTGGCTTTGAAAATTCGCACAAAGATTCACAAGAAACAAAGGCAAGTCAAGGGACAGGCACAGGGATCCCTGAAGCCAATAACTGGTAATGGTGATAGTAAATGGTAGCTGGATGGATATATATTTGTAGAAACAGCTCCCGAGTTTTCCCAACTTTTTAGGCATCCTGCGATATCTGATTTTGAAACCCTTGGGCCCAGGTAGGGTTTCACTTAGCGTCACTTACCTTGATTTGCAGGGTGTCGTTAGGTCGTGAGAGCTACAACAACACATGGCAGCTGGAGCTGCAAAGAGCGACAGCATGGCTCTTGTGGATCGTCACCGCACCTTGGTGGAGGATCACTTCCCGTGTGTCGAGTTTTTGAGCATCTGGCTAAATCTTTTTGTGTTCACGGGGTCCTTTGTGGGCCATCTTTGATGGAGGAACATTTGAGGTATATAACGCATAAAGCTGTTATTTTAAAGGTTGCAGCTATCTAAGAAGGTCAGACATGGATAGAAGTGGCACAGTATGGTTCAAAACTGGGGCCTCACAATAGCTCTAGTAGTTTTTGGTCCATACTCATGGTAGCTTGATGTTTTGTCGCTGTCCTCCAACAAAGACTGGCTTTTGGTCTATCGGGCGCCACGGTGAAAGCCTTGAAGTGGAAGCATTGTAGTTAGTTGTACAAGTCATGTTTGACTGTTTGACTTACAGGACAGAAGAAATTTTCCCTTACGATGTTATGCCAAGTCATGTGACCTTGTTTCACCATATTGTTGGATTTGTTGTGTTCCTAAGTAGTAATTCAAGGCATTTTTGCTGGTAAAATCCACATTTTTTCTGGTTGAATCACTAGTGCCTATGGTTGAATCCATTCTTCTTGGGGATGTGTTGGGTCCATGTCTTCCCAGGTGTCACTGTTTTCCCTGCCATCGATCCTCTTCGCAGTGGCGCAGGCTGGATGCCTAGGTCTTTGATCTGGGCACACCATTCCCTCGGGAATGATGATGGTATTTTTAAGGTATACATATATATATATACCAGTAGGACCGCACAAGGAAGTGGCGGCAGTTTCAATCATAGGAAACTATAGGAGAGGCGAGTTGGTTTGATGCATGGATGGCAGAGCGAATCCACCAATGGACCGAAAGGTGGTTGAGGCTCTGATCCTTTTCTTTCTCCATCTTTATCTCCATCTTTTTTTCCTTTATCTGTCTATCTGTCTATCTGTCTATCTGTCTATCTGTCTATCTGTCTATCTGTCTATCTGTCTACCTGTCTATCTATCTGTCTGTCTGTCTGTCTAGCTATCTGCCTATCTGTCTATCTGTCTATCTGTCTATCTGTCTATCTGTCTATCTCTCTATCTCTCTATCTCTCTATCTCTCTATCTCTCTATCTCTCTATCTCTCTATCTCTCTATCTCTCTACCTCTCTATCTAGCTATCTAGCTATCTAGCTATCTAGCTATCTAGCTATCTAGCTATCTAGCTATCTAGCTATCTAGCTATCTAGCTATCTAGGTATCTAGCTATCTAGGTATCTATCTATCTAGGTATCTATCTATCTAGTATCTAGGTATCTATCTATCTAGGTATCTATCTATCTAGGTATCTATCTATCTAGGTATCTATCTATCTAGGTATCTATCTATCTAGGTATCTATCTATCTAGGTATCTATCTATCTAGGTATCTATCTATCTAGGTATCTATCTATCTAGGTATCTATCTATCTATCTATCTATCTATTTATCTATCTATCTATCTATCTATCTCTCCATCTCTTCATCTCTCCATCTATACATCTACCCACCTACCCATTCATCCTATCTATCCTATCTATTCTATCTATTCTATCTATTCTATCTATTCTATCTATCCTATCTATCCTATCTATTCTATCTATCATCTATCCTATCTATCCATATCTATCCTATCGATCCTATCTATTCTATCTATTCTATCTATTCTATCTATTCTATCTATTCTATCTATTCTATCTATTCTATCTTTCCAATCGATCCAACCTACCCTATCTATCCTATCTATCCTATCTATCTATCTATCCTATCTATCCTATCTATCCTATCTATCCTATCTATCCTATCTATCCTATCTATCCTATCTATCCTATCTGACATCTCAAATGCCAAAAGTGGTCCGAACGTGGTGTATTTTTTGAACATCTCAACTCCCAAAAATAAATGGTCCGAACATGCGGTGTTTTTACCATTTTGACTGCGAAATGTGCTTCGTACCACAGCGGAGTGCACTCTTTGAACATCTCACTTGGTGTGTGTTTAGCGTTTTGACTTCGAAATGTGCTTCGCGCCACAACGCTGCCCTCTTCCACTTTTTAACATCTCAACTTCCAAAAATGTTTTGCACATTTTGACTTGCAAACGAGCTTTGTGCGACAACGGCGTGCACTTTTTCAACAGTTCCGCCGCCAAAATGTGCTTCGGACGTGACGTGTCTTTAGTTTTTTCACATGGCTCCGCACCCGCTGCTTTAGCCCTGCTTTTCGACCCTCCGGAACGACAAAATATTGAAAAACACAGTGTTTCGCGACTTTTTCTACCTTTCTTCTGACTCTTGCTGTCACTGGTTTTCCATCTGTCCATATTGTCGGAAGTTTGACTTCTAAACTTCCTTCGATAGCCACCAAGTATAGGGTATCATGAGTTTTTAACAATCATAGACACGCCGATATCACTTGATAAATGATGTTTGGTTGGTTTGTTCGGAGGTTATATGTTAGGGACTTAACTCAAACAACTCACCAACGCTTTAGCCACTGGAACCACCTTACAGTGTCAATCTGAATCAGGGTGGCCATCTAGTTTGCAATGACTTTTATCAAGTCAACATCGCATGCTTATAATATGTCTGGTGTGGGCTTGACTGGAAGAAACATCATGGTTCTTCGAATGGCCTGTCATATAGAAGACGGCCAGTTCCTGGGTTTTGGTATGGGTCAGGATAGCTTTGTTCCAGGTTGATGAATTGTTGTTTATTGGTATATTTTCTCCAAAGTACATGTATGTATATATTATATTATATTATATTTTATTATATTGTATTATATTGTATTATATTGTAACATATTATATTATATTATATTATATTATTATATTATATTATATTGTATTGTAATATATTATATTATATTATATTGTATTGTATTGTAATATATTTTATATATTATATTATATTATATTATATTATATTATACTGTATTATATTGTAACATATTATATTATATTATATTATATTATATTTTATTATATTGTATTATATTGTAATATATATTATATATATTATATTATATTATATTATATTGTATTATATTATATTATATTGTCTTATATTGTAATATATTATATATACTATATATACAATTATATATATATATACATACTGGTGTATACATATACGTACATACATATCAAATTTTGTCTATATCCCATATATGTGGTTCCAAACAGGACATCCCGATGGCTTAACGGTTTGACTGCCAGGCCTTACCGGCCCACAACACCTCGGGTCTGTCAGAGGAGGGGATGATGCTGCAGATTTTGATTTATGGAGGAACGTTTCTAAACCCACCTGGCAGTCTAGAAATTGTGGAGGGGTGTCGGTTTCATTTTTTCTAGGCACGTGGATATTGCCAATAGATACAGAGAAATCATGGAATTACAATGATTACAGAAATTTAACTGATTTAACTTGAAATTAATGTCAAACGTGAATGTTGAGCCTTGCTTGGCTTAGTTGGGATAGAGGAACCACTTTAAGAGCAGTTGAAATCATTTTTTGGGGCGAGACCCCTCAATTGCACGCTAAAGGTTATTGGATTTCGGAAATAGTGACATTCTTGCTGTAAAGTCATTCGAATCATAGATGGTACCACTAAGATTATGAATAGGGGAGTTGATTGATCCGAGGTTGGCATCAATTCAACTGGCATATATATATATATACAGTGGCCGTAATTAAGAATTACATAACTTTAGTGTCACTTTCAGCCAACTGATTCAACTTATGCCACGCATGTGAGGTCTCAATGCAGACAAACAAGTACACGGGTGAACTTCTTTTGTCAACAGACATTTACAGCTATGTCGACTAGTACTAGTACCGACTATACTGCTGGTCCAGATAGCAGCTAGAGCAGGCTGGGACTATTCGACAGGAGGTGTTGGGCTACGTCCATCCTGTCACACCCTTCTTGATCGTGGCCATTGACATGTTCTTGGCCAGTCCCCTGTCAAATATCTATTCTTCTTGGAGTGGCATCAAAGCGGATCGCCTGCTGATGACTTTTCGCTTGTTTGCAGCTTGGCTCTTGTCCCTTGGTGCAAAGATGAGGCTTCAAAATGACATGCGGCGATAAGGATTGGTGGACTTGTTGGCTGGGCAGAACACTTTCGCAAAAGAATACACACCTGGATTCCTTACCTAGAAAAAACGCTAGAAGTGGAAGGGCAGCTGACACCGGAATGTGATTTCCGAATGAACGATTTTCGCCAAGCCACTCACCTTGTTTCAAACACAGTAATTCCAGCACCACGCTACATAGTATCTTCATTGGATAGTTGAAAAATGTTGAACATGACATGCCGTGAACCTGGGGTTTCGTCACCATAAATTCAAACACCTGTACATTGTTTCACCTGAATGTTCAGCCCACGATTGAACGGAGGTGGCACGTCACATTTGAGGGACGCCTCCAACCGGTCATGTGTTCGCCTATTTCTAAAGGATTCTGAATGGAGAAGTCAGCAAAACATAGGTAATTTTCAATAATTTATCCGCAATTTGGTATTGAATGTCATGTGCAGCTGGGCTTTTCAGGTTGCTGGGGCCTAGATGGCTGAGGTCATTGCTGACGACAGTCTTCTTGCACGAGAACTGCTTTGGGGGCTGGAAGTGGTTCTGGAGTCTTGGCCTATCAAACGTGAGGTGGTGGAGATGATGTTCATGATGATGATGATGATGATGATGATGAGGATTATGATGATGATGATGGTGATGATGATGATGATGACGACGACGATGATGATGATGACGATGAGGATGATGATGAGGATGATGATGATGATGATGATGATGAGGATGATGATGATGATGATGAGGATGATGAGGATTATGAGGATGGTGATGATGATGATGGTGATGATGATGATGATGATGATGACGACGACGACGATGATGATGATGATGACGATGAGGATGATGATGATGAGGATGATGATGATGATGGTGATGATGATGATGATGATGATGAGGATTATGAGGATGATGAGGATGATGATGAGGAGGAGGGAGAGGATGATAACGATAACGATGACAGTGACGATGACGATGACGGCGATGATGTATATATACATATAGCCCGAAACAGGGAATTTACATGGGATTCACCACATGTTATTGCAATTTATATGGGAACATGATGCTAAAGCTGTGGATTTGAGGTGCTGGGTGCTTGGTTTAAGTCGTGTGTGCTTGCGTGAAGTCGCGCGGAAACGGTGTCCCCTTGCAATTCTGGTGTTCAGAGGTATGAAGTCCTATGAGGTTAGGGTTGCATGGATTCTGGGTTGTGCTGGGTCTTTGTGTTAAGTCGCACGGGTTTGTCCAAAGTCGTCCGGGAATCGTGGGCAGCATGGTTTTTGTATGATTCATGTCGTTTTGTACTTGTGGTACCATGTGAGTTGGCATCATTTTAGCCTGGTTTTGTTGTACAGTGCACCTCCGATTCCGCTGTGGTCTACGTGAACGTGGTGTCCCAGTGATCTGCTCACAGGGGTATGTTTCCTGGAAAATATTAGGATACGGTGTTTTTCTCCTGGATCCGGTGTCCGCATGTTCCATTGCGTTCTGGGTGACTTTACGTGATGGGTGACTTATCGTGGCCACCAAGTATATTCTTTGTTTTGGAGGAGCGGGCTTGCTTTCTAGATGAGCCTGCTGCAGTGGTTTGGACATGAAATCAAACTGCACAGGTGAGGCTTCTGTAGCAGTTTTGTGCTTCCCCAGTCCCAGTATTTGGGTTTGTCGAGAGACAGGGTAGAAAAGTGATGAAAAAACGATGGATTTTGGGGTCCCATATTTTTCACCGAAAAATGGGAACAACGCAGGATTGTCTGCAAGGAAGACTCCCCAGAGCATCATGCTTTCAACTGGCGTATCTGGAATGAAACAATATTGGACGCCAGCAAAGACATGTGCCAGCTTCGAGAGAGGCCTAGCGACAGTGCGGGGTTTCCTGCAACTTGTTATATATATATATAATATATATATACACATACACGCACGTATCTTCCTTTATCTGCTGACAGTCATGTCAGAGAATTCAACTGTAGTACTGAATGAACAGGACTTGGAGGTTTCAAATTTTGCTGATCCTACACCCAAATTCCACAATTTTGATGCTTCTATACCCGCAGATTTGCGTTCACCGAACAAGGGTGAAATTCTACCTGTCGGGTGGGGTGGGTCAAGCTCAACCTGTCCAAAATCTAGAATGGCAAAATGATATGACATGAAGGGTACAAACTCACCATTTTCAGAAAGCACCAAAGTTGGGGGTCAGCTTGAACGTTCGTTCTGCAGGTGGTGGGCTGGGGGCCGTTGCAGCCGATCCATCGTCGAGGGCCTCAACACGCTCATGTTGAAGAAACTGCTGATCCGCTGCACTGTGCAGCCGATAGTGCCTTGGTGTTTAACGGACAATCCAAGGCATAGAACAATGACAAGAGGTGTTTTTGCTCGAGGACGATGCTCCCCATAATACACATACACGCATACACAAATATACACATACACATACACATACACACACACATACACATACCATACATACCATACATACCATACATACCATACATACCATACATACCATACATACCATACATACCATACATACCATACATACCATACATACATACATACCATACATACCATACATACCATACCATACATACCATACATACCATACATACCATACATACCATACATACCATACATACCATACATACCATACATACCATACACACCATACATACCATACATACCATACATACCATACATACATACGTCCATCCATCCATGCATGCATACATACATGCATGCATGCATACATACATCCTTCCATCCATCCATCCATCCATCCATCCATCCATCCATCCATGCATGCATGCATGCATGCATACATACATACATACATACATACATACAATAATACAATAAGTAGTTAGTATATGTCATGCATATGTATATATGGAACGCATCGACATTATGCGTTACTACAAAAATCTGCCAGATTCAGATGGCAGATGGATATGACTCTGGGTATGGGCAACATATGGCCACATGCCCCACAGGAAAAATCGGATGAAACTAACGCGTTGGTTGGGGATTAAGTGGACCGGACAGTATCCCCAATATCAGCAGGTCGTCACTGCAAAGTCGAAGGTCCCATGGAAGGTGCTAGGGGTGCCACCTGTTCGTGCAGGTTTTGCTGCTTCTTTGGAACTTCTCTCGCCTAGAACCAGCGGGAAAGGATGCGTATCTGTCAGGGCGGCACTTGCGACTGTTCTGGGGTGGCTTTGTCCCAGAGAAGGCACCCTCCAAATACTTATCTTGGGGTTTCCATAAATGTGGGATCCCCAAAATGAATGGTTTATAATGGAAAATCCTATTAAAAATGGATGATTTAGGGGTACCCCTGATTTAGGAAACCTCCATTTTGATGGGGAAGAGATGATAAGACATCAAATTTTTTGGGCATCCTATTTTTGGACAAACCCAAATCTGGAATGAATGTCGGGGAGATCTGGGTGGAGGGAGATATGGACCAACTTTTTGCGGCGCATAGAATGGGGGAAGGATGGACACTTCCAGAACCTCTTAAACAGTTATAGTTATCATAGCATATTTCGGGGTTTGAACATCCATCATATATCATCATATTAACTATATCAACATCTATTATATATGTCAATAATTCTCACACAATGATCAATTATCATATATATATAATATATATATATATGTATTATTCATATGGTGGGACACCCAATGCCATACACCTAGCACTTGGGGAGAAATCGCATCCACCATTTTGCGATCCGAGGCAAAGGCCCCAAGATGACGGGGAGCTTGGTGCCAGTGCAGCAGATGGCATTGGTGACCACCTTTCTGGACGGGGCGGAGTCGGCGGAGGGGGAATTCCCAACAGAAACTCATCAGGATCCAAAGGGGCGAGAAAAAGGGTTTTGAACGTTGCTCAAATGGTGTTAAATAGGCTTTTACTAGTTGTGTTGCATAAAAACTTTGGACGAATTGCAAGAAGTTTTGAGGATATTTGTGGGGTGTAGCATGAGTTTGTCTGAAAATTGAGTACCCTTGGTCCCCTGGTTCGGAAAATCATTTTCACCATCCAAGTGGGCTATTTTGGGGTATGCCCCATTCTTGGACCGACCCAAATTTCAAGCCTTTGTTTACCCAACAACCTTTGTCTTGCATCAGGAGATCTTATTCTTCTGGAGTCCACTGATCCCTTTGCTGAGCCCCTTGCCGAAAGTCTAAGTGGGGTTATAACGCCTTATATACCCCGAAAACACAGGGGTTGCAAATGGCTTGGGTTGCAACCTCTCTTTCAAATGAAACCCATGTGCTGTTTTTTGGGTAGCTAACTAGGAGCACGGCCTTTAGATGGCCGTGTGTTTTTTTGATTCATGGGATGTTGTTGATCATGTTTCATGTGCTTGTGCCAGTAGGAATTCGTGTGATTTTAGTGTAAAGGCCGTGAACGCCTTAATTCCAAGCAGAAAAATTAAAACAGTCATTTCGCCTACACGAAACCTCCATTTTGGGGTTTTATTCAAAGCCCGCAACTAATTCGTTTTCACAATTTTTCATCCGTCTTTTGTTCACAGCAGCGCTTCAAGTTCTTCCAAGAACCTTTTAGTGCAGTAGCGTTGCATGACGTATGTGTGGAAGTCCAAGACAACGTAGAGTAGCGCAGCATGACGCACGCGTGGAAATCCAAGAGAACGTACAGTAGCGTAGCATGACGTGTGTGTGGAAGTCCAAGAGAATGTCCAGTAACGTAGCATGACGTATGCGTGGCAGTCCAATACAACGTAGAGTAGCGTAGCACGACGTATGTATGAGAGAGCCAGTGACGTTATTATCCCACCCCACCCCACCCCCCAACCATGAATACATGCCCCAACCGACAGCCACAGCGTAGCATCTACTTCATGTGCAAGTTCACATGAACGTTAATACATGCCCCACCCCACCCCCACCCCACGCCACCCCAACAAAACACCACAGCCGTCTAAAGGCCGTGGTCCAACTAGTTCTCACTGGCAACTTTACCAAGGTGTTGGTGTCCTTTGCGTGGCAACTGCAAATCTCTTCCTCTTCGATGTCGGCATTTGGAGCTTCAAAGTGCAAATGCCCACGGATGTGGTCAACCAGCAGGCTGCTCTCTCCAGGTGTGGTGAGGTTTTGCCAACATGCTTGAGAGCATCAAAGAGCATGTTTTAATTTATTTTAAGTTTGATGCATTGGAAAGTGCTAAAACATAAATTTATGTATTTCCCTATTGACACTGCTAAATTAGCTTAAAGAACCATAGGAACCATGCTTAAAGCCCAAACAATGAGGCTACAAGGGACATTTCCAAATTACAGATTAATGAGCTGCATTTCTTCCTTTGCAGGTCCTATTTGACTCTGACTCTGGCTGCCACTTGCGGATTTCAACTGTGGCATGCCTATGGAACCCAGATGTTTGGACGGCATCTCCTACTTTTGAATCTGGCAATCCTGCTGCCCGTGAAACGTTGGATGTTGCCTCTGGAACGGGCCAGAAGTTTCTTTTGGGCCGTGGCTTGCTTTAAAGCGGGGCAGATGGCGGCATGGTTTCTGGGACAGGTTTGGTTCCCAATTCCCAGTTGTCTTCTGGGCTTACAAAGTAGGAGTGCATTTATATATTGTGATACATTCTTGATATATATATATTATATACATATAACTATATACAATATACACCGTGATATCGTAATCATATTTACATATTACAGTATGCAATTGTCACAATCGCAGTATCCTGATACATAGCTGCGTCCTACTGCCCAATTACATGATGCATTCACCCAACTATAATTGGTAAACCATTGTGTGATCCTCCTGTTTGTCCTTTGATCAGTCAACAACCTCCCAACTTGGAAAAGGGCGTAAACTTTCCAACATTTCTGGGTCTGTCCGGAAAAGCGGCACTGCAGATCCAATGGTTTATCATCGTTTTCCCCGTTGCATAGCAATTCCAAAATTTGACGCTATTTTTTACCCACGACAAGCAAAGTAAGTTACTGTGAACATCCCGATGATTATCAAGATTGCTGGTCGTGGACTTCCCATTGTCAATGGCATACCCCCACAATTTGATTCCCAGCATTGGAAAAAACAACAGTAGTTTTTTTGGTTGTCAGGAGATGGAACGAGCCACTGAAGCCGAAGTGATTGAAATGGCCATCCAGATGGACCTTAGCTGACGGGAAAAAATGGCCTCTCCGGATGCGGGAGATGGGGATGTACTAAGTGGTGATTTGACCAGTTTGATGTGGATCACAGATTTGATCTTAATGAATATATGGTGGGAAACAACCAACCAACTCTATTGAAATTTGATGATTTTTTTAGGGGTGTTTTTTCACATGGCGTTTACCATCCAATTTATAGATATAAACATGGCATTTGGGATGGGGAAACGATCAACCAATGGATTTGGGAGCGCCCCATGTAGTTTTCCCTACTGATGGGATGACATGCCTCCATTCCTACCATGTAAATTGACCATGGCACATATAAATGGAAAATGGAATAGACTCCATACAAGTGGTTTATACATGTTTATACATGATACTGTGTATCTAGGTATAACTGAGTTGGAACTTGGTTGATTACCCTCACGTGGATCTGGATCGCCTTTTGCATGGCAATACATGGCCAGGGGCCCCAGGGTCATGTGGAGGGCAAATCGTCCCTGGTTCATTGCTTGTTTAAGGTTCACATGCTCAAACATGGGGTATACATATTCCATACCCACATGAACGGTAGTTTTTATATTCAATTTAAGGAATCCCCAACAGTGATTGGATGGCCATCTTTTTTTTTGGGATATTTCGACCATGACAAATATGGTGGCAATATGAGTCAAAAGCTGTTTGAACCTGGTTCGCAGGACAGATTTGGCTAGTCGTAGAACCGTTAACCATCCCATGTTTGGTTGCCAGTTAGGACTCAGGACCCATACCTATTCTTTGTTACTTGGTTGATGAAAACAACAGATAGCGAAGGTATACTTCAGACTGGTACAGTCCCCAAGATTGGAGGGTTTAGTAGAACCAATGATCTACAATTGTTATTCTTTTTTTGGATGGACACCCAGGTTTTTGAGCTATATCACTTCCAAAAGAGAGGTATGAATCATGGCTCTTTCAACTTTCCACCCGTGCCATTGGCTGCTCAAGTGGGGGGCCAGGGAGGATCACAAGGCATCGGACATAGCCATCAGCCCCCCATCACAAGAATTTTTGGGAAGTCTCCAATCTAACAAAGTTGTCTAAGTAGGGAAACCACTGGGGCTATTGAAGATCCCCAATTTTGATCGCAAAGAAGTAAAGCGCAGCAAATCCAAACCCCGTGCCCGCAACTCCTGACATTTTTCCAAGGCCTCCATGCTGAACGAATCCATCTTCTAACCACATCAGGATGATTAAGTGTACAAGACATATAAAGAACATCCCATTTACATCGACCTAAACGGACCGGGTCATCAGACTTCATCCTTGCGGACCGGGATTTTTCCACCGGGGGACCATTGACGGCCGCCATGCCGCCGAAGGGCAAATCCAAGCCTGGACCTGTGGCTTGGCATATCATACCTTTCCCCCCCAACTGAGGGTTTAGGGTTTAGGGTTTACCACATTGGCGAGTTCATGGGGCAACAAATATGGGTTTACTGTAATGGCTATGGATCAATACCTATACATACTATTTTTAGGGGGATGAACATCCATTTACCAGCTATTTTGATGTGAACTACAGGGGTACAAGGTTTTGACCCACTGCCTAATGAGTGAACAAAGGATTTAGCCAATCAAGACACTACGAGGATTTGATCAGTTAAAGATGGGCCGGCAAAGAATGGGGATTTAGAAGGGGACAAAACCAACAAATAGTGAGATGCAACCAACAGCAGGATTGAAGCATCCATTGGTGAACGGGGACTTAAGTGTATTTTATAGCGACTGAACGTTGCAGACCAGTCGCCCCCTAAATGATTGTCAAATTAGGGGAGGCATCCCAATAAATCAGGTTTGGGATTGACTTAGATTAAGTATTCCAGAATCAGGGTGCCGGATTTTTTGCTCCCTTGATCATTCCAGCAGGACACCTTTATTTTTCATTAGGAGAATCAGGCCAAATGGGGGAATTTTCCTCATGAGACACGTGGCTGCACATGCTGAAGTCAGGGTTACTCCCATTATTTGAGCAGCTGCAAAAACCGCAGTTAGTGGATGATTTTAAGGGTCAAAAATACCCAATCAAAACTGGAACCTGTACCACATTGCAGACAATTTAGCAATCCGGTTCTGATTGGCCTTAAACATTTCCAACATGGGGATGGGTCAATACCTATGGTACCGGTTTTTGGGATGTGTTGATCCATTTGCCAGCGATTTTGCTGTGAACAGAACGGGTTTTGACCCATCCCAACAGCTCCGGCTCAGGTGGTTCCAGTGTCAGACGAGCAGACGCTGCGCCAAGCCGCCGAAGCAGCTCAGGGAATTCTTCCAGGAGCCGGTGCACTGGGGGTTAGTGTGGTAGATAGAACCACGTAATTTTTTACTTCCGTAAAGTGGAATATGGGGCACGTATAAGTAGTGACATATCAAGTCAGAAGTGCAACTGCAGCCCGAAGTAGTCTGGTCTGCAGCATGCGGAACATGGGCATGAATAAAATGTCACTGACACCAATAGGATTGATGGTGGCAGGTATAGCCTGAGCCATGATTCCAAGAAATGGGTTTGTCTAAAAATACTGTAGGGTAGCCATGAATCCATTGGTTGATCACGTTTTCCCTATCAAATGGCCGTTTGGTGGGTGTACTCTATTTTAAGACAGACCCAAATCATCCCAAATCTATCAGCTGATTCCTTTCAATCAACCGCCCACAATTCGAAGTCATGTAACGCATCCGGGAAGGCAAGCGCCCGCGGACGGCTGAAGTGCTGCCGGTGCATCTGGGACCAAATTTGGCCACAGTCAGGAAATTTGGAACATGGACTTTGGATCGGCCAGAAGTCGAAATGACAAATGCAGCTTGTAGAGTTGACACTCTTAGACTCTAAGCCACCTCAAGTTCTCAAGCTACACATGTGCTGGTCACAGCAGCTCTGGCGCAGTTGGAAGGGCTTTTCACAAGTTGCTATCATTTTTTTCCAGAGATTTCATATTGGATGTGATTTTTTCAATGCCAAGTGTCCTGGATGTTCTCCCAGGATGTCCATCAAATCCCTGAGGCGCCTTGCTGTGCCCTCCGCTGTGGAATTTGAAGACCCCATCTGGAGCGGCGAGGTCAGGGACCACCAGTCCGCTGAGGCAGGGACCGCGGGGACCGCGACGGAGCACCATGAAAGGCAACCCGCAACCCCAAATTTGATAGCAGATCATCATTTTCGCTATGAAAATGCTGTGAATTCGGGGTGTAGCTTCTTTTCAGAATTGGTACAGAAGCTGAATTGGGTGCATTTTGAATTCCGTTTGTGAGTGGTATGACCAATCACTGTAGGGGCCGAGAATTCGCTAGTGATATTTGGGATCTTGAAGGTATTGAACTATGATGACTTAACGATGGCTGTAAAATAGCTTTGAGCGGTTGCAAGTTGGCTTCGGGCTGACAGATTGCGTGGCCATTGGCAATGTAAATGGTCTCTTTTTTTGGGCCATTGATTTGTTTGGCCCAGACCCAAACTTCACCAGCTACGTAATGCAAGGTTGCCTGATAAAGAATCCACGAGTCAGGGGGGTTGGCGGGTCATCCATGTCATGACAAGGTGTTGAGAAATCCAGAATGGCCCATCCACAAACAAAGCCGTGGCTCGGCTTCAGTTTCGGCCATGGGTCATGCCGGGAAATGGGTGCTCAGAAGTGGTGGGATAGTGTGTTTTTCTGTTGTGGAGGGAGGCGGCTTTTTTTTAATATGGCTATGGATCAAAGCCTGTCAAACCCTGGCGGTTGGGAGGGATGAACATCGATTTATATTTTGGTGTTGCTTTTGGGGCAGCAGCGCTTTTGTCCAGGGCACCATATCCCTTGAAGATCTCGAAGCTGAAATTGCTTGATGGTTTTGAGCTTCTGGCGTTGGCTTTCAGGCTTCATGGTGGGATCACTAGGAACTACAGCTACATTGGCGTTTTGTAGTGATTTATTTTTTTGGATTTAACCAATCCCCACAGAGGTGACCCCCCAACAATACTTGAGAAGCCCAAGCATTTCGCCTCTGCTTTGTTGCAGCATCTTTTGAGGCGTTCGCTTCAACTGGGTCACGCCAGATGGCTGCGGCACCTTCACGACCGACCCCAACAAGATGCAAGTTCTGCCGAGAAGAATGGAAAATTCGCAGAACACGCCGCTCGCGATTCAACCGAAGCAGATGGGTATGGGTAAAGATTCAAAGTCTCCACGCGACTTGCATGGAGGTGGATTCATACAGGAATCTGCTCTTGGATTTAGGTGATGTTTGCTTGGTACCTAGTTTGGATGAGGTCAATCTCAACCATATATGCTAGTCCTGGGATATGTATATATAATTAATGGCATGTAGGATATGAATAATATATATATATATGTATGAATAATATATATATAACTTATATATATAATATCTCTTCATACATGCACCATATCACATATAAAGGTTTCTTGGAAAAAGAAAGACTATGATGATTCCATTAGGGCTCACCAGTGCCCAAGGATCGCGTCAAGACGAATCACATAATTTCTTCATAGGGGGAGGCCTCCCAAAACAAGTGATTGTTCCAAGTCCAAATCCGGCACCTTTGATGAAATGGAAAATACTAAAAGTCAAGACAGGAAACCATCGATTTTCCCCTTAAGTATGGTGTTTTCATGTAATTTTTCCCTTGAACCAATCCATTGAGGTTGACAATACGATGATACGTTGGGATGATCCTGGAAGTTCGCAGCATTCACCCTCCCAATCTCGGCTAAGGCTCCCATCTTTGGTGTAAAGACAGTCCGTTTTCGGCACTTTGACCCCCTAGTTTTGGTGATTAAAACTGTGTAGTGTTTGAAAAAGGAAAGCACCCGGCAAATCTGTGTGTTTAAAAACATGTATTAAAACCCTATAGAAATTAGAATACTGTACTCGTACAATGATATACCTCATCCGATTGGGCAATCTCAGCTGCAGGTGTGACGTGTGCGGGCACGCGTGTACGCAAGTGCTCTACGAGTTCCGCTGCTACCCAAAGCTGGACAACTTGACAGAGCAAGACCTGTGGCTGACAGGGAAGTGCATCTTTCTTGTGGGCATGTCCATAAAGTCCTAAAGTGGCACAAATCACATGTACATATGGGAACCCAGGGTAAGGGTACTAGCGGTATCAGCCATTGAGGCAGTTATTGGTCCCTGAAGGTGGTTAGATTGATTGCAGAGATGGTGGATTGAGACACGCACACCCAAACGTGTATTCCCACCCAGAGTAGCATAATGCTGACCTTAAGCACTGATCTGTTCATTTTCGGCGTTGGAAAGCAGTTTGCTTGAGGTATCACACTTGCAATCGCCTGCACGTGTCATGAATGTGCGTGGAGTTCGGCTCATATGCATTTGCACACTGATTTTTCTTCGGCCACATCACCTCCTTTGCCCATCATGTCACAGGTACCTACACTCACAACTCGCACATCTTGGCACGTCATTTTGCCTCAGGAGCGCCACACGGGAGTTCGCATGCTGGATCCCTTCGTGGCCTACATCGGCAAGACCTGTGGGCAAGGGCTGCTCGGGTGCAGGCAGCTTGGCCGGATTGGTGCTGGTTTGGTAAGGGTTCCCACCAATCCCGTATTACACGTAGGGAGTATTATATATTCCAATAATAGAATGGGCTAACGCCCTGGTGCCGCCGACCCCCTTTTCAGGGCGATAAATAATTGTAATCATTTCTTGATGTTATTGACATATTTGGTTAACCTTACATCTAGATTTACGAGTGACCACTCGATCTCCTCTTGTTTCAAGGCTTGGTTAGGCCTGGCAAACGGCAATCTTGGACGCCCATAAAAAGCCATGGATGTGGGCGCTGGAAGCCTATAAGAGGCCATTGAAGTGGCCTTTTAGGGGTTTTAGGGGTTTGGAGGGTTTGGAGGGTTTGGAGCGTTTTAGGCCTGGCAAACGGCAAGCTTGGACGCCCATAAAAAGCCATGGATGTGGGCGCTGGAAGCCTATAAGAAGCCATTGAAGTGGCCTTTTAGGGGTTTTAGGACGTTGCTGGCAGATGAAGTCAAAACAGCGAGGAAAGGCAAGAGTTTCCGATATGTTTGTCCCGCTTGCAAAAAGTCTGTGAGGAGCAGTATACGGACGGGCCAGGTAAATCACCGGCGCGCATGCGGTAACCGTTTCCAGGTGTGGGACGCGCAGGTCGTTGCGAAAGGGTATGTGTACGTTTGCCCCGCGTGCAAAGGGAATGTGGCCAGTGACGTGAAGACAGGGAAAATAAACCATCGAACAGTGTGTGGGAAGCAGTTTTCTGTGAAGGATGGCGTTGTGCAGGAAAAAGCGTATGTTTACGTTTGCCCCGCTTGCAAAGGGAATGTGGCCAGTGACGTGAAGACAGGGAAAATAGACCATCGAACAGTGTGTGGGAAGCAGTTTTCTGTGCAGGATGGCGTTGTGCAGGAAAAAGCGTATGTTTACGTTTGCCCCGCTTGCAAAGGGAATGTGGCCAGTGACGTGAAGACAGGGAAAATAGACCATCGAACAGTGTGTGGGAAGCAGTTTTCTGTGCAGGATGGCGTTGTGCAGGAAAAAGCGTATGTTTACGTTTGCCCCGCTTGCAAAGGGAATGTGGCCAGTGACGTGAAGACAGGGCAAATCGACCATCGAACGGTGTGTGGGAACAAGTTTTCTGTGAAGGATGGCGTTGTGAAGGAAAAAGCGTATGTGTACGTTTGCCCCGCTTGCAAAGGGAATGTGGCCAGTGACGTGAAGACAGGGCAAATTGACCATCGAACGGTGTGTGGGAACAAGTTTTCTGTCAAGGACGGCGTTGTGAAGGAAAAAAGTAGTAAACGGCAGGCTTGAACGCCTGATGCCTGATGCCTGTTGGTTGCGAATGCCTGGCCAATGGCACGCTGGACCGCCGAAGTGGCCTTTTAGGGGTTTTAGGGTTTTAGGGGTTTTAGGGGTTTGGAGGGTTTTAGGCCTCGCAAACGGCAAGCTTGGACGCCCATAAAAAGCCATGGATGTGGGCTTTTGCCTGCACTGGAAGCCCATAAGAAGCCATTGAAGTGGCCTTTTAGGGGTTTTAGGGGTTTGGAGGGTTTGGAGCGTTTTAGGCCTGGCAAACGGCAATCTTGGACGCCCATAAAAAGCCATGGATGTGGGCTTTTGCCTGCGCTGGAAGCCCATAAGAAGCCATTGAAGTGGCCTTTTAGGGGTTTTAGGGGTTTGGAGGGTTTGGAGGGTTTGGAGCGTTTTAGGCCTGGCAAACGGCAATCTTGGACGCCCATAAAAAGCCATGGATGTGGGCGCTGGAAGCCCATAAGAAGCCATTGAAGTGGCCTTTTAGGGGTTTTAGGGGTTTGGAGGGTTTGGAGCTAGGCCTGGCAAACGGCAAGCTTGGACGCCCATAAAAAGCCATGGATGTGGGCGCTGGAAGCCTATAAGAGCCATTGAAGTGGCCTTTTAGGGGTTTTAGGGGTTTGGAGGGTTTGGAGCGTTTTAGGCCTGGCAAACGGCAAGCTTGGACGCCCATAAAAAGCCATGGATGTGGGCGCTGGAAGCCTATAAGAAGCCATTGAAGTGGCCTTTTAGGGGTTTTAGGGGTTTGGAGGGTTTTAGGCTTGGCAAACGGCAAGCTTGGAAGCCGCTGGAAGCCCAGAAGAAGCCATTGAAGTGGCCTTCGGATGCCCGTTGGCTGCGAATGCCTGGCGAACGGCACGCTGGGCCGCCCAGAAACAGCAATGGATCTGGCCTTGGGGTAGCTTTTGCCTGCGCTGGAAGCCCATAAGAAGCCATGGAAGTGGACTTGGAGGGGTTGTAGCGGTTTGGAGCGTTTTAAGGCTGGCAAACGGCAAGCTTGGACGCCCATAAAAAGCCATGGATAGGGATGGCCTGTTGCTGGCCAATGGCACGCTGGACCGCCGAAGTGGCCTTTTAGGGGTTTTAGGGTTTAGGGTTTTAGGGGTTTTAGGGGTTTGGAGGGTTTTAGGCCTCGCAAACGGCAAGCTTGGACGCCCATAAAAAGCCATGGATGTGGGCTTTTGCCTGCGCTGGAAGCCCATAAGAAGCCATTGAAGTGGCCTTTTAGGGGTTTTAGGGGTTTGGGGTTTGGAGGGTTTGGAGCGTTTTAGGCCTGGCAAACGGCAAGCTTGGACGCCCATAAAAAGCCATGGATGTGGGCGCTGGAAGCCTATAAGAAGCCATTGAAGTGGCCTTTTAGGGGTTTTAGGGGTTTGGAGGGTTTTAGGCTTGGCAAACGGCAAGCTTGGAAGCCGCTGGAAGCCCATAAGAAGCCATTGAAGTGGCCTTTTAGGGGTTTTAGGGGTTTGGAGGGTTTGGAGCGTTTTAGGCCTGGCAAACGGCAATCTTGGACGCCCATAAAAAGCCATGGATGTGGGCGCTGGAAGCCTATAAGAGGCCATTGAAGTGGCCTTTTAGGGGTTTTAGGGGTTTGGAGGGTCTGGAGGGTTTGGAGCGTTTTAGGCCTGGCAAACGGCAAGCTTGGACGCCCATAAAAAGCCATGGATGTGGGCGCTGGAAGCCTATAAGAAGCCATGGAAGTGGCCTTTTAGGGGTTTTAGGGGTTTGGAGGGTTTTAGGCTTGGCAAACGGCAAGCTTGGAAGCCGCTGGAAGCCCAGAAGAAGCCATTGAAGTGGCCTTCGGATGCCCGTTGGCTGCGAATGCCTGGCGAACGGCACGCTGGACCGCCCAGAAACAGCAATGGATCTGGCCTTGGGGTAGCTTTTGCCTGCGCTGGAAGCCCATAAGAAGCCATGGAAGTGGACTTGGAGGGGTTGTAGCGGTTTGGAGCGTTTTAAGGCTGGCAAACGGCAAGCTTGGACGCCCATAAAAAGCCATGGATAGGGATGGCCTGTTGCTAAGAAAGACAAGTTCCACACCTGCGGTGGTCCCAGGCGCCGCCCCTGCCTTGGCGAAGGCCGGGGTCGGCGGATAAAGATTCATAGCATAGCCAATAGCCTTCCAGTTGGTATTTCGATGTAGTTTGGGCACCTCTCAGTTGCAGACTTAGGAACTGAATGGTATGTAGGTCGATCGCAACGGCTTTATTGCAATTGCTGGATTTGTTCACGTACTGTGTCAGCCGTTTCAAACTGGGATGGTCACCCAAAGGGCACCAGAGGTGGCTTTTGAGTTGGTCTCTAAGCAGGGTTGTGATGTTCGTGGATTCACACTTTGCAAACTTTGCAAACTTGGGGATATATATATATTTATATTATATTATATTATATCATATCATATTGTATTATATTATATTATGTTATATTATAGATATAATATATTATATAAGATATATTCATTATATATATATAATAATCAATAATGACTGAACCACATTGAACTACAATTTAACTAATTTGGAAAGGATGTGAGCACCAGACCATGCCGCTTTGCAGCTCACCGCCCGTAAGGACTATACAAAATGTCGATGTTCAAAGTGCAGCTACCCTCAAAGATCAGATCCCAAAAAATGCTGTGAAGGGGCCACTGCGAAAACTATTTTTTTTTCGGGCTCAATGAATTGATTCTTATGGACAAAATTCAGAAACCCTGTCTTTCCTACATGTTTTTCTCCAAATCCCTAGTTTTTGGCCCTTTTTTTTGCAGTATTGCTCCAAATCTACAGGGGTTTCCCGTGTCCAATTTTTCCTTCAACGGACTCGTCAGGACCAGCACCTCAGTGATCCGGGAATGGATCCGAAGAGACTTGTTGAGCAAAGCCTTGGAGGAAGCGGAGCAACTCATCCTGTTTCTTGGCTGCCGGTGTCCAAAAGATCCAAGTTATCCCTTCGTATCCCACGTGAATTTCTGTCGTTGGGATGATCATCTCCCGACGAAGTGAAAATAGGGCATGGTAAGATGAAAAATCTCTGGTGACACCGAAGAAGTGGCAATGTTCTTGTTCTTCTTGAAGTAATTCACCGAAGAATCTGAGTTCCATTGTTGCCATGACTTCCTCCGCAAAATGAGCCATCCATTGTTGGGTTTGACAAATGAGAATATATATATATATATATATATTATATGTGTAGAGGATCCGATTGTTCTTGGGGATGTTCCTCCATCCAGTGGGTGTCTCAACGGACCATTTCACCGTGATCCGCCGGTCCAGGGCGCTGGAGCAGGCCGAAAGGCTGGCCACCATGAACGAGCTGCGCAAGCAGGCTGGCTTCGAAGGCGCAAAATTGGGGCAGCATCACCGGGGATCCAACGACTCACTGGATAGAGTCTGGATAGAGCTGATAGAGAGTTGAGCTATGGCAGCCAGTGGAATACACAGTAAGCCACGAATGTATTGGTGGGTGTGTTCGAGTGTGGACAGGTTAGAATCATACCAAAAGATACCTTTGAATAAGTGGTGCAAATTCAAACGCAGGCTGGTGTGGCTGGAGTGGATGTTTGAAGAGCAAATTGTCGTCTTGGGGCATTGGGCCTGGGAGAAATTTGTTCTGCTATCTGAGCTCCAACCTTGCCCAGATCGCACCTGACAATGGTAAGGACTCTTGCACTTGCGAAACATGTCCATTGCCAATGAAACGGCGTGTAGTGCCGAAAATTGCCATGTGTGCTTCCCTCTCCAAATTTGGGGACACACCTCAACCAGCTTTTTTCTGGGACAACTTGATATTTTTATTTTGTCGGTGGCATTCTCTTGCAGAACCATGCAATGGCTTCTACTGATGGCCTTTTTCCATGGGTCAATTGGTGAGAATGGAGGGTCGTTCGCCAGTCGTTTGCTGATTTTTCACAAGCATTCCGGATACTGCAAATGGCAATCAAGATGGCTTGTTAGAGGAATCCCGAGGTTGATCATAATTTTTCCACGAAATCGGCTGTAAATTTTGGTATCCCCTATTTTAGTAGATAAATGATAAATGCCAAATTCCTGGTCAGTATGTCTATCATTCATGGCTGGTTGATGATTAAACCATCAGTCTGTTTAATGAAAAATCACCATTTTTGATGTTTACCTCGTGATTATTGATGGTCGAATTGAATCGCTATTGTTGATGCTTAAATATGCTTAAACATCACCATTTTGATGATTTAAATCAGTGTGTTTGATGGTTGAATTGCCGTGATGAATGGTTTCCCGTCAGGCTCCGGCAAGATGCAGCGGAAGGCAAGCCTGCCGCGACCGTTGGGTGCGCCAGGCAGGCCGTTTTCCCTCGATGTGTGATGCTTCTCTTTGGTTTCTGCATTTTGGCCCAGAGATGTTGTTTTTTTTTTTTGCGCATTTCCAATCTCACTGGGAGAAATTACCCTCCGCTAATCAAACATGGCAGTTGTAACTCTTCCATTTACAGTAGATGATTTTTCCCATTGAACCGCCATTTCGGATTTTCAACTGCCATGGTTGATTACCAGAGGGTAGTGGTGATGTTCCGGCCCTGCAGGGGAGGTGATGGTTGGGCTTCGAGACAAGGAGGACCTGCAGCAACTTGGCTAATTGCAGTGAATTCCTCCGTTTTTTTGATCTGTTCATCTTGGCCCAAGGAACAAGAGTTGGAATGAGAAATATCTATGAATATCTGCAGGATGTCTTGAAACAAATCAAAGGCAGAAGGGGCCCGCAAGGCAGTGTTTGTTGTGTCTTTTTTGATTTCAAGTGTGTCTTTTCGAGGATGTTGGTGAAATTTTCCACTATCAGTTTTGGGATGAGTTGATCTAGGACTCCAATTTCACATATTTCACGGACGAATTGTTGGCTGCCACCAAAGTGAGAAATCTGAAGTTCGAATTAGTGTAGGGACATGCATATCTGTGTGTTTATGAGTGGCTAGCGGCTTGGCTTCGGAGATGAATGGTTCGAACCGGGACATGATGACATGATCAACAAGAGATGGGTGGATAGATCTGATGATCACTATCGCCCCTACAACTGAATCATCGCTGAGCAGCCCGCCAGTGACTGAGTCAAGGTTCATGTCGCTGCTTCAACTTGGAACCAAGATTTTTTCGGACAAAGGTATACCTACATGTTGAAAACCTATGAAAACATTGGTTTCTTTGAATTTGTTAATTCTGAGGGCCAACCATGGTTTCTGGTTAAGATAACTTACTTCGCAAAAGGCAGTGTTTCTCTTTTTGGCGAAACACGGTTTGAATTGTTGCAAGGCGATCGAAACGCTTGCGGCAATAAACATTGGTTTCGAGGAAACAAAGCCAAATTTTTGGCGGTAGCATAATTTCGGTTTCCTGCAGAGTAGTCCGTAGTCTAACAACACCATGGACACAGTTTCTTGTAAACACACATTCATTTTTTTTTGGGTCACCATCATCTAATATGGCAAATAAGAGCAAACCCACAACAATCTCGTCAGGAATGATTGGTTGGTAAGGGATGCAATCCCCATTCATCCCCACAGAGGCTTCTTTCAGGTTGGTGAATTAGAGTATATAATTGGTTGCGATTTCCCCAGAATCCCGTTCACACATGCAAAGAAAAACATGGGCTAAACATAGCTAAAGCCTAATTTCATAAACGATACCTCCTTGATTTATCTGTATCTATTCATATCCATTCCTATTTATCAATATTTATTCATATTTATCCATATTTATTCGTAAATGTATCCCGTACATACTGGATCGCCCCAGGATCTCAGTGGATCCGCCACCTGGGACGTCCTTGCAGGCGTGGCAAGGGATTTTTTTTCTACGGAGGTTTAATGGGAAAAACATGGAAAAACACCCTGTAAATGATGGTTGTTTTTTTTTTTCCCCCGCTATAAACTTCATTAAACTTCTATAAACTTCCATTTATAGATTTAGCTCGGGGATTTCCCAGCCACTTTTGATTACCGGAGGGTAAACATATGAATACTCTCCCGTCATTTAACAACAAAATGATGTTCTTTCCTCAGCAAAGATGGAGATTGAACCAATAAACATGGGACATTTACCATCTGGTAATCTATATAATATGACAAAGGAGCATCCTATTTTTTAATTCACAAATTGGTCAACAATTCAAACACTTGGGGTATTTTCTTCTTGCCAAGTGATACTGATTACCGGAGGCTACCCTTCCAAGAAGCCAACCTAGCAATGGAAGATCTCCCATTTGTGGTGGATGATGTTTCTCTTGCAAAATCTGAAACAACCCATTCCCAAGTTTGATTGGTAGAAAGTATTCCATAATTGCTTAAGTTGAGGTTTAAGTTCTTTTTTCAGAAGTGGAGGCATGTAAAGACATACCATTGCTCTTCCAAGGTAAGGATAATTTATTGAGGTTGATTATGACAATAGTCCATAGATCTACAGATACAGATTTAGTTGGAAAACAGAAAACAGATCGTGAGCGGTAGCAAGTTGTCACAATGGAGATCAACTGGATCGAATCGAGCATGATACCATAGTGCCAGTGACCAAGTTGTTTGTTGGGTTGAAACTTCTTGACCCATGAGGTGACTGCTTTCTGGTTAGGGCTATAAACCGCTCCAGAACCAAATGCCTCCAATGCCCAAAACCGAAGCACAATCAAGTCGAAACGAAATGTAGCACCCAGTTTTTTTCCTGCACAGATGCTTGATTAATAATAATTGAATATAATTGATGCATTCAACATGAAAATCACAGATAAATCAACTAATTACTCATCAACTGGGTCGAAGATGTCATCGTTGAAGCTTTAGGATCACGTGCTGAAGATGCTGTTGGGGATCACCTGGCCCGATTGCGTGTGCCGTGGATGCATTCGCTGCGGGGAGATTCACCATGGGTACAAACCACATTGAAACAACGGTTAGTCATGGGATGTAATGGGTATTTTGTTGGAGAATATGATTTGATATGGGTTTGTCCGAAAATGGGGGATTAAAACCCAACAAATCCCAAGTATATTGCAATTTATGGAGACAATGATGATTTACCAACCACCCAATTGGGGGATGCTGCCAGGATTGACCGAAATATATAAGTCCCATGGGGGGCCCTTTGAGGAGGTACAAGAATGGGGGTGCACTAGAATTCCAGCAACGTTTTTGAAGGGGAGACGGGTCATTGCTCCAATTACTGTTCCCCATGCCTGATCCAGACTTGTTGTGGATTTTCTCAGTTGCTTGGAGAATCTGGACCGCCCAGATGGTAGATCCAGGACGGTTTTTACTTTTGTCTAGTACCACAAAAAATCAGGTTTTTCCTGGGAGACTTTTAAAGATGTTGAAGGGACATCTTAAGGATTTTGCGATGGGTTCTAGATATCCGAAGATCCCAAGGATTCCTAACATACTCATGCCAAGGAGCCGTGGGAATGTCATTCCCGATGGGCAGCCGTCGATCAAGGCGCGTGGAAAAGCGGGCTGTTGGTTTACGCTGGATGCATCTGGATGCCCAAAGATATTTGTCACCGTCCGTGAGGGATGGGTACACCGAAAACTTTGGGATGATCTGGTATGGCCTAGAAAACCAATCATCCCAAGATAGTTTATGAGCTATATATATATATAATATAATATATATATATAGTATAATACACATCAATATCATGTTATTTTTATATATTTTTATGTTATATCTGTTTAGTCCGTAGCCATAATAGTCAGATGATCGTCAACTCCCAGGCCTTTTGCCTGGGCGCCACACAGCCGCGCTTCCGGCGTGAGCTGAGCCTGGCGGTGAGCTCCAGGAGGATGCCGATGCTCGATAGAAGTTGGCGGAAACCATGGGAAAACCATGGGAAAACCATGGGAAAATCGGAAAACCATGGGAAAACCATGGGAAAATACACTATCAATGGAGAAATCCTAGGTGGGAACTGGGAACCCCCAAATTTTTTTTTGGAGCTTTCTAGGTGGGAAAATCATCAATGGGGGTTCCAACTGCTGTGTTTGATTACCCCAGGGTATCTGCTAACAGAGATGGGTGAGGGAATATGGGAATATGGGGTTATTCAAAAGGTTTCGTCAGGAAAAAAACACGAATTCATGGGAGAAAAATGAGAAATTGGTAAAATCCAAACATGTTTCTTTCCTGTTGATTTTCCCATAAAACAACTTCTGGAACACGAAGATTCATGGGAGCAGTGGTCAGGTCACCCCTGTGAAGCAGCAGGAAGCAGGTCGGGAGTCGAACTTTGCCGTCTCTGCCATAGAAGCACCAGTTCTACTTAGAGGTGCAATCAAACTTAAGCACCAACAATGTCCTCTGCCGGAGCTTTGACCATTGGAAAACCTCCCTGAATATGCACTGTTCGAAAGTGCTGCCTGAAATTATGAGGTCAAAACTTCTGGCCGACACAAAATGATTGGTTGATACAGTACTTGGTATTTGCTGAGGGTATTTGCAGCTTGTCGTCATCCTGCTGGGAAGAGCCGCAGCCGGTAATAGCTATGGATAGAACCCATTTATGACCGGGACAGTCCCATTGGTGGGACTTCTCGATCGTTGGTCAGAGTCCGCCCAAAAGCCAGGGAAATCCGAAAATTGGGAGTTTTTTTGACAACCTTTTCTTTATGGTTTCAGGGTTATCAACACCCGATAGGGGTATATAAACCATCTTCCCTGCAGGGGCATTCTCCAAGGCGCCTCACTGCTTTGATTTGCACACTAGCGCGGAGAGAGATCCCAGAAGAAGGCTTCCCTTGGACAAGTGCTCCTCGGCAGCTGGGTCTCCCATAGAGTTACCAAGCGGGTTGAAACAGAAGCCGTAAATAGTGCTGAACCCGTCCACCAAAGATGATGGAGGAAATAACTAGGAATCGAGTTTTTTCTGGTGACTTGCGAATGCTCCAGCCCACCAGAGGTTTAGTGTTAAGGATTCCATGGCAAGTTGTCCCCGGTGCCTTTGCAATTCGAAATGGTGGACGGGTTTGAAACGGATACCTTTGAGTTCTGCGCTTCAAGCCCAGGAACTCCAAGCGCTTTTGCAGGGTTCCCTGCCACCAGGAGCTGAGATGAGCTGAGGTGCAGGCCAACAAAGATTACGCTGCACGATTCCATCGGGACAAGAACAATCTCGGTCCGAGTTGGATCATGGCGCACTTTGCCAGCAGCAGGGGGAATTTTCTGGGGCTGTTTCAAAAAAAATGGAAACCCAAAATTCAATAGTTTCTCATTGCGTTTTCCACATCAAAAAAGGGTATCGGTGTATACCGTATTTGAAGACAAACACACCTATTTTGGCCGCAGGACGGTTGGCTTTGTATTTGGGCTTCTGGGGTGCATTTGTTTTTGTATTGTAGGAACAGGCCATCAAATGGTAGTAACATTGTCGTGCGGACCTTAGGAGTGTATTCTTTCCACCAAGTCCACATTGGAAACTTGATGAAACCTGATGTAACAAATGGTTTATTTGAAAATTGGATACCCCAAATTCCGGATCCAGATAGGGTGTCACAGAATGCCCTAGCTTTTCCAGATGTGCGACGTACCAGATCAAGAAGATTGGTTTCTTCTTGGCATGTACTGTACTCACTGTTGTAACTGAGAGGGGAATGTAAATTAGTCAATCAAATGACATGTTCATCTCTGAATCTCGTGACACGTGATTTCTCAAGACCCCCAAATGTGGGAATTCAAACAGACTTGAACAGCTTGGATCATTGCATCAGACATTTGTCACCAGCAGTCATGGAATGTATCCATCGTGGAGCATCTCCTTGAAATACTTGTTGGACATGGCCCGGCCAGAGTGATGTTCAGATGATGCTGTTTTAAATGGGACAACGGGACAACTAATCGAGAGTAGTTTGTTGCTGGTGCCGCCTGACTTTTCATGTTGAATCCTCCGAAATTCTCATGCCCAGATCCTAACCTGCAAAAAGTCGTTGTTGACACCCTCCATTTTTTCTGGGGTTGCAAGGAACATCAAAACGAGATCCAATTTGATGGTCAAACATCCATGGTTTCATGATGTTTCATGATGTTTCATGATGTTTCATGATGTTTCATGATGTTTCATGTATTTGATTTCCAATCTAGACGGATAATCCATGGGTTTTAAGGGGTAGAAATGTCCCTTCAACCATTCCTGTCCAAGGCTTGGTGACTACAGCGATGGCGGCGAGTTGTTCATCGCGGACGAGGTGGGTCCCACGGGGGGAATTGGACAAGTTGGGATTGGTGCCTTTTGGGTTAACGCTTTGACCATGAAAAAACATGAAAAAACATGAAAAAACATCAAACATGTTGGTGAAGGCATCAAATCTCTGGCTTTAACCTCAATAAATTGTCATTTAACCATCAATCATGCTGGTTTAACCAAATTAAACCATCAAAAATGATGGTTTAGCTATCAAAAGTGGTGGTTGAATCGGTGGTTGAACCATAAGCAAATGGTGATTTGATCATCAACAGTTGCGATTTTATTCATTACCATCATAATTGCAGATACAGTATTGAGAACAAAACATGTGATTCAAGCGTCAAACATGGATGATGTTGTGGTCCGACGGTCCGATACAAAAACCCAAGATGCCTTGAAGTCGCAATCTCCAGAAGGCCCCCAACCGCCCTGGCCTCTAGGTAACGGTCAATGTGCCACGAATGTGAGTGAACACCTCCTAAAAAGCTTATGCATTGGGTCTATGAACCTTACCAGCGAGATATTGGTGAACATTACACCAGGGTTCGCACTTTGACCAACACTTGATGAAATTCATACTAATCGTATCTATATAATATAATTGTCAAAGTAAGTTGGGAAGCAATCTTCCAAGTTACGGACAAATAGAATTGTGATACTTTACATCACACAACAGTACATGACGAAGGGTGGTGGAAGTGGTGTGTTGGGTAGGTGGTGACGAAGGGAAGTGGTGACTTTGGGAAGTGGCGACGAAGAGAGTGTGGTGACCTAGGGAAGTGGTCACGAAGGGAGTGTGGTGACCTAGGGAAGTGGTGACGAAGGGAGTGTGGTGACCTAGGGAAGTGGTGACGAAGGGAGTGTGGTGACTTTGGGAAGTGGTGATTGTAATGGCTGCATGAGAGTTGTGTTAGTTGTGTTGGGGAGGAAGCCGGAGCACGAAACCTTCTGTTTTTCCGTGTAGAGTGGCTGCAGCCGGCGATGAAAGAAACCTCCTGTGTGCGGCGGGTGCGGCTTGGATCGTTTCAACGCGTAATCGGTTCTCCCTTGGTGTTTTGCAACGTGTGGATGCCAATCGCAATGTACTGGCTGCATGAATGTGTGCGTGGTGCTGCAGAACGCGTGGTAGTGGCTGCATGAATGTTGCATGGGGCTTGTTTTGGGGAGGAAGCTGTAAAGTGGCTGCAGCCGGCGATGAAAGGGAAGTGCTGGTTCAATGTGTTTTGTGCGTTTCTGCGCTTCGCAGTTACATGGTGCTTTGGAAGCCTTGGTTGCACAAGGCATTGTAATGGCTGCATGAATTTTGCATGTTGGAAGTGATTTGTGCAAGCTGTGTAGTAAAAAGTAGCAACGCGAAGTACTTTGTAAGCTTTGTAGTACAAAGTAGTACTGGGGATTATTTTGTGCAAGCTCTGTGGTACTTCCCAGTACTTTGTGCAAGTCATCTACTACAAAGTAGTACTGGGAAGTGCTTTGTGACAAGGTTTGTAGTGCAAAGTAGAACTGGGATGTGCTTTGTGCAAGCTTTGTAGTACAAAGTAGTACTGGGGAGTACTTTGTGCGGCTGATGGTTCGCTTGTGGCGGTAAGATGTGCCAATCGCTTGTGGCAGTAAAAACCTTTAATTTTTACTGCCGCAAGTGATTGTTTTTTACTGCCGCAGGTGATTGCTGTTTTTGCGTGGCAGGTGCAGCATTTGAAGGCCTAATTGCTTGTGGCGGTAAGATCGCTTTTCCGTTTTCAATCGCTTGTGGCGGTAAAATATCTATCGCTTGTGGCGGTAAGTGAGTGTCTTTGATGCCAGGGTATACAAAACCAATCGCTTGTGGCAGTAAGCGGCTGGGACTTGGGATTTGCACTTGGCAGTTGCTTTTGGAAAAGGCTTACCTTTCTTCTCTCGGCTCTAGGATCAGCTCTGGAAAATGTTGCTGCAATTGTGAACCCTGAGAACAAACCTACTAAAGTGAATTGGATCATCTCATGGCCCAGTGTTTTGAAATGTCTGGAAAAATGTTCTTTAATAAGCTCCACCCCACCCCCCAAGGTTGAAGTGGGATGGTAAGTCTCAGGAAGTGGAGTAGCGGTTCCCTATAATGAATGTAAGCAACGGTTGTGGCTGGTAGATCCTGCCCTTTTCTTCCCTAGCCCCACCCCACCCCCCAAGGTTGAAGTGGGATGGTAAGTCTCAGGAAGTGGAGTAGCGGTTCCCTATAATGAATGTAAGCAACGGTTGTGGCTGGTAGATCCTGCCCTTTTCTTCCCTAGCCCCACCCCACCCCCCAAGTTTGAAGAAGGATGGTAAGCGCAGGAAGCGGAGTAGCGGTTCCCTATAACGAATGTAAGCAACGGTTGTGGCTGGTAGATCCTACCCTTTTCTTCCCTAGCCCCACCCCACCCCCCAAGGCTGAAGTGGGATGGTAAGTCTCAGGAAGTGGAGTAGCGGTTCCCTATAGTGAATGTAAGCAACGGTTGTGGCTGGTAGATCCTAGCCTTTTCTTCCCTAGCCCCACCCACCCCCCAAGGTTGAAGTGGGATGGTAAGTCTCAGGAAGTGGAGTAGCGGTTCCCTATAATGAATGTAAGCAACGGTTGTGGCTGGTAGATCCTACCTTTTCTTCCCTAGCCCCACCCCACCCCCCAAGGTTGAAGTGGGATGGTAAGTCTCAGGAAGTGGAGTAGCGGTTCCCTATAATGAATGTAAGCAACGGTTGTGGCTGGTAGATCCTGCCCTTTTCTTCCCTAGCCCCACCCCACCCCCCAAGTTGAAGAAGGATGGTAAGCGCAGGAAGCGGAGTAGCGGTTCCCTATAACGAATGTAAGCAACGGTTGTGGCTGGTAGATCCTACCCTTTTCTTCCCTAGCCCCACCCCACCCCCCAAGGCTGAAGTGGGATGGTAAGTCTCAGGAAGTGGAGTAGCGGTTCCCTATATGAATGTAAGCAACGGTTGTGGCTGGTAGATCCTACCCTTTTCTTCCCTAGCCCCACCCCACCCCCCAAGGTTGAAGTGGGATGGTAAGTCTCAGGAAGTGGAGTAGCGGTTCCCTATAATGAATGTAAGCAACGGTTGTGGCTGGTAGATCCTACTCTTTTCTTCCCTAGCCCCACCCCACCCCCCAAGGTTGAAGTGGGATGGTAAGTCTCAGGAAGTGGAGTAGCGGTTCCCTATAATGAATGTAAGCAACGGTTGTGGCTGGTAGATCCTGCCCTTTTCTTCCCTAGCCCCACCCCACCCCCCAAGGTTGAAGAAGAATGGTAAGTCTCAGGAAGTGGAGTAGCGGTTCCCTATAATGAATATAAGCAACGGTTGTGGCTGGTAGATCCTAGCCTTTTCTCCCCTAGCCCCACCCCACCCCCCAAGGTTGAAGTGGGATGGTAAGTCTCAGGAAGTGGAGTAGCGGTTCCCTATAATGAATGCAAGCAACGGTTGTGGCTGGTAGATCCTAGCCTTTTCTTCCCTAGCCCCACCCCACCCCCCAAGGTTGAAGTGGGATGGTAAGTCTCAGGAAGTGGAGTAGCGGTTGTGTTTCCCTATTCACTAAGTGATTGGTTTTCCATTTTCTTACTGCCGCAAGTGATTGGTTTCGAAGAGTCTCACTGCCGCAAGTGATTGAAACTTACTGCCGCAAGTGATTTTTATCTTACTGCCGCAAGTGATTGAATCTTACTGCCGCAAGTGATTGGTCACCCCTTTGTGCAAGCTTTGTAGTACAACGTAGTACCGGGGAGTGCTTTTTTGTGCAAGCTTTGTATTACAAAGAAGTACTGTACTGGGAAGTGGTACAAAGTGGTACTGGGAAGTGCTTTGTGCAAGCTTTGTAGTACAAAGTAGTACTGGGAAGTGCTTTGTGCAAGCTTTGTGGTACAAAGATGTACTGGGACGTATTTGGTGCAAGCTTTGTAGTACAAAGTAGAACTGGGGAGTACTCTGCGCAAGCTTTGTAGTACAAAGAGGTGCTGGGGAGTACTTTGTGCAAGCTTTGTAGCACAAAGTAGTACTGGGAAGTGGTTTGCGCAAGCTTTGTAGTACAAGATATTTTGTAAAGGCTTTTCTGTGTCAATGCATTGGTGTCTCAAGCTTCTGTGTGCAAAAGCTTTCTGTGCCCAAGGGTTTTTTGTGCAAGAGACTTCTCTCTGACAGTAAGAGCTTTCTGGCGTGCAGAACAGCTGAGATGAGTTGAGAAGAACTTCGAGGAGATGAGAAAGGTTGATCAGTGCTCGGATGAGATGAAAACAATTGAGAAGAACTTACTTAGATGACATGTGAGAAGAGATGGGATGAGATGAGAAGAGCCGAGATAAAGTGAGAAGAACTCACATGATTTGAGATGAGATGAAGTGCAAGTGTGAAGTGTGATGTGTGGGGTGTGAAGAGTGCAGTGTGAAGTGTGAAGAAAGTGCCGTTTGGAGTTGCATTGCGCCGGGGTCCTGCGTAGGTCATGTTCTTGGACAACAACAGTGCAGCAGGTTCGCACAAAGCACGCACGCACGGGCGTGGCTGCCGCACGGCGCATGCAAGTTCTATAGATGAGAAAGGCCTTATAGTATAACCCTCAGATCCCTAAGGCAACTTCCGTTCCGCCTCGTGCGGGCACTACTGGTATATATTAATTATGTATAGCGTTAGTTCGTGGAAACGGTGTTGTTTAATGTTTGTTATTTCAATGTTTGTTGAGCGTCAATTCCCAAAGATTGCTGCTTAAATCGCATTTTTTTGTTCTACACCCGCCTCCGGGCCAGGGCCAGTTTGACGAGGAGGCGTTTTTTTTTTTGGGATCTGCGGGTCAAGCCACTGGGTACAGGTGCACCACATTCCATCAACTGGTGAACCATCTTCCTATGAACATGGCCATTTTGACTGGATGGGCAATGTTTGGACACAGCTGGTCGATTTTTTTGGTCCTTAATTTTTGACCCGTAGCCAATGGGTCAACATCTATATGACCATATCTAGCGGAATACGGACATCTTTTGATGTTCTCGCGGGTGCAGTTTGAATGCTGGGGAGTGATTGATCACAGGAAACTGCCGAAGTTGATGGGGTTTCATGTGGATCGGTTCATTCGACAATGTTGGCAACACTTGGAGATGTAATTACCCATTGACAGGCGTGAAATAAGACCCGAAAGGCAAAACATTTGTTCGCAGATCTCCGTCGGCCAACCAAGGTTTAGTACCCCAGTTGGATTCATTTTTAAGTGCATAACAGTGCTTAAGTGTACTTGTTCTACTGTTGTTTTTGGTCCTTCCATCATCTTCATGATCAGGTCCAGACTATTCATGGAGGTTTCTCAGCTCTTGATATTTTGTGGCTCTACACCAACTAGTGCTGTACTGCCGGTGGCAGAATGGATCTAATCTATGGGGAGACATCTGCAAGAGGTTCAGTTTCATATCAGAAGCATTAAACAGAAACAGGCTACAGATGAGACAGGACTACAAACATCACCCTCCATCTCCCCATCAATAATGGATAATCCATCATAACTAATCTAGCAACGATTAAAGTTTTAGTATTCCATAATTACATATCATTGGTATGTAGTATATATATAATGATAATTACATAATGGTCAAGCCATTAATTAATGATCAGGACCGACTAAGGGGAAGTATGGTATCAGCATTGTTTCTGTCTGAGCCTCAACATCGACCCCTGCTCATTTTACAGTGGATTGCGCCACATCATGCAGGTGACTATCCCAGGAACTTGTACCCATGTTGGTTCAGGACACAAAGGACTACAATACAATCATGAATCACGACTTTTTGATTTCTCTACGAGATCTGGTTCTGTCTACTGGTACCCTTCAAAACCGCGTAGCAATGGTTCCGACAACTCTATGTCCACCCTAAGTTGATAAACTCTGTTGATGAATTCGGGGGGTGAAAACCCAAAAACACTGATGAATCACTCTTGAAATCGGTACATATGGTACCCCCTACTGTTAAACTGGTGGTTAAAAGTCCTGGGCCCAGACCGGCAGGAAGGTGGTATCGACCACGAAATCACCCTCGGTGAGAAGGTTCCCAGTGGCTACGTTCCCGGCCAGGCGTGGGGAAGCGGCGTTTCATCCCAAGAGCTGATGGATACTGACCAACATCCATGACATCATGACACGCAGAACATTTTCATGAGCCAATGGTTTTGAGCAATACCGTAATACACTCATCAAGCAAAAGCAAAATGGTGGACTGAAGCACATTGCCGAGATAATCCTGACAAAGACATTGTCATAGATGTGGACTGACATTGTGGATCAAGTCCAACAAGAATGACAAGACTATAGCATTTTGGCTCAAGAGATGTCAATATACACATGACACGGATTTCTTTGTGGGCTTCTTAGCCGCCATAGCGCAGATGTTCACGGTTTATTCAGCAGTGTCAGGTGAAATAAGTATATACTGTTTTGGATGAATACGAAGGTCGGCAGAGGTTGTGGTCTGAAGATTGGTCTCGTGAACTGATGACAAGGTGCTTGCACCAGAGCCCGTGAGTGTCCACTTGGTAGTGTTAGATTATTTTCCGGAGGAAAACGACGACACGAGGATGGCTGCTGTATCCAGCAGAAACGATTCCGTTGGGAGACGAGAAGCTGCTTCATCCACCCACGACATCCTGACGCTCTTATAAGGCATGGATTTCCGCTGCACTATGCGTGTGGAACCCATGCGACGCTTGAAGCACGTGCAGAGAGACATAATATATCAAGGTTGTACACCGTTCTGAGCAGCTTTTCCGCGGCCACATGGATGTTGTTAGCCTGTTGGTTGAAAGTGGATCCGACACAGATCCCACAGTTGACCTTGGAGGCATTCCACTGTGGGGTGCAGCTCAGAATGGCCATGTAGAAATTGTTCGATTGTTGATCGCTACAGGTGGCAACAGTGACACGGCCACCACAGACGTAGGAGTCGCACGTCACACCGTTGTACATCGCAGCTCAGAATGGCCACAGTGAAGTTGTTCGGGTGCTGCTTGAGGCCAGGGCTGAGATCCACAAGGCAAGAACCAATGATGGTGTACGTCACAGCTGTGGGGAACCATCTTGAAGGTGTGCGCTTGCTGATTGAGGCGAGAGCTGACATTGACACAGCCCGAATCGACGCTGGAGCGACACCACTAGGCATCGAGACTGAAAAAGGGTATGTCGACGTGGCTTGCTTCTTGAGGGAGGCTGGTGCTGATCAAAACAAGATCAGGACCGCTAAAGACATGGAGTATATATATATATTATATATATAGATGCACATGCGACAACTGATACGGTCATGGCTTGAAACATTTGCTATTCAGCATGATCAATACTCAAAGGATATTGTGCACATACCCAATATGGGCCCGGAACATATTTTGGCATTTTAATGCATTTTAGGGTTTCTGAAGATGGCAATCACAGAGACAGAGGAAGCCGAACTCAAACTCTTGAAATCCAACGGACACTCCATTGGTGCCCATTTCGACCCCAGAGTTGGGACATTTTCACTGCTATCTAAGGATTCTTGTGGGGGTTGACAAGCAATACCAACATTTTGACTTGTGTTGTTGGTCCGAGTTTTTGTTGAGTTGAACCATGTTTGCTCAACTCCCCGTTTGGGTTGGTTTCAAAATGCTTTAAAACAACAAGTTGTATCATTGTCTGGGTGAAATTCCCATTTCGCGGTCAACTTTTCATCGAACGCAAAGCCCGTGTTCAGGTGGTCAAAGGGAAGCTGTTCGACATCCGGAACCGATGGTGCGGATGCTGAGAGGTTGTTTTTCCTTCCAGCAGAAGACATGAAATATGGAGATTCCTGGAGAAAGTACAAATTATGTTGAGAACAAAGATGACTTTATAAACTTTAGACCAAACAACTTTTAGGTCTACTGATTTTTCTGAGGTGCTAACAATCTCTGGTCATGTTGGATGCAGCTGCGATGCTGGCGCATCAGCTCTAGATCAGGTGAACATTTGGTGGCCGCAGAATTTCCCAGTGGAACCCCAAGCCGTCCAAGTGGCCGTCCAAGCGGCCCAAATGGGTTGGTTCCACTTCCCTACAGTATCCCATCAACCGCGAAGCCTGCGACCCCAATTGGGGTCGGCTGTGGAAGATGACTTCCCCAATTTCCCGAAAAAGTTGGATCATATACACCCATGATCACACCCATATACAGTAGGTGGATGGTCATCTTCCCATAGGGATAGAAATACCAGGCAGCGCTTCGATGGCCGCCACGGGCACATGGCCATGCCCTTCCTCTCTGGGACGCGGATCAGCCTGGTCTTCTTCACCCGCGACATGCTGGCAGTTCCGGTGTCATCCAACTAGTGAGTTTTTTTGATTGAAATAATTGGACACTTATAGTCACTTAGTGGTAATTGATGTAATTGGGTTCACTGGGTGTTTATATCATCTCTCGCAATTTCAAATCTTCTATAATTTGGAGTTGAATAAGAAAATCATCGAACTAAACGTGGACTTTCCAGCAAGCCGTGTTTTGATTGCCAGAGGGCACGATTTTCTCATGTTTCCTCGTTCTAAAGGAGAAACGGTCAAGATTTTTTTGAACCAAGTTTTTGTTGGTTTTAACCCGTGAGTTTCCACCACTGTTCTTTGATTAAAGATGGGAAAAAACCAGGAAACAGGGACTTGACCATGGTCGTCAACAAATTCGGAAAGCAGCGATTTTCATGGTTTGGACTTTTTAGTGACGGACAAGATTTTTTGTCAATAGTTTGAGCCTTAGCCAATTGGTTCTATCTTGAACCTTTCAAGCCTGAGCAGCATAGATTCTGTTGGGATGTGAAGAACTACTCAACTTTCCAGTGCCCAAGCTGGACAGACATAGCACCAAAGATGGGAAGCTTCCCAACTCCACAATCAATAGTCTGTTTCAGAAGGAACCATGCAGATCTCCTGCAACCACCGCTGAAGTTGATAATTGGGTATGAATTGGTGGCGCGCCGTCAAACGCAACAGATGTTGAGGGCCATCAAGATGGGCACGAATATTTGCAGAAGTAAGTGGACGCAATCTAATCCCTCCAAACCCGCAGATCCCTGTCATGTTTGGCAAATGGTTGAGATGATTCACAATGACTTTGCACTTATCTTCCGGGGGTGGTTGAGCACCAACCACCAAATGTTGGTTGGTTTGCATGAGTTATCCTCGTGGGCCTTCCCCGATGATTGGTCCAAAAATGGATCTCAGGCCGAGAGGCATTCGACCGCATGCCAGAGGAGTTGGCTGAGGTGCTAGCAGGCCAGACCAACGTAGCCAGCTGGAAAATCCACCATATTGCAGATGAAACTACAACGATTTTTGATGACTTATTTGATGACTTATTAGAGGAACTGGCTGGTTCCAATGACTTTATTAGAGGAGCTGGGTGGTGGGTGTTTTGCGACGATTGTAAGCACAACTTTTCAGCATCGCCTACAGTTTTGACCCACATCCCAGCCAGATCCATACTCTCCACCGGTCAGACCATGCTAGTCAGGCGGTTAAGGGGTGGCTTAGTCCAAGGCCAAAGTGGTCCACTGAAATTCTCAAACATACCCTCTGGATTTTTTTCTGGTAATCTGACATAGCCAAGATGATGGAATATGATGGATTGTGGCCATGTTGAAACTTGGTAAATCATCTACAAACCGGTCATTTATCGTGGCTATGTTGAATTATCAGGGCCGATGACCGCCGACATCCACTGGCGCAAACATAGCGCCTCGAACAGTTTTTGTTTGTAGCTCAGTTTGAGGTGGTACTGTGGTAAAACCCATGTAAAACCATGTAGAACCCAATAGTAGACTAGCCCCAATATTACCATGCACGAGTGGTCAAAAAGCGTTCCGAGTATTTTCTTCTTGGGTTAACCAAGTTGTTTATGCATCCAAGTATCTAGCATAACTATATGACTTATATGACTATATGTGTATATGACTCATTTTTACCGGTTAAATCTCCATCTTTATTGGCTATACCTCAGCTATCACCCGCCCAAAAAGCATAGCAGGAATGGGCTTCCGCATGCCAGACAACAAGTGGAGCCTCGGCGAAGTTCTCTTTTTGGTCCATTTGTCAGTGGGGAAAAGAACGGAGCCCACAAGGACCCAGGGAGACAAGTTTGTTAGTTTTTTTTTGCAACAGGGATTTAATTGTTTTGATTTGATATTATATAATGAGGATCTGAATGGGAACTTGTGGCCAACAATATGTGATACGATATCGTTACCCTCCGGTGTCATCAAACATAGCTGGGAAAATCGTCGGACCGGGTTCGTTTCTGGGGATTTTCCACCAAGCCATGTTTGATTACTGAAGGGTAGGTGTTTATTGCTGCTGGTTTTCGGTTGAATCATCTAAGTTCTCTGAATCTCTCTGCTATTGGATATTCATGATTAATTACGGATTTCATGGGATATGAATGTTGACTTTGTAGAGATTTTATAGGGATGATGATATGATATTGAAACCATCACCAGTAGAGACTTAAGTCTCAAAATCTTGGATTTGCTGAAGAGGGTTCTTTTTGGCATTTTCCCATGGGTAAATCCACCAGGGAACCTGTAGGGAATAGAATGTTGCTCTGCAAGCTCGATCAAGAGCCGACAGGAAGAACGTGCCCATGCAATGGACCTGCAATTCTTGCAAGTTTTTCAGTATTGTACGCAAATGCCATGTCAGATAGCTGGAAATGCGTATTTTCCTGCTGATTATGTGCACGAATACACGTCACATATACAAATATATATATATATACATATAATATATATTTTAAAGGGCTGCCGCCCCCCTGCCGCCGACCCCAGAACAGATCTATACACAGGATGACAGTATTACAACTAGCTTGAACCATCCGCAGAGCTGTCCTAGAAAACTTTTGGTGCTTCATAGCAGCTATAAGGTTTTGTGAGAGCCTTCAATGACGTGTCATGGTTTGAGAAGGTACAGAAATTCACATCACGAGGCAACAGATTAAAACCTTTTTTGTTGACTTGCAACATTTAGGGTACATCTCAAATTATGCAAGCAAGCATAGAATAGCACAGAATTTCCCTCACCCCTTTCAGCTGAGCTAGTGGACAGCTGCATGTTGGCCAAGCTTTTGCTGCTGGAAGTTGACGATCAAGGACTTGTCCGCCAGCTCAAACGACAGACTGACCCCTTTCAGAGCAGCCCGGCAGGGAGCGCCGGGACACGTTTAAAGCCAGGCTACTGCCTAACGTTGCTTTCTGAACCCTGTAGAAAACTTCTCTGAAGGCGCCCGGCAGATGGCCAAAGTACGGTTGAAGGCGCCCGGCAGATACGGCGCTGGCGGCCGGCAAGCTGCAAAAGGCGCAAGAGGACCAGGATGCTGCCTACCAAAAGGCTGCAAAGGGCGCCGGGACACGTTTAGTACCTACTGTTGCTTCCACCCAGTGGAAAACCTCTCTGAAGGCGCCCGGCAGGTGCCAAAGTACGGCTGAAGGCGCCTGGTAGATGGCCAAAGTACGGTGCTGGGCGGCCGGCAAGCTGCAAAAGGCGCAGGAGGACCTACAAAAAGGTTGCAAAGGGCGCCGGGACACGTTTAAAGCCAGGCTACTGCCTAACGTTGCTTTCTGAACCCAGTAGAAAACCTCTCTGAAGGCACCCGGCAGATGGCCAAAGTATGGCGCTGGGCGGCCGGCAAGCTGCAAAAGGTGCAGGAGGACCGGGATGCTGCCTACCAAAAGGCTGCAAAGGGCGCAGGGACACGTTTAAAGCCAGGCTAGTGCCTAACGTTGCTTTCTGAACCCACAAGCGGATAGCTTCTTCGGGTCAGGAGGGGGAAGAGGAACAAATGGACCTCCGGAACCTATCCACACGGAAAAACGGGCATGACCTGCACAGAGCGCGCGCAGAAGCCCCACAACACATTACAGAGGGGCACGGGTGATTAAGGATAAATATTGATGACCAATGGAGGAAAAGTTTTTTTTCATTCAGTTCCTACACACACACATGCTCAGACGTCTTCTCGAATTGTGATGGGGAATGCAACAGTCGTGCAAAAACACAAACAACCAAAAAACACGATGAGATGACCCTAGATAGATGGATAGATAGATAGATAGATAGACAGATAGATAGATAGAGAGATAGAGAGATAGAGAGATAGAGAGATAGAGAGATAGAGAGAGAGAGAGATAGATAGATAGATAGATAGATAGATAGATAGATAGATAGATAGACACATAGATAGATAGACAGATAGATAGATAGATAGACAGATAGATAGACAGGCAGACAGATAGATAGAGAGATAGACAGATAGATAGATAGAAAGGGAGAGAGAGAGAAAGACAGATAGACAGACAGACAGACAGATAGACAGACAGACAGACAGACAGACAGATAGATAGATAGATATAATCACAGGTGACAATGACAATTTACAGTAAAGCAACAGCGATAGATCATATGCTACTCACAGCTGCGACTTAAATGCGCCCAGGGGCGGGGCTATATGTTATATGCAGGTACAGGAGTGTACCTCCACACTCCCTGCCGGCTGAATCACGCAGCTTCGTTGGCATGGCTATGGAAACAGCTGCCATGCCCCCTGCAACGAAGGATTTTTTACATCTATGCAGATGGTTCACACGCACACACACACACACTTGGAAACACCCCGAAGGGAGAAGATGAAATGAGATCAAATGAACAATGTCATATAATCTCATGAAATTCACAGGCGCAATTCCAAACTTCAAACCAACCACAAACCATAAATTGAATATGACATGACAATGAACAAAATCAAAATACAAGGCGGTTCTCCTCTTGGCCGCTTGCCATACGCATGCGCTGAATGCAAATTGGAAGAAAAAACAAAGCAGCCCCTGATCAATAGGTGGTCACAAGCTAAATGGGTTGAGCGTCCTCAATCCATGTCACTGTGCGACAGATGCGTCTTCGTTGGATGGAGATATGTGAAGCACACTCCATCCGACTCCATCCCCTTCCAGTCAGAATTCAGTGTTGTGTACATGTATGGAGCCCTTTATTGCAGGGCTTTAGAGACACACGCACATACATACATACATACATATATATATATATTTATATACACATAAAGAATATACATATTCAAGCACGTGCTTGTAAACCTGCGTGTTCAGCTGGCTGCTTTAAACTCACCATCGCCATGGGCCGGGAAATCAAGCACCTGCAAAACCGAATTTTGAGCCGCTCTCCCAGCTCACGAAAAAGGTTCCAAGCGAACTGATAGCAAAGATGCTGCAATCGACAAAACTGCCATGGACTTGTTGATCAAAACTGTGCTCATAAATCAACCCTTCCAAACAAGGATCGTAACGCACGCATTGCAAAACAAGAACTTGCGCGATGAGATGATGGAAGCGGAGTATACGGTCATGAAACCAGCAAAATTCAGACGTAATTTTTGTGACCTGGTGATTTTATTCTTGGAAATATTACTTCTAATGTCAACAGCGGATTGATAACCCACCCTCAAGGTCAGATGGACCTTGTAAGGTCTTTCCTAGTTTCCCCCCTTAATAAACGCCCTCTGAACCAAAAAAATTGAATATGGCTTGGAATCTATAGAAGCCAACTAGATTTTCGTAGAATTCCATTGACTGAAAGCATTGGCTGAAAGCTATGGGGGACATTGGGAATGAATGGGCGAATCCAAAGAAAAACACATTAGGGACATGGGGGTTGATTAGTAAGGGGCAAACCCTGGTTATCATTAATGGGGGACATGGGCTCATGGGGGGTACCCTTTGGGAGCTATCCAAGCTGATGATTTTTATAAAGAATTCAATTAGGAATCGATCATTTGGGGAATAGTTGTTTTTCAAATTTTCAATGATCAGCAGTGATGGGTTCTGGTGTTCATGAGGTTTCAACTTAAGTATAGCATAAGGAAACCATTGAAAATAAAGAGAGTTGGAAAATAAAACAAATCCATAATTCAATCAACTTAAACCTTAAGTATAACAATGATGACTTCTGAGATTGATGAGACATGATATCAAAATGAATTGGAAATAAAGACTTTTGGATATAAAAATGGGATTTCAGCACTGGAGGATGATTAATCATGTCCATGCCAAAAAGTTTTTTAATCCAGGGGTCCACCTGTTTTGAAATTACATTTTTTTTGGGGGCATCCGAGGTTGATTAGTAACGGGGGGTTGACCAATCCTGACTTGACAGTATTCGCCAACCTTGATGTTGTCCGTGATCTTGTTTTGCAAGGAGCTGGGGCTTGCCACTGCCGAAGCAACACAAAACCCTTCCCAAGCCTGCTGCCATCCTGGGAAAGGCACAGAAGCCGATCGGCGTGAAGCGGCACGCCGCCTTTGCGCAGCGGAAGCCGATCAACATGATCCGCTTTCGGCTGGCTCAGGCCGAGACAGAAGATGACTGCACCCCCATGCCCATCCTACCGAAGATCTCGAGGTGACGGAAGCTGGGGCGGGCAGCATCAGGAAGGGCACCAAGCGAGCCCTACGCAAAGGACTGCTGGGTCATGGTTTTGTAGCTGTAAAGTGGCCCTGCACAACCATAACTGCTGTAAAAGCCATACGCAGACTCATTTTTGTTTCTACAAAAAGCCTCCTGTCTGGATAAGGGCGCTGGGCGGCCGGCAAGCTGCAAAAGGCGCATGCTGCCTAGCAAAAGCTGCAAAGGGCGCCGCGACGCGTTTAAAGCCAGGCTACTGCCTAACGTTCCTTTCTGAGCCCATGGCCAAAGTACGGCGCTGAGCGGTTGGCAAGCTGCAAAAGGCGCAGGAGGACCGGGATGCTGCCTACCAAAAGGTTGCAAAGGGCGCCGGGACACGTTTAGAGCCACACTACTGCCCAACATTGTTTTCTGAACCCAGTAAAAAAACTTCTCTGAAGGCGCTCGGCAGATGGCCAAACTATGGCGCTGGGCGGCCGGCAAGCTTTAAAAGGCGCAGGAGGACCGGGATGCTGCCTACCAAAAGGTTGCAGAGGTCTAAAGCCAGGCTACTGCCTAACGGTGCTTTCTGAACCTAAAACTTCTCTGAAGGCGCCCGGCAGATGGCCAAAGTACGGCTGAAGGCGCCCGGCAGATGGCCAGAGTACGCGACTGGGCGGCCGGCAAGCTGCAAAAAGGCGCAGGAGGATCGGGATGCTGCCTACCAAAAGGCTGCAAAGGGCGCCGGGGCACGTTTAAAGCCAGGTTACTGCCTAACGTTGCTCTCTGAAGGCGCCCGGCAGATTGCCAAAGTACGGTGCTGGGCTACTGCCTAGCTTTGCTTTCTCAACCCATTAGAAAACAATCATCTCTGAAGTGTGAAGGCGCACGGCAGATCGCCAAAGTATGGCGGCCGGCAAGCTGCAAAAGGCGGGAAAGGGCGCCGGGGCACGTTTAAAGCAAGGCTACTGTGAGGGCGCCCGGCAGATGGCGGCGGCAAGCTGCAAAAGGCGCAGGAGGGCCCGGATGCTGCCTACCAAAAGGCTGCAAAGGGCGCCCCGTTTAAAGCCAGGCTACTGCCCAACGCTGCTTTTTGAACCCAGCGAAAAACCTTAGGCGCCCGGCAGATAAGTACGGCGCTGGGAGGCCGGCAAACTGCAAAAGGCGCAGGAGGACCGGGATGCCAAAAGGCTGCAAAGGGCGCCGGGGCAGGTTACTGCCTAATGTGTTTCTGAACCTGGCAGATGGCCAAAGTACGGTGCTGGGCGGCCGGCAAGCTGCAAAAGGCGAAGGAGGACCGGGATGCTGCCCACCAAAAGGCTCATTTAAAGCCAGGCTAATGCCTAATGTTGCTTTTTGAAGCCGGTAGAAATTCTCTGAAGGCGCCCGGCAGATCAAGCTGCAAAAGCCGCGGGCCAGGATGCTGCCTACCAAAAGGCTGCAAAGGGCGCCGGGGCACGTTTAAAGCCAGGCGTCGGAGGACCGATGCTGCCCACCAAAAGCTGCAAAGAAACCGCAAAGAACTGGCACCAACAGGTCGCGGAAGGAGGCAAGCGGCAGTGCCGGAAACGACAATTTTTCTTTGACGCGCCCCCGCTTCTCTCGCTGTAAATGTTTAATTTATTTTTTTCATATTTTAAATAAATAAATAAATATATAATATATATACATATATGTAAAAATTTTATATATGAATATATATATATATATATGACTTAATATACAGTATAAAATATACAATAATATATATATATATTCATATAATATATGTAATATATGTAAAACCTACTATATATATAAATATATAAGATATTTTTATATATGTACACACACACACATATTTATATATATACATATAGGATATACATATGTATATGTATATATGCGTATATGTATACATACTGTAGAAAGAACCACACATATTTCAGGTACACAGCGCGAGCAATCTCATTGTTGCGCATCTTCCCAAGACACCTCATAGCTCATAGCTCGAGGTTTGATGAGACCCGCGAGCCAGCCCAAAGCCGGCCACTGAAGCAGCTTCGCAGGCGTGTGATGATGGGCATGAGAGCCTCATAGTCCAGTTCACTTATACCACCCCAGCAGCTACACAAGCACACATGCAAACGGCAGAACACAGCAAATTATAATATTAAAACATAATGAACCACATACACACAGACACACACACGCTAGCATACGAATCACAAAAGCAAAACAACTTCGAAATAACATCACATATTTATAAGGTCACTTTATTATTAGGACTACAGGGTTGATGTTGTTAAACCAATATGAGTAATGGGTATCAGTCAAAACTTGTTCAGCTGAAATCTTATGAATCTTATGAATCTTATCAACCTTGTCAATATTATCAATATTATAAACCTTATCAATCTTATTAGTCTTATCAATCAACCAAACTATCTTTCTAATCTATCTATCTATCTATCTACCTATCAATCAATCAATCAATCAACAAATCTTTCTTATCTACCTTATCTATCTTCTCTATTTTGTGCATCTTATCTATCTTACCAAACTAATCGATCTTATCGATCTTATCTATCTTATCAATCCCATCAATTTTATCAATCTAATCGATCTAATCTTTTTAATCCTTTTAATCTTATCAATCTGATTGATCTAATCCAACTAATCTATCTAACCCCTCTATTTGTATCATTTTGCTCGACTTTTATTTTTTGCCTTTCTCCAGGCCGGAGCCGGAGCCGGCTCCAGAGCCTGACACCTCCGATGACGAAGCGGAAGACGGCAGCGAGGCTTTGGAAGGCGCGGTAAGTGTGCTGGTTTGGGTCTGGTCATGGCAAGGATGTCCGTGGAGGGATGTCCTTCATATAATGTGTGTATATATAATTAGATATATATATACAACTAGATATATATATCTAGTTGTATATATATATATATCTAGTTGTATATATATATATTATTGTATATATATATAAACTATTAGAATAGTTGTACGTAATTGCTAACATTCCATCAATACATATGTGTAAATCAGCAAACTAGCCATGATAGTATGGGTAATGGGAAATGATACATGATATATAGGGTATGTTGAGGGCCATATTCCTTGAAAAAAAAATGAGTGATGTCCGCCATTTCTGCGTGTGCCCATTGACGAGGCCAGGCGTTGGCAATTGGGATTGTATATAAGTCCGCAAACATTTTCGTCGATTGTTCAACTTGACTTACCCCAAAGGTCAGATGGTTGACAAAAACCACGTTGGTCAAATTCAGTCAGCGGTTTTGGGTTGCCTCAATGACCATTTGGGTGTTTCTGAAAATTGGGATACCCCCTCTTCCCCATTCCCATTTGACCAACAACTAACTTGGTCACTTGGAGTCCCCCAAGCTTCGGATTTTTCTTTGCTATACAACTATAGAATATAAAACCACTAGTACTTAGTTGATCATTGTTTTCTCATATTTTCCCCATGAAAAAAACATAACTCCCTTGGGCCCTTGGGGGTTTTCTGTTTGGCCTGAGCCAGGTCAACCAATCAAGGACTTGGAACGCTTCGCCAGTGAGATGAAGGCGCAGCCGGGTGCAGGGGATTCAGCAGTTCATGGCCGGGCCGTTTTTTTTTTTCCGTTTCTGTTCCTTTTTTTAAAACCTTGGGTGGAAATACCTGTGAGTGCCCCTTTAAACTCGTTTTAGGTTTCATGGATCGATACAATTTTCCTTGTCCACCAGTGCAAGTCTTTGGCCATGGGTTTTGGGTTTTTCAACCGTCACCGCCACTATCCACAAAATCCGCTACTTATTGGATATGTGTGCAAAACGTTGCTTATTTGTACGTGAGTCCAATTCGTATGCGATTGTGGGTAGGAATTTTCAACTTTATGTCATTATTGGACATGAACCTGACGCGGGTAGGCAGAAGGCGTGAAATCAACATCTTCAAAAATCTATTCATTATTCATGTGTACCTAAGAAAAATCCAACAGACCCCTCGAGCATACCCTTTCCCATTTGAATATGTTTTTTGAACGGATTCCTTCGATTTCGGATGTTGGAGGGATTTGTTGTATAGAAGGGAACATGTATTCAAAATTCATACTAGTAGAAGGGAACATGTATTCATCTTCAAAATTACATACAAAATAAATAGAAGGGAACTATTCAAACTGGCAGGTGTATTCCAAGATAGCATACCTATCCCCTCCAGCAATGTACATCTCCGTTTTTAGGTGGACTGGAGGTCGCTGAAGTTGAGCGTTGGGGTGGTCAGCTGCAACGCAGGCAATGGTTTACACGGCAGCGGAGGCGTTTCACCAACGAAACCATGAGAATTTTTAACAACCATGGACATACAATGGAAAGATACTTGGGATTCAATGGGGATATTTGTTGGGTATATAATAGGGATATAATTGCGATACATTGGATTGCCGGGATGTTTTTTTTGACCAACCATCTGGTTGAAGAAGGTATCAGACCCACTTATTTTTTCTATTTTTGTTGGTTGAGAATTCCAACGACTTGACCCATACCCTCAGACAAACACCCTGATTTTGGAAGCTATGTCATGACATTTTGAACGATCACGTCTCTGATTGGGGAAAGACCAGTGAACCATGTTTGATTGCTGGAGGGTTTGATCATGCTCTATGTAATAAATATAGTATATAATTATATAATTATAGTAAATATAATTTCGAGCATAAGCCATGTACATAGACACCAAAAAGATGTCGAAAAGTCAAATCCCACTGAAATAGTGACAACTTACTTTTCTATTCGAGGATTAGTCTATATATCGTGTAATGTTTTTCCACATCGACTTTTCATGGACCCTTGCCGCTCGAACTGGAGGTCTTGCTGCAGCCATGGCCGTGCAGCAGCTGCTACCAGCGGGCACAAGCAAGGTGCAGATCTATTTCCAAGGTTTAGTATGGGTTTAATGACATTTAATGGGATTCAATGGGATTCCATGGCTTTGATGGCATATAATTGGATTCAGTCGGTTTGACCATATTCAATGGGATTTAACGGTATTTAATGAGATTCAGTCTATCACCATGGAACAGTCATGAGATTTTTTAGTATGGACGTTTCCTCTATCAAATTTGACGTGATGTTTCTGGTGATTTTAAACCAAACTTAATGGGGATGATATAATAGTTTACCCATCCCAAAGGTGACCCAAATAATGTTTGCAGGTCACCTTGGGCTGGTTGAATTGGGGCTGACTCAGTCACCAAGCTGCAGTATTTGAGAACAAGCCCTTCTGAATACAGTATTTGTAAGTACATGTATACATACGAATGTATTTTTCTATTTGGGAATTGCAGACGCATTTTGAATTTTGCTGAATGCTCTGTAGGGGGATAGATTGTGCCTCTGGGACCTATTCATAACCACCAGCAATTTGGGCATTTTTGGCAGGACATTCATATCCAAATTGCAAGATTGCTGCGTCCAATTGTAGTTGGGAGTATACTAAATCCCACTATATTCCACTAGATCCCATTAAATCCCATTGAATATTTTCCATGTTTAATCACAAGTTTCCACAGTCAAAGAGCAATTCATAGCCATGAATTGGGGCCAAAGACATCATGGACAGACCCATGTGTCATCTTGGAAGTGCAGTTCCAGTTATAAGTGGATAAATACACACACATATATATATATGATATATTATATATGCATATCATATGTGTATATATATAACCATAGTTAAGTTGGGCTTTTTTCTCAACTTATGGGGCTTAAAATCACCATGGTTATAGCCACCTGAACTGCACCTCCAAGTAGTTTTTTTTTTAAAAGAAACATCCCATTACATCTCCAGTACATTCAAACAACAATTTCCATTCAAACATATTTTTTTGCTAGGTTACATATCAATTACCAGGGTTTTTATGGGTTGATATGGGTTTATCCATATCATCGATGTTTTTTTTGGCTTTTTTCATCGCGAATTTTCAACCGGATGTCAGGCCTCGGTGGTGGAGGACTCCGACGCCATGATGCGATGGGCCAAGAACTTCAAAGCGACGCAGGGCTTTAAGGAGACGCCACGGGTGAAGCGATGAACAGTGGCTGCTGTGAGGGCCTATTGGTCAATGTTGGCCAATGATATTTATGGAGATGATGAATGCTGGATATAACTAACTTTGCTCAGTAGCTTTCTTCACTATCAACTATCAACTTAATTGGTTACCCTCTGGTAAACTAACGTAGTTATGGAAAATCACCATTTTTCATGGGTAAATCAACTATAAAGGCCATTTTCAAGCTACGTTAAATTACCAGAGGATAATGCTTGTAGGATATAACTAACTTTGCTTCATAGTGTTTTTTTTTTTAACACTATCAACAGATCGAGACATATGATTCATAAATGATGGTTGGTTGATGATCAGAATCCATGAGCTGGGAAATTCAATCCTAACCGGCCAGTAATACGGGACGACAAACAAGGTTTTATTTCCACTGCTCAAATGGTGAACAAATGTATTTTTCGAAAAGGGTCGGTAAATCATCCCATTATCGTTTAAAACACATCCTGACTTAAAGTCATTTGCATTTGGTTTGAGGGCCCTTTCCGTTGCCATGTTTGATTTCCACTATGTGGCTGCGGGTCAGAATTAAACTCTCCAAATTGGTTGGGTTCTCATTCTAACATAGACTACTCATGTCTATTCCTGCAACATTTTCGGGATGGGAACAAAGGGTATTAGGCTTCTGACCCCAACTGAACCAGCAACTGAAGTTGCTGCTAGATCGGCAAAAATGGTGCTTTAAGCCCAGCAACATAGGTATTCAGACAATGAACCACCCCATTGAGGTGAAAGATCTGTGAGATCTCCAGAGGATTTGACGCCATCGGCGTGGAGCCTCTGGCAATGTTATCAAGACTATGGACTCCTATGGACAATCTCCATTTTTACCCTCTGGTAATTTAACATAGCTATTGAAAATGGCCGTTTATAGTGAGTTTTCCCATTGAAAATGGTGATTTTCCATAGCTATGTTAGTTTACCAGAGGGTAATAGGTAAATGATCCATGACTGGGCCATCTTCCATTCTTCCATAGCCATGGAGCATGGGCCCGGTGATGGGAAGATCTGGGAAGATCTGGGAGAAGATATGTGAAGATCCTACCCTGCAGTAATTCAACAAAATGCTATGGTATGTATATGTATGTATACATTAGTATAAATAGAGATGTATTACCTATCTGGTATTCAACATATATAGATGATTTACCTATCAAACAAAATGGAGATTTTCAATGGCTATGTTACCAGAGAGTCTCCACGTCCCCATGCAGGACTACAAAGTCCTGGAGCAAGGCAAGGCCATTTGCCACGTGCAGAGACTTGGTGATGGAACAACAACAAGAACCGCGGGTTGACAGTCGAAGCAACCAATTTAGGGCTTTACAGCAACATTGGATATTCTCTGGCAATCAAACATCGGAATCATTGGAAGGCCCAAGGGACTAACTAGGGGTACTCATTGCTTACTAGCGGGGCTGCTCATGGTGAAAGCATGCATTTGGGACCCCGCTAGAAATCTCGGGATCAAGTGGTCCATGGAACGGACCTTAGCTGTCAGCGCAACCTCCGGTTCGCTGAGTGCCCTAATCCTTAGGTTTCTCTCAGACTCCTTCTCATCTCAGTTCAAAGAGCCATTCGAGTGCCCCGTGTGTTCTGTTTGCCCTGAAGTGTCAGAAGTACTGCAGCTGCCTGGCCCTCTGGATCAGAAGAGTGTCTTGTTGGGGGTGTTGATAGGGCTGGCCATCGGTCCCACCATTGAGTTTTTGTACCTGTTGCGTCAGACTTGGCGCATCTGGGTGCAAACTCGACTGGAGAGGCTAGCCAAACAACCTGGGCAACTGTACCGCCTTGGATGAGCGCCAGCTCGGCCTCGCCTGCTGAGGTGGAATCATTGAGGAGGGAGCTGGCATCTCTTCGTGCCTTGGTGGGTGAGCTGAAACTGCGACTGGAAACCTTGGAAGCTCAGTCTGAGTTTTCTGTGGTGGGCAACACTCCTCCTTCCTCGCCAGGAACTCGACTGGCACCTGAGGCCTCGCCGGCTGGCGTCACTGCTTCGAGTCTGGGGCCTGACAGGGTTGCCGCTGCGCAGAGCATCGGCGCTTGGCTGAAACGTTGCCTGGCAGGGCAGCGTCGAGGCCTGTCGGGACGTGAAAAGATCCAGCAAGCCAGTAGATATTATTTGGTAGTGAGGGATAGCTCGGGAACTGATTATAACCCACCTTTAGTTTTTGCCTCTTGGAAAGATACTAAAGATCGGGTTTACGTTCAAGGTCAACCAGGTGACAGTATCTTTGTGGGGATTCCCACAAAGGAAGAGGGGCGGATCGCTCTGCTTGCTGCGGGACTTCCAGTCCCGGCAGCTCTTAACAGAGCGTGATGGAGGCCAGCGAGAACGGGTCCAGCGCACCTGAGGAGCTGGATCTGGATGCGGCATTGCTTGCCTCAGGCGAGGGCGAAGAGTTTGATAGAGAATTTCAAGTTTTGGTTTTGAAGGCCGAAGAGCCCTCTCAATCCACAGAATGCATTTTGATCTCTCGAGTGGACGGGAAGCTTCTCCTGGCAGTGCCCGAAGCGGCATGGCACAAGAAGAAGAAAGATCGCTCCATGCCTCCCTCAGCCCTGCAGAAGGTTGTGAAAGCCACGGTCGCTTGCTGCGTGGGGGGGGACCGCAACTCTCCGGAGGGCGAACCTACTCTGAAGATTTGGCTGGGACTCCTGCAGCCTGCCTGGGAAACACAATTGGCTGTGGAGGGAGACCCCACAGTGGTCTTTCCGCCAGATGGGAACGGGGTGCCAAAGGTTCCATTTGCAGATGCTCTCATTGCAGTTGCTCGCGACCACTTCACCTTCCTCACTGCGGGCGAGGAAGACCAGCAGCCGGGGGATGTCGAGACGCGCATGGGCAAGATCGAGGAGACTTTGCAGAGGATCCTGGCTCAGCTGCCTGCTCCAAAAGGGCCTGCGCCGACGGCTGCCCCATTGGCACCGGCGGCAAAGTCAAAGGCGGGTGTGCCGGGGAAGAAGCCTTCGGCCTCTCCAGCCCCTGCAGCGGGCCTGGATCCTACTATGATGCAACAGGCCTTGCAAGCGGGTGTCAGCCCGGAAGCGCTGGGCGAAGTGATGTCACTGGTGGGCAGCCGGCCGCCCGGCAAGATTGCACCTCAAGCTGTTCAAGATGCGGTGGAGCTGACGTCGGACGAAGACGGTCCGGAGCCTGTCTTGCCGCCAGGCGCATCTGGCTCTGCCGACCCTCTAGGGCACGCTGTGCTGCAGCTCTCAAAGATTGTGACCTACATGCATGCCGAGAAGAAGCAGAAGAAAGACCGCAGTCTGGAGGCGATTTTAGACCGGGCCGAAAGTGGTGCTCCAAAGGATTCTTCCAGCAGTGGCTCTTCCAGATCGCATGCGGCCGCTTTGCGCTCTCTGCAGCGTCTTTTGGTCGACAACCCGAAGTTGATCTACCAGGAGATCGAGCGGCTGATGGCGGAAGACTGGGAGCAAGGCAGCAGTTTACCAGGTGTCAGTCACTTGCCAACAACAGCCAGAGGCTGGCTGGAGCATCGGAGCAAGATCGGGGCCTTTGCAGGGGCCATCCGGCCCTCGTGGATCATGGCGGGGGCCTGGGACGACCTCCGGGCCGGTCACATCGACCGTGCCCGGGCACGCCTAGCCCTGGGAGTTGCAGCCTACGACCAGCAGGCCTACGACAAAGGCAGCTGGCTTCTTTCAGGCGAGCTCAGCCTAGAGAACCACCCTCCCTACGGGTCCTTCGCGTCCCATCCTGTTGTGGAGAGCTACGAGGCCCCCCACACGAAGCTGATAGATGGCAGATGGTTCGATCTGATCGTCTCCAAGCTGAAGGGCATCGCCACTTTTCAGGAGCAGAAGATCAAGTTGGCCCCGCAGAGGGGAAAAAGAGGCGAAGAGCTGACCGACGAGAAAGAGAAGGAGAAGCCAAAGAAGCCGAAACCAGGGAAGGGAGGGGGAAAGAAGGGCGACAAGAGCGCCAAGGCCGAAGATACGGCCAGCCCCAGTCCCTCCCCGTGATTACGGCTCATGAGGCTCAGGCGGAGCGTTGTTGGGGCGAAGACTCCAATGTTTTGAGCTCGACTGCCGAGCTGAATGTGCATGAAGGCACAAGGGTGCCTGGCGCTGCGGCTCCTACTTGCAATGTGCTGCAGCTCTGGAATTCGATGGCGAGATTGCTTTTGGCTTCCTCATCAAATTTTGCAGTTTTCCTGAAGTCCCTGCTTGGCGCAACACCTCCCGCAGAGGGAGGCACAGCCCAGTCACTTTGGCCCATGTCTCTCCCATACCCAGAGGTGTGGAGACCCGAGCTCAGCAAGAAATGGTGTTCTTTGGCCAGAAGAGCAAGGAAGAAGTCCGTCAACCTGGTGGTTGCTCTGCTCAACTGGCTGCACATGAGTCGGCCTACACGAGCTCCTGCAGCTTTAGCTTTGGGCTCTCGCCTGTCCAAGAAACAGTGGCGGGTAGTAGAGCACTTTGAGAGGCTCATGGCTGATGTTGCTGAGAGCGGAGACATAGACGCAGCGGCGATGGGTCGCTCGGCAGCCAAAGTGGAGGGCTTGGATGAGATTTTGATTGATTTGCAGCGGCAGGCCGTCTCTTGGACAGAGGCGGGGTATGAACATCGTTGGCGAGCCCAGAGCGGCGTTTGCACTGCTCGGCCTTGGGCCGCTGGTCATTGTCTAGCAGACCCTGGCGTTGTAGTTGGCAAGCTTAAGACAGGAGCACCCGTCCTGGCGAAGTCTGTGGACGCTACTAGGCTTTCTGTCCCAAACCAACCACCTGAGTTTGATCCCAGCGTTTTGTTTGGCTTTCCCCACAAAGAGGTTTACGTTGATCCAGTTGCTAGAGCTATGGAACCTGCATCGGCTGTTGAAGCTCCTCCAAAAGTAAGAGTTCACGCTTCTAGGGATCAAGCTTTGCAGTTTGTCAAGTTCCTGGATGACCGGGGCCTGCTGACTTTAGCTCCAGCTGAAAAAGTTCGGCGTTCTCATCTTTGTGGTGCTTTTGGTCTGGTGAAAGATTTGCACAAGGATCGACTTATTCTTGATGCTCGTCCTGCCAACATGTTAGAAGACACCTTGCATACTTGGACACGAACCATGGGGGCAGTTCAGGCACTTTTGCAACATGAGATCCAGCCTAACTTCAACATGTACTTCTCTGGCACTGATTTAAGGGACTATTACTATTGTTTTCGAGTAACATCGCGTAGAGCTTGGCGCAACGCTATGAGATTGCCTTTGACTCCTTCCCAAGTAGCCTCTTTTCAGTGTTTTTCAGAAGACATGTGGCAAGAACCGGTGCTTTTTCCATGTTTGAAGACTTTAGCGATGGGTGACAACAACGCTGTTGAACTGGGTCAGTATGCACATCTCAAAATAGGGTTAGATGCCGGTATTATTTTTCCCAGAGAGCTTTTGACAACACATGGCAGAGCACCAAGGGGTCCATTTTCTTGCGGTTTGATCATTGATGACATCATCTTTGCAGAACAGTTGAAAGCCCCGCCTTCCAGTAGTGCGCCATCGGGTGCCTCGCGGCGGCTCTCCGCTATGTGTGCTGAATATGAGCGACACCAGTTGCGGGCTCACCCGGGGAAGACCTTCCGAGATCAGACCCGAGCTGAGTTCTGGGGAGCAGCTGTGGATGGAAAGCAAGGTCTGGTCAGGCCTTCTCCCAAACGGCTTGTGCCGCTGTTGTCACTGACCTCAAGGGTGGCTGCTTTGGGTTTTGCTACAGTAGCTCTGCTTGAGATTCTGGCAGGATGTTGGGTCAATGTTTTGCAATATCGTAGAAGAGCCCTCTGTTTGTTAGATAGCATCTACACTGCTCAACTGGATCGGTGCCCTGACGATGTCGTTCGCTTGGCGCCCTGCCTGGTAGATGAGCTCTGGTCGCTAGCCATTGTGGGCCCCATTATAGCTTCTGACTTACGAGCCCAATCTATGCCAAAGGTGTTTTTGTCAGATGCGTCTGAGACGGCGCAAGCTGTGGTGGCGGCCGAGGTTCCTCAACCTTTTGCTCGAGAGCTTCAGCGGCATTGCCTTAGTCGAGGAGGGTGGAGTAAGCTGCTGTCACCTTGGAAAGTTTGGCTGAAGTCGCATGGGAAACTAGAGGAGGCCGAAGAGATGCCGTCTGGCGTGCCGTTGGTCTCTCATCCTCTCTGGCTGCAGTTGGCCAGATCTTTGCAGTTTGAGAGCGAGCTCTTTGAAAGAGTAAGGAAGCGGAAGCACATAAACTTGTTGGAGCTGGAGATCATTTTGAAGTTTGAGCGACAGCTCGCCTTGGAGCATCAAGATGTGAGGTACAACCTGGCGTCAGACAGTCAGGTTACCTTGGCTTGCCTTGTCAAGGGGAGATCAAGCTCCCCGCATCTGAATAGATTGCTGCAACGCAGCCTACCCAGTCTGCTTGGCAGCGGCATCTACGGAGGCTACGGGTTCATCCCTTCACTGGCCAACGTTGCAGATGACCCCACGAGGGAACATGAAATCAGAGCGCCAGTTGCCTCTCCTCCAGAATGGCTGCTGGCAGCGTTTCACGGGCAGTTTGAGGCTTTAGACGTTTGGCTTGAAGAACGCGGTTATGATCCTTTAGCTGTAGCTGAGCTTCCGTTTGCTGAAGGTAGGGCAGTTTCTAGGAAGGTGTTAGCTGAGGATTTCATTCCCCAGCTTAGAGCTGTGCAGAAGCCAGAGAGACTAGCTAGATTTGACCAGTTTTTTCCGAGTGCTGAGAGCGGTGCAGCAGAAAGCGCTGCTCGCACATATACAGCTAGAGTTTGCACCGAAGTTTCACAGACCGCTGCAGATAGCACAGTTTCGTCCACTTGTACAGTTTCTGAGTTTCACAGGGAATGCTTGCCACTAGATCAGTCTGCTGTTTCACCCCAGTTTGAGAAAACAAGAGTTGGACAAAATGGGGCAAAAGAGCCATCGAGCCTAACCAAAAAGAAGAAAAAGAGGCCACAAAAATCAGGAGACAAAAAGGCCCAATCAAAGACTCCTCGCTGTTGTTTCCAGCAGGGCGCCCCCTCTGCAGATGTAGCTAAGACTGGCTCCTATGAGCCCCCAGGGTCACGTAGGTCCGTACAAGCAGCCATGGCTAGATCTTTGGGAGCATTGCCCGAGCTGAGTGAGCATGCAAAAGAACTCCTGCGTCACTTCCCTCGTGCACAGTTTTTTGCGCCCGGGGGCAGACGAGCTGGGGCTGACTTCAAGCCCGCCTGTCAGGGAGTCCTGGATTTGTACTCTGGCGCTTCCGGGGTTGCGCGCTACATTAGCCGAAAATACGGCGTTTGGGTCCTGACCATTGACTATGAGCATGGGCCAGGGCAGAATTTGCTTGACACTGACCTCCAAGCACGGCTGATGAGCTGCTTAGAGGCTGGGTGTTTCGCTGCTGTAGGCGCGGCTCCGGACTGCAGTAGCTTCTCCAGGGCTGTGACCCCTGCCGTGCGTGATGCAGCAAATCCTTTTGGGCGGCCTGGCATTTCGGCAAACATGCAGGAGAAGGTGGCCAGGGGAAACCAGCATGCTCTTTTTATTTTTTCAGTTGTGCAGTTTTGTGATAGGAAGGGGATACCCTACTGGGTTGAGAACCCTGATGGAAGTTTCCTTTGGCTTTTACCCTACTGGGTTGAATCCTCTTTGGGGAGCTGCTCCTCCTCCTATCGCTTTGACCAATGCCGGTTTCATGCACCATGGCGCAAGCGCACCAGAGTTGCTACCAACACTGACCTTGCGGGGATCCGCGAGCTGTGTCAGGGAGGCCATCAACATCAAATACTCAGAGGGCGCAGCAGCGCTCATGCTTGCAGCTGGACACGGGTTGCTCAAACTTACCCCCGCTCTCTTTGCCGGCGACTGGGTGATGCGTTGATGCGGGGAGTGCGGCGCCAAGTGCAGAAGCTGGACATTGCGGGCTGTGCGCGGACCTTGCATGCCCGCATTGGCGAGGCCTCTCATCCGGGCCCACGCCATGCTGCGCCGCTGCAGCCCCGAGATCCAGCCGCTCTGGCAGATGTTCGCCTTATTGAACCGAGCACTGCCGCGCGTCAGGATCGAATGCTTGAAGAACTTGGTGCTTGGCTGCGCGCCCGGCTCAGCGAGGAGACTATCAACCAGCTCTACCTCTGCCCTGCTCTTGCTGTTTCTGTTTTGAAGACCTATGCCTTGCATTTGTTTGCGAGTGGTCGCAAGCTCTATGAACTCCGCTACACACTCATTGCTGTGCAGCATAGATACCCTCATTTGCGCTCTTCTATGGCCCCAGTTTGGGCGGTGGTGTCAAAGTGGGAATTGTATCAGCCTCTACAGCATCGAAAACCTCTCCCAGAGTTGCTCTTCAAAGCGATGTTTGTGCTAGCTTGTTTGAAAGGGTGGACAAGATGGAGTGCTTCGCTGCTTCTGGGTTTTGAGGGCATTGCAAGGATCGGAGAAATTTTGGCAGCTCGCCGTCATGACTTGCTACTCCCCAGTGATTTAGCTGAGACTGAGTCGGCCGTTGCCTTCTTGAAGATTCGCTTGCCCAAAACCAGATTTCGCGGTCGAGGCCGTGTTCAGCATTTGAAGATTCGCCATGCTGCCAGTCTCCCCTTTCTTGAGCGAGTTTTTGGAGCTTTGGACCCCTGCTTACCTTTGTTTCCTTTGTCAGCCCATGTTTTTCGGAAACGCTGGGATTTACTGCTGGATTTGCTGCAAATTCCTGGGGCACAACGCCCTACACCTGCAAGCATTAGAGGTGGCGGTGCTATTCTGGCGTATCGCCGTGGCGAACCGATAGCTGACATTTTGTGGCGAATGCGGTTGGCGTCCCAGCCGACCTTGGCTTCATATTTGCAGGAGCTGGCCGCAGAGAGCTTGCTGGCTTTTCTGGCTCCCACAGTGCGTCAGCGACTGATCCATGTGGCTTCTCTTTTCCCTGTTTGCCTGCAGTCTCTGGGATGATTCCTTTGGCGTACTTGCACGTACCTTCGGAGACGGCCTGTTCTAAGAGTGGATGGTCCTGAAGTTAGTTTCCTCCTTAGCATCTCTTTTTTTTTGAGCCGTTGGCTCCTCTTTTGAAGAGCTGCGATGAAACTTGGGCAACTTCAGAGCCATTACGATCCAGAACTTAGCAGAGCTAAAGCGGGACAAAAAGATCCGAGCGGTGTGCACACATGCATGGTGAAAGCATGCATTTGGGACCCCGCTAGAAATCTCGGGCCCTCCCACATGCCACCCGTTTGGATGGTCCTGAAGTTAGTTTCCTCCTTAGCATCTCTTTTTTTTTGAGCCGTTGGCTCCTCTTTTGAAGAGCTGCGATGAAACTTGGGCAACTTCAGAGCCATTACGATCCAGAACTTAGCAGAGCTAAAGCGGGACAAAAAGATCCGAGCGGTGTGCACACATGCATGTAAGTCCTTGGCATGTCCAAAATGTGAGGGGACCTGAAGACACACTGGTTTAATTTCAGTGGCAGGGCCATCCACATCAAGCATTTGATGGCCAACTTCAGCTGAGAACACCCACGATCCTTTTTTGGATACTTTACTTCCTGTGATCCCCCACCATGACCAATACATTTTGACAATATATGCATATTATTATAGATACAGATATACAGATATAGATATGGACACGGATATAGACATAGACATAAACATAGATAGACAGACGACTAGATATATAGGTAGGTAGATAGATCGATCGATAGACAGATAGAGGGAATAGGTGCCAAGTTGCTCTACTGGCAATGGATCTCAAACTCTGGACATGTCCCAAACTGACTCCCACAGACTTTGGGCTCCCCAAAGCAATCAACTGCTTCTTGTGCGCGCCCAGGAACAAGAAGGAAGAACGGCTGATGGCAGATGAGCAGCTTGGCTCTGTAGGGATGGGTGGAAAGTCTTGCTCCCCGAAATTCAGGCTTGCACACTGTGATGCAGCTGAGTAATGAGTTGAAGTGTTTGTGGATTGATTCAATGCCCAATGTCGAACTATTTCTGTTGGCATCAAACTTAGATAATGCCCAAAAATCCAGGGGGTCTATCCTTCAGCACTCTTTTCCCAACAACAAAACCGCTCAAATTCTCAGCCCAAAAATTGACTTCGCTGCGGCTTGCTGGTTCTGGAGTCGAGCTTCGGTGCAAAACAGTTGCTGTGGGGGATACCAGTTGGGTTTATTTTCACCGATTCCCGGCAGTTTCAATCTGGACATCATCTGTGACCATGGATCAGTGGGGTTGATAAATGTCCCATTAGCTAATGGTCTGCAATGGTTGAGATTCATTGTGGTCTGGATGTCCCTATGGTGCCTCTTCCACAATTGGCCAGTTTGGCCTAGCAGAAAAAGGATTCTGGACATTTTTTGGTGTGGTACTTCAATGTTGGTTTTTGGCAACGGAAAAGCAGCAGGATGGGAGGATATGACATGATATGACCCGACCCCCATGAGAATTATCCATTTCATACTCCCTTGCAACATCTTGCAACCAATGTTGCGGGCTCTTTTGTGAAAAAAATGGGGCGGTAGATGACTGCAGCTGTTCGCTCCATGATTCGTGGACGTTCCATGACGACGTATGATCCGAGGCATATCTTCCACGGGTCCTTTGAGGCAAGGCAGCGACCGTTCCATTCAGCGAACCCAGTAATTGGTTTTGAACCATCGTCACCAATTAGACTCTGGTAATCAAATCTTGCAATGGGAAATTTTTCTGTTCTTACCAGCTATTGTTCAGTAACCAAGAGAATCGAAGAGATATGGAAAACATTCAAACACCCAATCTTTCCTCAGCAAAGTGATCTGCAAAGGGTGGTTTTCCATTGTCATTTGCCAGATCTTGGACCTGATGCCGTACTTCCGCCTTGAAGAGAAGCCCCATCTACGAGGCCACCTGGGCCACCGATGACCTGTCCGATGAATGTGCCCTTAAATGGCAATTTGAATAGGGCAATTCTGATTTTCACGGGTGGATAAAAAGGGTACCTGTTGCAGGATCATCTGAATGCTCTGATTTTGTGGACGTTTGGGAGGTTTCTAAGGGTCCAACTTTGGCTGTAGCCATAGTCCGTTGGTGGAATCACTTCCTTGATTCATCAGGAACATTGCAGCCCAACATAGTGTCACCATCGAAGGATGAGGAATTAATTTAAGTCAATTTGTTGACTTAAGTTTTGGCTTGTTGATTCAACCCCATCCAAGCCAAATGGATGGGAAACAGTTGGCAACTGGGAGGATTTTTTATGATGTGTTTACCTGTTGATGAAATTAGCAGCTGGGTGCTTTAAACAACTTTTTTATGGTCTATCGCAACACATGGAAATTGGTTGTTGGTAACCTCCATTTTGGTTGCTGGTGTAATCTCCATTTTGTTGATTTCATCCCACTTTTTTGTTGGTGAAGTGCCAATTCTTGTTGGTTAAGTCCCAAATTTTTGATGCCTCGTTGACCCCCTGAGGCTTGGGTGATGACAGCAGCATGTCAGCCAAGGCCTTTCGAGCCATCCAGGCGGGAAAGTGCAGAGATGGATATCTGGAGAGCAAATGTTGAGGAATTGATGAGTCGCTCTGGTATATATATATATATACGCATGTCTATAGATATATATATATATGTGTATATCCGGATAAGAGTCATAATGAGGATGACAACATATAACAATAAAAATACATATGAATTACATATCTATAATATGTATACATACATATTATAGGTATGGTCAAGTATTAAGTGTGTATATGTATACATACACAAGCGCACACACACACACTCTCCCTCTCTCTCTCTCTCCAGTCTACACGCATGTAGAGACATGTATTAGAAATATATCTATCTTCCCAATCGTACTGGGCTCATAGTCACAGTTGAACGCCATTTTCGGATGGGTTTGGAGGATACCTGCAACCCATTGGTCCTCTGTTCAAAGTCCGAAACGTTTTTTGTTCAAACATATTTGTGTCAGTTGTGGGTGTGTGAAATTTGATTGTTCTGATTCACACTATTTCTTCAATGTACAAAATGTCCTGTAGATTTACAGTATGTGTTGTACAAGACCTACTGATTTAACTATCATCTGTTTGAACATGTATGAATTATCGAATTTGGATCTTATTTTCCTTAGACCAGCCACATCGTTTCTGCCATGACATCGCCAGGGCCACCTCAAGCAAAAGCCACCAGTAGTGCTGTGGGCGACCCAAAGGGCACTATGGGTGGGAATGGTGACCATAGAAACAACGATGAAATGGTGGATAGATCTTTCCGTAGCCTCTGGTGTCATCAAACATGTCAAACATGGCAAGCTGAGGTTTTAGTATGATTTACTATGTTTTACTATGTTTTACCCTCTGGTGAACTAACATAGCAATGGAAAATCACCATTCTTAATGGGAAAATCCACTATAAATAGCCATTTTCCATTGCTATGTTAGTTCACCAGAGGGTAATGGCAAGATCAACTACAGATGGAAGATTTTCCACGGCCATGATGGAAGCCTCCACCTCCAAGGCTGGAAGTGCCCGACTGGGACAGATGCCCTCAGCAGCAAGGCCGGTGTATCAAACCAACCATTTTTATGGTGATTTCATGGGGATATCACAGGTATATATATATATGGGACATATGACGAACAATATGATACAGCTTTGTCTGCAAATGTTGCGAAACCCCAAAGTGCCATGGTTCATAAAATCAGGGTTACCATCAACATGGCGATATAATGTGCATACATATAAAATACATGGAGGTAAAACCTCTGACTGTATCTTTGGATGAAGATGTATCAAGGCCCCAATGAATACAGTAGATATTTTCTTTGCCCCCCCCTCAGGTTTTCAATCTCTGCGCACTGTTCCGCACTGCTTGATATTGGAAACCGAGCCACCAAACAACCTACCTACTTGGCTAGTTACCTCTTTGCTCTTTTCCAAAGGTGCAACTTGTTGTCATTTTGTATCTAGCATATACACACATATACACACATATACACACATATACACACATATACATACATATATATATATATATACATACATACATACATACATACATACATACATACAGACATACAGACATACAGACATACAGACATACAGACATACAGACACTACAGACACTACAGACACTACAGACACTACAGACACTACAGACACTACAGACACTACAGACACTACAGACACTACAGACACTACAGACACTACAGACACTAGACACACTACACACACTACACACACTACACACACTACACACACTACACACACTACACACACTACACACACTACACACACTACACACACTACACACACTACACACACTACACACACTCCACACACTCCACACACTCCACACACTCCACACACTCCACACACTCCACACACTCCACACATGCACATCCATCCATCCATCCATCCATCCATCCATACATACATACATACGGTACCGTACCAGGGGGGCCTGGCACACACACACACATGTTATCCATCCATTTGTATCAATATCAATCCATTTGTATCAGTATCCATCCAGTGTATTAATATCATTTAATATCCATCCAACTGCATTTTTATCCATCCGGTCAAGTATAATGTCCATCCATCTATATATCAATCAAGCAATCCATTGATCCATTGAATCCATTGATCCATCCATTGATCCATCCATCCATCAATCTTCTCTTATCCCTTCCCGTCTCATCTCATTGAACCCGATGTGATCTTGATCCTGTCTTGTCACATCTTATCAGCATCGGCCCTCGGCCATCTTCCAAGGGTTTTCTCCCCGGAGGCGCCATGAAGTTCCTGAGCACCAACCTTCTATCTTACGACTACTACCATGGCAGATGTGTGGCCATGGATCTGCAACTTGGCATCACGTTTACTGAAACATCTCCCTATTCATGGGTTTAATTTTTGTGGGAGGTGATTGTAGGTTCTCATCTATGACACTATCATGCAGAAAAGACAACGATAAATACTACCATCTCTTATATAAGAATATATAAAAATTGTATATTATTGTCATCTCTTATACAAAGCTGTTAGTATCATATATATTATTGTATATTATTGTATATTATCTATCATCTCTTACTATAAATACTACCATCCTTTGTCATCTCTTTTATCATTGGCTGTTCTTATTGTGGTTGGTTTCATTTTAAGCTGCCGAAGGATGCCCGGAGTTGAGGCCTGAACCCTTGAGTGGAAGCAGCCGCTTGATCATCTTCCTTGTGCGGAAGGAGATGGGTAAGCTCCAAGGTTTGTTTTTTCATCCGATTGGGATGATGATGATGATGATGATGATGATCAAATCCACTTTCAGTATCATTCATACAGGGCTGACTCAGGCACCGGGCTGGAAAAGTATCAAGCCCCCTTGCCTTCGACTTCTTCCGGGGTTGACTTGGCAAAGTCCCCTTTACATGTTTGAACGCATCCTTAGAGGATTTGAATAGATTTGAGCGACTGGTGACCTGGTGAACCCAGAATCAAGACTTCTATCAAAAGTGTATGTTCTGAGAGCGGGTGTTTTGTACCTGTGCAATTTCCAGAATTTGTCACCTTACTTTATTGATGCTGGTGGGAAGGATGGATCTCGACAGTTGGGTGATGTGCAGATCGGACATGGATCACCCGAGAAAATTGGTATTGTGACAATCTCATTCGTTTTAGGTGATAGCAGTGATATCAGTCTTGACATGGCTGGATATGGTGTCAAGTTGGGCTGTCCTATGTTCCTACATAGGTGAAACTTCATTTTGCTTTGGTCAACCTCCCAAGCTCCCCAGGTTTTTGTTTGAATCTCCAGTGTTACTTTCACGACTTGAACTATGGATGGTGAGTCCTGATATCCCCACATACGAATTTTTATATCATAATGTATATATATATACTGTACAATATATATTATATATACATTTCACATAAATATATATGTATCACATATATATATATTTATGTATCACACATATATATATATATCATATATATATATATTTATATTTATATCGTATATAATTTATATATAGATATATCACATGGTATTTATATATATATATATATCATATATATATCATTTATATATGATATAATATACGCAAAAAATGTAATTTAATATGACATGATATAATATGATATAATATTGTAATATAATATAATATAGTACAGTATAATTTAATATAATATATAATATAATATCAGAATACAATAAAATATACTATCATATAACATGATATAATTTAATAAAATAAACTATAATATAACATGATATGATACAATATAATATAACACGATATGATATAGTATAGTGCAATATAATAAAATATGATATAATATTTTTCAATAGAATATAATGTAATATAATATAACATAATATAATATAATATTATATAATTTAATATAACATGATAGAATATATTATAATATAATATAGTATAGCACAATATAATATGATATAATACAATATAATTCTATACACCCAATTCGTCATTCCTATATCCTCATATTCCCTTATCCGAATGTCGTGGATATGTTTCAAATTCATCATTGGTTGTATATCCCATTATCTCGCAATATCCGCATGGCATCAATGGTGGGGATTCCAGATATTTCAGCTGCAGGACATCATGAGCGGCCAGAAGTTGCTTCAGACGGTGGGCCCTTTTTGGGCGCATGAAATCAGTCGGAAAATGTGGATTTATTTAACCATCAAAAACAAGGGAAACTTGGGATTTGAAAAACAAACAAGGGGGATTAATATGTTCAAAAACCAATAGAATGGGAATATAATGGACCATGTGATGGGAATATGATGGAAATATAGCCAACAAGATGATGAGATTTATGGGTTTACCCAAAAGGTCATTCCATTTACATAATTCTGTATGGTTGAGAAGCAGATTCCCAGTTCATGGATGATGATCCCCAATATATCAAGAGTCAAGAAGCACCCGAACCAATCATCAACCAACAGGAGTTTTGAAAACTGCTCACGTGGAGCCTTGCCAGAGATGGTGTTTGGAAGATTGTTTGAATACTGGAAATGGCAACATTGGGGTGGTATGTCAAACTTCCTTCCTCATTTGGACAGGACATTGATAATATAATATATGTATATAATATACATAATATATACATATCTGATCTATACAAAAAAAATGATCATCGTGCTAGTCATGAGTGGTTAGGAACCATGGTACGGCATAAACGGTATGCATGTTTTCTTTTGGGTTACAAAATTAGGAGCTTCTGAACCAGGAGTAATGACAGTTTCGTCGCTGGGAGATCCTAAATCTTTGGCTGATGGCTCGTGGTCAAATTGCAGACAAACCCTCCATACTTTCACTAAAATTAAAAGGTACCACCCCAAAGCTACCAGAGGGGCTTATTCAGCCCCTGTTGTTGGGGGTTATGATTGCAGGGGAATGCCCCTAAACTTCCATGATACCTAACCGTCACATGTCCATTTCATAGGTCAAATTCATCATTTTAGTGGTTTCAATCACCGATGAAAATAGTTCTTATCATTACTTGGTGTCTTCATTTTCTTTTGCTCTACTCCAATTTTGGCACTAACCCACCAGGAATCAAACATGGTTTGCTGGACAATTCCCCATTTAGTTGCGATGAGTTTCTCATTCAATCCTCCAGTGACAGGGGATTTCCCATTGTTACCACCCCCATTTTTGTGACCAAAAAAACACCACTTGGCCCATCGAAAGAGGTGCAACTCGCCAAGTACCTGCTGCTGAAGCTCCCCGCACGGCAAGTCGAGGTGGGCTGACTTACTCTCCGGGAATGCAATGCGGCTGGAAAATCAGCAATTTATGGAAATGCTCCAAGTAATGGAGGTGTTATAATCTGGAACATGTTGGTAATCACCAATTTATGGATGATTTTCCCAGCTATAAAATCTCCAGCTAGCTGGAGAATATCCAATTTATAGATGCTTTTCTGATTAACAGCTCCATGTACAACGAAATTTTCCAGCTGGCCACGTTTGATTACTAGAGGTAAATAACGATAATAATATACATGTTTTTTTTCATCCCTATGGCTACGGGTCAATACCTATGGGACTATTTTTGGAGGGTTTGACTTAGAACATTCAAAAACTGCATTTCCTTATGGTGAGCTACCACCTCTTGTTGCTTGGTCGTCGTTATCTCCATGCTGTTTACATTCATACATATGGGTTTGTCTGAAGGATATCGCCCCAATTCTGATGGATCGGTGATTAAATAGTACCCCCATTGTATAATATATATGTATATATATATATGTATGTATTCACACATATATAATTATATATAATTATATATAATTATATATATATATGATTATATATAATGATATATATATATTATAAATTTTTATACTTCAGGAGGAACACAGTTTATGCTTCTTGAAAGCTTGACAAAGCATCCATCTCGGTCAACCGCGGATCACATTTCCAAGTCCATTTGGTGTGGCAGGTGTGGGACGGTCAATTATCACCCGCTTTTAATTATAAGATTAAAAACTTTTTGGAGGGTGGAAATTCGACCGGGGTACGACAAAGCTCCATGCTAGGATTCTAAGGAGAAAGGGTGCGCAGAAGAAGAAACCAAACATGTTCACAGTCGGAAACTCAGCAAGCGCAACTTTTGTCCTACCTGTGTTTACATAGATACACACATATTTAAATACAAGTATCTTGACTTGGGGTAAAATCTTCAGGCACAGCCATATGACGGTTTGCCAAAATGTCTTTTCCTGGTTTGGTTGATAAATCGTAATTCCTTGCGTGCTCCTTCTTTTTGTGCCTTTAAAACCTTGACTGACCTAAGTAATCTGAAACCCTGCATTTTATCTTTCATGTTTGAAGCCGTAGCTAAAACCTGCAGTGAATGCTACCGCGCGTCTATATGAAGTGGGTGCCGCTGCTAGTTATTAGTGGTGGAAGTGGAATATCTGCAGAGCTGGTCGTTGCCTTTGCTGTCACTGTTGCCTTTGTCAAACAGACAGGATAAACTACAAGTTCTCTGGTGGCGAGTCACAGGTCAGCCAAAACCGTTTTTTGAAACTTTTGCTAGCGCATTGCTAGCGGGGACCTAGCGGGTAAAATTACGTACAAATTCGCAAAGTTGAGCCGCAACCTCAAAGATATAGGAAACTTGTTGAGTAGCACAGAAAATGACTAAGACATCCTTAGGTTTAAGGAACTAAGTGTTACATGTTGACTTCCCTTCATGTTGAAATAACAAGCAGACAGGAACACAAAAAAATATCCTTGAACATGGGTGTGAAAAAAAACTAGCGCAAACCTAGCGGGTTTGCAAACGCTGCCTTGCAGAATTGGTGAATTTAGTTGCGTGCCGCCTCATAACGAAGAGGAAAAACCACTAGGTTCACACTAATTATCAACAACTAGTACAAAACTTCTGTCAACTATTTTCGGCAAACGGTAATATGGAAACACACCCAAACACGCTGGGTCACCCGGGGTCACCCTGTGCAGTTGCTGGATGAGACCATTTGTTCGCCGGAGCGGCCGGAGCGGCCTGGCTTTTGTAGAAGGCGGATGGATGGATTTGGCTTATGATTTATGGGGGTTTTATGGTGAGTCACATGGTGATTTTTAGAAAAAAATACATATTTTTGTTCTATCAATTTATGGTAGGCGATCAAATCACCATTAATATTTCTGCGTCTTGGCGCAAGGGAGCTGAGGGCAGCAAAAAATATGGACAGTTGAAATGGTATGACATAGAACGCCTACAGAAGTCCTTCAATTGTTTTTTGAGAAATGTGACTTGATCCTGGCTGAAATATGATCTTCGGTAATCAAACATGGCAATTGCAAATCCCCTGTAAATAGGCGTTTGATTGGAAAAATACAGGAAGATCAATTGAAACTCATCTGCAGATAAATGGGGATTTGCCATTGCCATGTTTGATTACCAGAGGGTAGTTGTGGGGTTTTGTGGGTTCCTTTGATACCCGATTACGTGGTCAAGTACATGCAGAACATTCGATACTGGTATTTCAGAAATCCTTGCATTCCTTCCTGATACAAATTATATAAAAGTTGCTAGATGATATATCAGATATCCGTGCTGACTTCTCCGAATTGTGAACTGGTTTTATTTCCTTGGTGCGTGAAAAGACATTCAAATACCCGACCAAATGCGGTTGAAATGTAGTCGATTAATCTAGTCGCACACGTGTGCAACTTGCAACTTGGGAGTACCCAACTTTGGCCTAAAACTGGCAAAACAAGGATATAAAGACTCCCCCAGACAAGGATAATTTTTGCCGAGGAAGCCGCCCATTGGAGCCAGTGTGAAGAGAGCAACTTGGAACCGGAGGGCTTTCTGTTCCCTAAAAGGGGACACTCTGATCCCAGCAAGATGGATCTTTCAATCAACAAAATCAACAAAACCAGTGAGTTTGTTCAAGTGACAAACATGCTTATGTTGCCCAAATTTAACAAACAGCTGGTGAAAGGAAATTAGAAAGATCATCCAATCCTAGGACATTCTCCAACAGCCCTGTTAAGATGATTTTTCCGTGCAGAATTATTGGGAACGAGTTTCCCCCGACACTCATGGGCTTCAGTAGGCCCCGGTACTCAGAAATGGCAATAGGACATCACAATTTTTCCATGGGAAATGGAACATCATCAATTTTTGCTGGGGAAGAGGAATCAACGATTTTCATGGGAGAATCAACTATTTTCATAGAAAATTCATGGATTACTTAGTGACTTTAGTACCCACCACAGTGCCTTTTTGGCGTTGCTGGGTCCTCAGGATGGAGTCTATCGAACCCACCTGCAAGCGCAGCAGCCAGGTGGAAACTTCCAACATGGTCTCCATTTGGTGATGAGATCGATTCATTGAGCTGTAAATGCAGGAATAATCCTTTCCCCATACGAATAGATTGCTGGGTCCACACCAAATCAACGTTTCTCAGGGGGTCATCATTGGAGAAGGGATCGTATGTCCAAGACAATGTCTATCTTTGGTACAAACAATAGCTTAAAAACACCATTTTTTTTTTCAGTTATGTAAACCTAGCCATGAAGGAATGATCCTGCCCAGCGACACTCCAACGTGAAAAGAGGGTGTGGGATGCATTTTTTGTTCAGTTGTTTTGATGCTTATCATTCTTATTGTTATTATTACCGCCGTTATCCGTATTGGATGACATTATAATTAGTATCATTAGTTTGATTATTGTTACCATTATATATCATTACTATTTTTATTACCACCGAGAAAACATGGATGAACGATACTAATTATCAGCACGCAACATACTGATAGTCACAGGATCACCAGTTTACAATTACGTTTGTCTTAAAAATGGGATGCGCCCCAAATTTCACGCTTCATGCTTCATGCTTCTTGTTTCAAGCTTGATGCTATCATCATCATATCATCACATCATCACATCATCGTATCATATCATCATCATCATCATCTTCTTCTTCTTCTTCATCTCCCTGATTCTCGCTGAAACAGAGCAGTTTTCGATGGGGTATCCCCCAACTTATCATCGTCAACTCCCAGCCTCGTGCAGATCACTGGCTGCTGCAAGAGCCCTGGAGCAAATATCTGAAGAGACTGAACCAGGTGACTGTGGGGACGGCCCCGAGATGGCGCTCTCAATTGGGAATATGATGACGAACTAATGGATTTGGGAGGACATTTGCAGAAAAAACACATATAACCAGCTGACACACCTGTGTATATTCACCCGGATGAATGTTGACACCTGTTTTTTGGGTCAACTGAGGTAGTGTCAGTTTTAACAGAGTCACTACTGCTCCAAATCAATGTATGTGTTCATCGTATTCATCCGGAGTTGACAGACTCTACTGTTTCTCAGCTGGTTCCAGAATCCTCGAGAATGTGTATCTAAGGCCGCGGAAAATGATGCCATAGTGACGATAGTTCTCACCTTTGTGGATTTCGGGGAATGTGACTGGCAATGCCCTCTGGTAATTTAACATAGCTTTGGAAAATGGTCCGTTTGTAGATGATTTGCCTATTAACCATGATGATCTTCCACAGCAAACTGTCAAATTTCCAGCATGTAAACCATCACTTTTCAGGGAATAGCTGGCGTAGCCAGTTTTGACCCATATCCAGCTGGTGGTTCAATCCGAAACGGATTAGCACCACTCAGATGAATGTCATTGGTGAGGTGGTCCGGAACCTGTGGACACTGTAGGCGGTTGCCCTTCCCTTACAGTTGGACTGTTCCCTTTAGCAAACGAAGATAGCAACGGAACATTGCCCTTCTGTAGATTGCCTTGCTGAATTTGGGGACTTTACATCGCTACATTGAATTACCAGTGTAACCATTTGAGAAACGTTCCCCGCCTTTGCGGTTTGGCGACGGCTGCAGGTCTGCAAGTGACGCAGCTGCATTGCGGGGCGGGCTGAAACGTTGTCCAATAGTATTATGTTTGTCTACCAGGCACCTATTGGAAATTAAGGAAATCATAAATTTAGGAAACAAATACGATAAAATAGGATTGACCTCCAAAAACAATTGGAAAACAATGGGTACAAAAACAGGAAAACAAGTAGGAACATACGACCATGTGAGAAAATTGCGAGACACATAGGGGTAAAGGAGAAGGGGATGGTGTTGAATTCGTTCTGCTTTTAACAATTACCATCAATTGCCAAGGAATCTCACAAGAGACTGAGACTGTGGACCCCTGAACACTGAAAGTTTGGATGTTGGATCCCAGCCTGACAACTACATTGACGTCATGTCAGGTTGCCACCAATCATCCCACTTGTCCCATGAAAGTTTTTGAATCACTGTACAATTGTTATGTCTGAAGTACAGGCACATCCTGGGAATTTCTAACATCAATAGGAAACACTGAGGAAACAATAGGAATTACTGTAACATTTTTGCCAGTCACACGCTGTGTGCGTAATGATGTTAGCCCCAGGATTTTTGTTGACAGTGTTGCCATCCCTTCCTTCTTGGTACTATTTGAAACCAACACAGCAAACAAAATAATAGATTCCTTGTTTTGTGGGACACTTGCGCCGTTTCCAGTCCGTCCAATTTTCTCAGAAGTTATTGATGTGTCGATGTGTCACCATGATGCTTGGACCCTGATCCATGAAACCTGCACTGCCTCGAAATTGAGGCAGGCAAAGACAGAGAAGGTCGACTGGAGTCGCGTTTTGGTGGCCTCTTGTCAGGTGGTAGTGGAGTGAAGGCCCAAGGAATCATTCCTCGGTTTTTTTTGCTTTGCCATTCTTCCCGGCAAATATTCTGGTGCATGCAATGGTTTCGAGTTGGATCTTAGATTCCTGGTATTTGGGGTCTTTCATGTCTTTTCCAAGAGCTGGAGGCCCATGAAAATGAACTTCAAGACATTCATCCCCTGGGAGGGAATTGCGAGATTACATGTCTGCTCTAAGCACAAGCTTATCTGACATTGAAAGTCGGCATCAACTTGTCGAGGCCAGCCCCCTAAGATGAAATCATAGATGTCCTCTCCCCACTGGTAGCTGGTTGATGAAAAGATAGTAGCCCAGTAGCCCTTCTTTTTCGAAACCATTCTGGGTAGCCTCATCATCAAACACGAATAGCTGGGAAATCCCCTATAAATAGAGTTTTTTTTTTTTTAAGATAGGGAATTTTCCAGCAAACCATGTCTGATTGCCAGTTTCAGGATCTGGGCGAGGAGCAGACGATCTGGTCAGATGATGGTCAGCTTCCCAATGCAAGCAGCCCCTGGCCCCTTGGCCCTGGTTGAAGAGAAATCCACAGATTATATAGACGGTACTTAGGATGGTACTGATCCTGTCATGTCCCAAATCCTTGGTTTAGTGATGGGTCTGGATTTTGAACACCTGGAGGGGCCTTTTCCGAAGCACGATGTGTGATGTGGGTTTCTGGAAGTTGGGGATGCCAGGGGCTTTGATTCCAGGAAGGGGCTGTTGGGTTCACAGGTTGGTTGCCAAACTTCAACAGGATGATTTGCGTTGCGCATGAACATATCATTTCATATCTATTCGGTGTACAACAACATGCACAAGAATAAACGGGTGTGGCTCAAAATTCTGCATTGGTCTTGAACCTCCAAGCATATCCGAGAATGAGGGATCCACAACAAGAAACTTCAATAAACGATTCCTGGTTGGTGGTTGTGTATAGCCCTGCAAATGGGATGATTTTTCAGAGGCTTTAGCTGGTTGATAATTGGGGATGGTGAGTGTGGCATTGTGGATCTTACGAACTCTGGAAGCACATATACCTTTTTCTTAAGAAATAGTCCCTTTTCTTGGTGAAACAAACATGTGTTCAAAGTAAGAGACTTTTTTCCCCGTCCAATATGCAAACATAATTCAATGTATGAATGAAGATATAATCAAATATAGAATCTATCTCATCTATCTATCTATCTACCTATCTACCTATCTACCTATCCATAACTTCCAATTATTCTTTGGGGTGTAAGAATTCAACCTCCTCAGGCACTACTCTCTTGCGAAACACCGTCTTCTGCGAGGTGGGGGAGATGATGCTTAGGACTTAGGGGAGCCATTGCCAAATGGCCGAACTTTCGAACTTTCTCCAAGAAGACAATGCGGTAATAATAGCTTTTGATATCTTTTGATGTATCATTAGTATTCGATGAATATAAGTTCCGAAAAGTTCATCACTGATGATATATACATAATATTTGATAATGACTCAAACAATGGATCCAATTATGATACGATTTATCCAGGATGGTGAAGCAAAAAACCAGGATGTTTATAGTCGGAATTCAACTAGCTACCCCAGAGGTGGTACCCCATAGGTGGACCACGGCCTTTAGATGGCCGTGGTGTTTTGTTGACGTTGGGGGGTGGGTGGGGTGGGGTGGGGCATGTATCAACGTTCATGTGAACTTGCAGATGAAGGACATGCTAAGTTGTGGCTGCCGGCAGGTGCATGTATTCATGGGGGGGTGGGGGGGGGGGGTGGGGCATGTATTAACATTCATGTGAACTTGCATCTTGCTACACTATTGTAAGTTGTCTTGAACTTTGCACTGATACGTCATGCTATGCTATTGAAACTTCTCTTGGACTTTGCACTCATACGTCATGCCACGCTAGTGTAAGTTCTCTGGAACTTTGCACCCATACGTCATTCTACGCTACTGTAAGTTCTCTTGAGCTTTACACTCATACGTCATGGCACCAATGTTGGATCGAAGTCTTGAAAGGACTTCTTGCCAGCTCACATGGTTTTGAAGCACAAAGAGCGTGGACATTCCACTTTGCACCCCTCAGTGACACAATATGCGTTCATGTGGTGCTGGCGTTCTAGCTTCGAAAGTCCAGATCCTCAAAGGTTCTTGGAAGAACTGGAAGCGCTGCTCTGACCAAAAGACGACTAAAAACATGTGAGGACGGAGTAGTTTCAGGGTCGGCAAAAAACCCAAAAATGCTAGCTTCGTCTAGGCGAAATACCTGTTTTTGTGAAACTGCCCCAGAATACGGGGTTAACGACCTTAAAAGTCACATCACACAAATTCCTATTGGCACGAGCACATCAAACATGATCCATAACACCCCGTTAATCACAAAAAACCCACGGCCATCTAGAGGCCGTGCTCCTAGTTACACATGTCATTATTGCTGGCTAAATACCCCATTACATCAGTTCTTTTGTTGGTGAAATCCCATACTTGGGGGTGCAGTTCCACTTATTGGTGGGACATATATATATATATATATACGTATATATTTATTTATATATATATATATTTATATATTTATATATATATATTTATATATTTATATATATATTTATATATATTTATATTTATATGTATATATACACCTTATATATACATATTTACACCCCTATAACCAAGTGTTTTTAGGGGTCATATCCCAACTTACGGAGACCTTTGCCATGGTTATACCGTGTTATACCCATTAATAGTCACCAACAACACTTATTATCCATGATTAACCATTAACAACAAGTATTCACCATTATTCACCTTTAATAACCATTTCTAACCCCTATAGACCATTGTTCACTATCCTTCACCAGTTTAGGCGACGAGGAGCTGCTCTGCCGTGGCTACCCCTGCGAGATGGCGCTGCTGCGTGTCGTGGCGGAATACCAAACTAGATTTGGAAGAGAGATATTACCTATATATACAGATATGGACATACACAACCACATTATATATTCAACTGTAAAAATGTAGACTTAACTATGCATATATTCATAATTATATATCTATATCTATCTCTCTCTCTATATATATATATATATAATCCCCCTTACCATTTCCACTACTAAAAGGGTGAACACGTGCTTGGTACCATCCTCTGATTCGTGGATAATTCAAGCAAAAAAAATGGACCCGTGCACCAGTTTTTGTAGTAAAAGGGTGTGCACTGTATCTTGTAGCGGCGTTCCATTTTACACTCATAAATCGGAAACGCATTTTGTAGTGATTTATTTTGGGATGCGTTGTGTCGTACCGGAAGCCCTATAGCCCTCTTTTACCAGTCATGCTCGGTCACATGAACATATAGCTTGGACCCTCAGACCATTTTTGGCTCTTGACTCACGATTATTTCGTGGTAAGATGAGCCCCCAAAAAATCGAAAAAAAAACAAATAATGTAGAGACTTTAAGACGGAAAAATGGGACAGACTTGGTTTCAAAACCCATCAATTGAATTTGAAGTTGTGCGCTCAGATCAATTTTGCTGCCCCATAGCTCTGACGATTGCAGTTCAAAACCTCTGCGCCGTGCTTTTGTCACACCTTTTTTGGCCATCACATGCGATTATTAATTAAAATCTAAATCTGTCCCATGCTACTAGGTTCCTGCTCTTTTTGTCCAATAGTCAAGTTTCACCCCAGTTCAACGAATCCATGCTCAGAGTTCCTTCCACCCACAATGTCACAAAGCACAGATTCGATGCGTGATGTCCTAGTTTCTGGATGACTTGTGTCACGCACTGCATTTTGTAGTGACACACGCGTGCACAACCTTTTGTAGAACCTACTGCGCCCCCCTCCAGATAAGCCACAAAAAGTTCGAAAAGCATGCTTTTTATGTAGAGACTTTAAGAAGGAAAAATGGGACAGATTTGGTTTCAAAACAATCAATTGAAACTGAAGTTGTGCGCTCAGATCGTTTTTGCTGCCCCATAGCTCTGACGATTGCAGTTCAAAACCTCTGCGCCGTGCTTTTGTCACACCCTTTTTGGCCATCACATTCGATTATTAATTAAAATCTAAATCTGTCCCATTCTACTAGGTTCCTGCTCTTTTTGTCCAATAGTCAAGTTTCACCCCAGTTCAACGAATCCATGCTCAGAGTTCCTTTCACCCACAATGTCACAAAGCACAGATTCGATACGTGATGTCCTAGTTTCTGGATGACTTGTGTCATGCACTGCATTTTGTAGTGACACACGCGTGCACAACCTTTTGTAGAACCTACTGCGCCCCCCTCCAGATAAGCCCCGAAAAGATCGAAAAACATGCTTTTTATATAGAGACTAAGGAGGAAAAATGAGACAGATTTGGGTCAAAACCGATCAATTGAATTTGAAATTGTGCGCTTAGATCGTTTTTGCTGCCCCATAGCTCTGACGATTGCAGTTCAAAACCCCTGTGCCGTGCTTTTGTCAAACCTTTTTTGAAAGGTCAATTCTTGGAATCCGATGGAAATCCCAAGGTTGTATTTACTTGTGCTCGGCAAATACTATGACCTGGGCCCCTGTAGCATTTCCCCTAGTAAATGCTATGACCCATTTAGTAGCGAATCATGATTTTTCATGGCAACCCGTTTTCACTACAAAATGGTTACGTAAAGTCATTTTGTAGTGACCGACATTGGCTTTTGATCCATCATAAAAAACACCAAACCATTTTGTAGCAAGGGGGGTTGGTTCAGATTCAAGCATCATTTTGTAGTATAAGGCTGTGTTTGTAAACGGTTTAGTGGGCACAACTTCTCTGCAGAATGCACACAGGGATTATATATATATGTATATATGTACATATGTATATACATCTTTCTCTATATGTGCACATGTATATATATATATACAGTGATTTATATATCCGGAGGTTTAAGCAGCAGCATTGGCCATTTTGAGCTGCAAATATAGGGGTTTAGGGTGATCTAAAAATTAGATGCGATGATTAGCCAGCAGAAATCAGGATTTGACGCATCAAAGATTGACGCTTAAGCATGAGAAACATGGTCATAACTGGTAGTTTCAATTATATCTGAATCCAATTTGACGGGTCTCAAATTTGACCTACGCCCAAATCGGTAGGTGTTTAGGACATTTGGAGCCTGGAACAGATATCCATGAAGGAATTAGGTGTCCAACAAAAATGATCAAAAAATAGGAATTTTCCTTTTGCAAAAAAAAGGAACATATCCTTTTGCAAACATCAGGATTTCCGACCATAGCGGGTAGATTTCATGGCGATTTTTTGTGGCCAGTTGATCACAATGTCCCCTTGCAGTCACGTGCACGGGAAATGTCCTGAAGCCGAAGAAACCACAAGGCATTATTGAATGATGATATCTTCTTGTAGCCATGTTTGTACCTGATTATGCAGAAAGAACCAACCCTTGAGACACATAGCCACCAAGAGGCATACAACCAATGTGCTTGGTGAGGATGGCATCAATTAAGTTTGATATCCCTTGTCGATAGGGATCAGACTAGGCACTGCAAAGAAATTCCTGTTAAGAACAGTCAAGAACCAAGTCCATTAGTCATAGGTAACACTGCCACTGGCTCAGGTTGAAAACAAACAACAGAGTTCTTTCATTTTTTTGCCCCTGACAGAGTTTAAGGAAACCAATCTCCAGGTCCACCGCTGATATTTTCTTTGAGGATTATTGTTTTATTTCCTGCAAAACTGGTTCCTTTCCATTGGGGATACAGCTAGTATCGCAGTATCTCCATAAAGTTTATCATTGTGCATCATTTTGTTCAGTTGCTTTCGAGTTTTCCCAATATTTTATTTAAAACAAGCCCATGGATCATGGGGATTCAACGAGCTTCCAAACTGACCTCCGAATAATGTTTGGGTGTATGATGGATATGGCGAATCTGCACCATTTATTGGGGGATCACCAGACTGGGGGATTTTGGTTGAATACCACAAATTTCAAGCTACAGGCTTGGTACTCATGACACAGTCTAGTACACTGATATGTCAGCCAATTCCCGAGGCAAACAGCCCAGTTACAGGGCTGAAGGACACCCGAAATCGTAGGTAATCCCCAAAAATAGTTGTTTAACAAGCTTCTAAAAAGGGTTGATTGGGTTTGTCTTCAAATAGGGTACCAAAAATACACAGGCCAATCATGGATGATAGTCATTTTCCCTATTGGACATGCATTTTTTGGTTGTCAACCCTATTTTCAGACAGACCCATGTTCATGAATCACCCCAAAAAACATCCGATGAGTAATGATTACCCATGGTCAATAAATGTTATCATACATGTTACTGCCAAATCTAAGTCATCTGGGCTTAAACTTAGATCCCAACCCCCCCCGACTCAGCCCCCTTTCCTGGGCCCCCAGCCTTGGGCTCCAGGGCACCTGACAGATGATCAGCGTCGACATCTGGCCGCACGCAGTTCCAGCTCCGTCCAGCTTTTGGGCGCGTGCCTCGCGGTGCCTTGGGGAACAAATGGCGATTTTAAGGGATAAATGGTGGAAGCAACAAAAATTGAGATACCAAGAAATTTGTGACATGAATCATGAATGGAATATGTATATATATATATATATATTTAATTATAAAATTATATATATATATATATATGTATACATACATTGTACATATACACACATATGAATATTATCTACAGTAGTATACATGATTCTACTAGTTCATATTTGCGTCTCAAAATGTGCAAATTTGAGCTGCTCATGGCGACCGACTATGACGTTAATCCAGTGATTTTTGGGGCCAATGTGGGTATTGACCATAGTGAGTTTGTCCAGTTTTTCAGCGGGATACCAGATGTATATGGAATGTCTATTGTGCATATATCTTAGAATTGGTTTATCAGTAACCCCCTTTATTTGATGGTAAAACCATCTAAAATTCATGGTTTTATGAGTTTCCTGTAGATGTTCCCACCAATCAATCTACAGTAGTGGTTTAATGAATATATATATATACATACATATATATATATACATATATATATATACATATATATATACATATATCATATATATACATGTACATATATGTATACAAATATATATATATATATATTTACATATACATATATATATATATCGATTTATTTACATATATATATATTTATTTATTTATTTATTTACATATATATATATATATATGTATGTGACTGTATAATTGTGATACAAACACATCTCGCGAATCCTCGCATTAGATTTTTACTTGGCTTATGCAAACACTGGCTGGGTTCAAGACTCTAAAGTCTGGGCGGTATTACGCCAGTCCGTGAGCTCATTGGCCATAGGATGCTTATACACAATATGTATTGGGTTGTCCCCTCATGCACACTGCTCACAACGCTAGTTGATAGTGAAGGTTATTAGGATGAACCTGACGGACAAATCGAGCATGGGTGGAAAAAAATGGTAAAAGGGGGATACTGGGACAGTTTATGTTAATATGTCCCCTGTTATGGTTTTTATGTTGTTGTTCAATGTTTCTTCCCTACCTTTGATGTTTTATCTGGTGGGGTTTCTGGGGAAATTTTGTCCCTAACTTTTCTGGGGCTTTCTGTTTTTGGATGAGGGGGATAATTGTTGTTGCTGTGGTGGATTTTCCGGAGGGTTGAGGTACGGTATGATTGTATAGTTTGCAATATGTTGTCCTACACACTAGAACCGCTTTGACGTTCTCCAAGGTGTGCAAGTTTCGCACACCAATGTTCATTGACCCTGCATCCCAGTCAGAGAAGCCCGTCTCCCTAAATCACACAAGCCTGTGTTTTTGAAGCATGGCGTCTCGTGCCCCAACGGTTGCCTATTGTTGCAACCATCTGCTGGATTTGAAACTTCGTCCTCCAACATGTGATCACCAACAACGCGTCCATCTAGAATTGGTCCGGATGCCCAGACAGCCTGATGTCCTTGTGCTTCAAAGGTTTTTGACGCAGCATTGCTTGACACAGGTGTCTTCAGAGGTGCAACGATTTCCGTAGCCGTTGTCTCAAATGTGCAGGATGAAGGGGAACCGTCGATGGTTGCTTCCTATCCTGGTGGTGGTTGCCGGTTTGGCTGCCCTGCCGTGCTTTGTGGTGCCACAGCCCCGCAAAATTTGCAACGTGCTCATTATCAGCGCAACCTCTGTGCTTCCGGCACCAGCAATGGCCCAAGGAGGGAGTTTGTCTCCACCCTTGGACACAAGTATGGTGCTTGGAATCGTGGCAACTGCTACGTTTGCATTTGGCGTGATGTCGCTCAAGGAGAGCACAGAAAAGCAGGTGGCATCGCTCAAGGAGAGCACAGACAAGCAGGTGGCATCGCTCAAGGAGAGCACAGAAAAGCAGGGGGCATCAATCCGACTGTTGATACAGAACACCAAGGAGATCACCGACCAGCAAATCGAACTCTCCGAGCAGAAATTCAGGATGGAGTTCCAGGCCCTGAGCGCGGAGTTCCAGGCCCTGAGCGCAAAGGTAGGTGAAGTCAACAAGAAGGTTGACGACCTGGTTGAAGCCGTTGGAAAGAAGCAACGGTGGTGGTGATGTAAAGCAGCAAAACCTTGTTCTGTTCCATATTCAGCACCACACGCTGAAATAGAGCGGTTTGTTTCAGACACCGTTTTCACTTCAATTTTTTGACATCAATAAAGTAGCAAAAAAGCAGTGAAACAGGGGGGTCTGTTCCTATCCAACTTTTGAGTGAAACAGGGGGGTTTGTTTCAGGGGGTCTGTTTCCTACTAATCTGTTCATTTTAGGCTTCCGACGGACGGTTGAAACAGGGGGGTCTGTTTCAGGTCATTTTTGACCATACTTTTTGACCGAGATTTTCCATATCAAAATAATTGCCCGAAACGTGAGTGAAACAGAGCGAGGTTTTGCGTGTGAAGGATTGGACAGAAGTTGCCCTTTCCAGAAACCGAATTGGAGCGATTGAGGATGAAAAAAGAAACGTCCAGCAGATTTTTGGGATCGTGACGACTACAGCCACGACGTCCAAGACTACAACAAAGAGTTCACCTTGGAGAAGCCGTTGCTGGTGATCTACATGGCTGGTCATTTGGAAGACAAGCACAAATGTTTCTATCACGGTGACGAACTCGGTGTAGACAGTCGCCTCGACACTTTCGTGCTTCCTCCACAGGTCAACCATCTCGCTGACTTCCCAGCAGATCTCGACAAAGACTCCGTCTATGGGTCTGCCGCAGCTTGCACCTCGTCTGCACTCAGATTCCCGCACTGTTTGCCGTTCGCATGTTTGCGTCGACCGGTTTAACTCAGGCTTCGCAGCCATGTGGCAACACTTCCACTCGGATGCGGTGGAACCGCTGCTGGAAAAGTTCACTGGCTTTGTTCGTGTTCCTTTGGCCGATGCACCTGAATTTGAAAAGTGGTATGACGATCTAGTGGAGCAACAACTTCTTGCAAATACCACCGGAGACCGAAGCCGTGCCAGTTTCCTTTCGAAGAAGAAGACCAAAGTCTTGCGGTATGCATTGCCACGTGCTTTCCTGGAACAATTCTTTCACCGGGCAGCTGCGCGTGCTGCGCAAGAAGCTGTCCCGGATGTACACAACGCCATCGCGGCAGGCGACCTGAAGGTTGCAGCCTCTGTGTTGGACTTTCTCGACAACCAACGGCCGCACTTTCAAACATTGTCTGGCCAAAAGTATGTGGCTGCTCCGGCGCAAGCCAACCACCTACAACCCATGCCGACGATTGCTCCTGCTCCTGCTTCTGTTCCAAGCGCGCCCCTGGCCCCTGTGGATGCCTTTGGGGTTAGTTTTCCCGATGTGGCTTTGGTTGCTAGCGACTCTGTCGCAACCACAGCAACTACAGATTCAGCTGCCTTTGTGACAGCGGGCTTCTAGCTTCAAAAAAAACGGTGATTCCTTTGAAGGAAATTCATCAAATGTGGCGCCAGCTGCCTGAAGAGATGGTGCGTCGCATTGCCAAAATGCAGAATTCGGCCTTGTCAGCCTTGATTATCTTCCAGGCAATCGCGGTTACAGAAAATACTCGTGGCCCCAAGATCACCAAGGTGTTCAAGTTTCCGTTGTCCGCTCACCTCAATGCGGCTGCCACACCCACGTCCACGGCATTCAGCACCAACGATGCTTGCATTTTGCTAGCGAACGCCGAAAGTTGCTGCCGCCAGGTCCTTGCTTCGTGAACTTCGACTGATGCTCGCAGACAATCCTCCGCGTGAAGCCCCTTGGACTGTTCCGGAAATTCCTGCACAAGAGCCGCCTCCCAAACGTCAACGCACTGAGTCGCTTCTCCAGCTTCCTCCGGTCGCTCTCGGCATTGCCCCGCCACTGCCTCCACCTACGGTGCCGCCTTCCTGATGCTTCCACACAAGAGGACGTGTTTCGACATACGACATCTCGAAGTCAGACAGCGGTAAAACTTTCAGCATCAGCGCATTGCAGCTTCAAGTTTCAACTCTGTTTCGGTTGACAGTATATATCCTCTAGCTACAGCAAGTCTCGTTACTCAGTCGACAGCTTTGTTGTGTTTCCAGCTTTGTTGTGTTTCCACCAGCCGTCGGTTGTACCTACGCCGCAAATAAAATTGTTCTGGCTCCAGCTCCGCAGCCTTTTTCTACGTGTTTCCTCGCACCCTGTCTGTCAGTGCTCCCCATGTCTGCTGGCTATGGTGACTTGCTCGGCAAAACGGTGTTGTACTCGGCAGCGAACGCTTCCGAGGTGCTTCGTAGTCCATTGACCTTTTTCTCCCTTTTTAACAGTTTCTTTGCACGGCCCACTTCTTCAATTCCACCTCTTTGTCACTTTAAATCTGTATACTAGGCTTTTCGCATTTTGTTACCCACCAGCTTGCCAGGTTGTTACCAAAACAGTGCAATCCGTTCGTCTGGACGGCTACGTCCAACTCGGCGCCGACACTCTGGCAACTTACGACGCAGCATCGCCTTGGATTGGTCGGCGCCTCGGGTGTGCTCGGTGTGCTTGCCTGCACTGTTTTCTTTTCAAACAAACGTCTGCTTCTGCTGATTCCTTTCTTTTGCAGGACCGCAACATTACCGACTGCTCAACATGGACGCTTTGCATGCTCTTTGTTCTCCAGCTGCTGCGCCGGTAGCGACCCCTGGCCATGGGATGATAACAAATGAAGGCACATCGTGTCCGACACAATCTATCCATATCCTCATATTGTAGCTGCGGCAGGCCACCGTCACCATCCGGGACAACCTGCATCATATTCTGCTTCTTTTGTTCCCAACTGGCGTCTTGTTTCGACATTCTAAGATTGTGCTCTTGAACTGTTGCTGCTGTCTTCGCTTCTAATTCTTGTTCTCGTTGCGGTTGCTTGTTGTTCTTGTTCTTGTCCTTCTTCTTGTTCTTGTTCCTGTTCTTGTTCTTGTTCTTGTTCTGGTTGGTTGTTGTTAGTTGCTGTTGGTTATTGTTGGGTTGTTGTTGGCTGCTGTTCCTTGTTGCTGTTTCTTTGCTACCAAGGTTCGCTACAAACCGCAGCACGCCGCTGCTATCATTCGCTATGCTGCTCCAGCTGCCGCGCAGCGCGCGGTCAATGAATGGCATAACAGTAGTTATGCCAACCGGCAGCTAGTTGTAGAATACGCCCGCCGAGGCTAACCGAACCAGTTCGCACGGCGAAAATAGTTGCCAAGCGTGTGGCCGTGGTTGCAAACAAACTAACTCTCTCACCTTGGTCTGGAAAAGTTTGTTTCGGAAACTTAAAACTTAAAACTCTAGTTTTGAAACTTTTGTTTCTCAACCCTCGCCGACCCCTCCTGGAAAAGGTTTGTTTCACCCCCTGGAAACTAACTTTTCCCGTCGAACACCTTTGTTTTGAAGGCCCGAAACTATAGTTTCACCATCCGTCGAAAACGTTTGTTAACAAACGTTTAAAACTTTAGTTTAAAACCTTCTGGTCGCAACCATACTCCATCCTCAACAAACAATCAATTCACACTGAAAAACTACTTAAAGAAACAGAAGATTATAATAAAATAGATTATACTATAATGGACACTTCGCAGCAGATTGTAATAGACATTGCTTATGATGTCATCTCTTGATAGTCTCCTTGCCATATGTTATAATATTAGATTTTTAAAATTATCAGCAATAAAAAATATACTTAAAGAACAAATACCTATATATGATAAGAATAAGTAAGATGACTAAATTTGACTGTGGATGTCGTATAATGACAGATGTTATAACCCTGAATGGTAGAAACCAACCCGATTGGAACTACTTGCTCAAAACCTTCGTGAATGTTTGTGGCAAGTGCTACAAGAAGCAAATGAAATTCCAATATATGGAAAACAAACTTATGGAGATGGAAAAACAACGAATGGAAATGTTTTTGGAAAATGAGGATGAAGAGGAAGACACATACTTTGACCTGACAGAGTTGAAGGAACATCTCAAAACCCTCCCACCCAATGAAAGATACAAAGTGAAGGATTTTGAGAGGTTAACAAACCTCGCCAATGGACAAGACCCCAACAAAGGAATGAGTGAAATAGATATGGTCATAAGAGAACTGGAAGAGGAGGAAAGGGAAAATAAAAACCAACCCGAACCCGAAAACTGAACGAGCCCCCAAAAACTACTTAAAGAAAAAATGACTATATATAGTAAGAGGATGCTATTTACTTATAAAAACTGTGGATGTTGTAAGAAAGAAATGACTGACATTAAGGTTTTATTGAACAACATTTTTCCTGCTGGAATTTGTGATGAGATATGTAATTACAACCTTCACTGTTCTAAATGTAAAGAGTTGAATGATAAGGAACGCAGATATATAACATTCAACTATCATTTTGACCATTTTGAAGAGAAAGAACTAACAAGAGTTGAAAAACAAATGCATTTCTTTAAAACAAGGATGGAAAAATCACCTATCTATTTATCCAACACCGACCGAACAAATGCAAGAGTAATGAAGAGAGAAATAGATGCTTTAATGGACACCTATAAACTGAAGGTAGAATTTCAAAAAGATAAGATATATCTTCAAGCGATTAAGTCTTATGTCAAAAACCATTGGAAATACACTTATCATATTCTAAAGAACTTTCACGACCTTAATTTCATCAATCACAGTAAGCAACGAAGATGCTGGTGGTTTCCTAATGTTGAACTAACTTTTATGTTTAGAAACAGGGAGTTCAAGATAAAAGACATTTTGGAAATTTTCTTGCGTGAATACACCGAAGAACTGTTCAATGGTTATGAGAAATATTTGAACACAGAAGAAATAAAAGAGCACCTACAAAAAGTGATAAATACTTAAAGAAAAATACTTATATATAATAAGAGAAATTGAGTAGAGCAAATTTGAGGTTATAGATACAGGGAACATTGGAATATATGCTGACTTTGGTAGTGATAGTGAGGATGATGATTGGAAAAGAAAAGAAATAGAACAAGAAGATGAAGAGATTAGAGACTTCGTAAGATGTCATCCTATGCCTTCACCAGATGATGAGGAAGGAGACAAGTTGTGGAAGAAAGTAATTGATAGGATGAAAGATAATGAACGAGTAAATGGAATGATAATATATTCGTTCGTAAGATTTGACATTATGAAAAAGATGTATGAAAACTTAACTGATAAAAAAGTCATCATTGATTGTGGAAAGGAACTCAACCGTGATGGTGAATTCAACGCTATGATTATCAACCTAACTCTTTTGTCAATAGCGATGGATGAACTGAATGACACAAACAAACCTTGCTTATCACAAATGAGAGTAATTGAACACTGGTGGGATGGAATAGGAAAGTGGAAAGCATAAATGATTAATTCATAATATCTTAACAAAATATATTATGAAGTAATCACCTGCCCAAACACAAACAAAAACCACAACAGTCTAAACAAATCCTACCCCCATTCAATCCAAACATCAACAGTGAAAGTTAGGGGCAAAATAGTCCCAAAACCCCCACCACATAAAACATCAAAGATAAGGAAGAAACATTGAACAATAACATAAAAACCATAACAGGGGACATATTAACATAACTTGTCCCAGTATCCCCCTCTTACCATTTTTTTGTGGGCTATATCATCCAAGCAATCTCTCACATAGGGCTGCCAGAGTTGCTGCAGCGCGTCTATGCTTTCGACCTCGCGAACCACTGCAAAAACAACATGCACAATTGATATTTATCTATATATAGCTGAGTCTCTATGAGACATGTATCATATCACATCGTATAGTATATCATATATCATATTTCATACACCATACATCATATATCATGTATTATATACATGTATCATATACCATATATTTCATATACCATATATAATATATCATGTACATATATGTGTACCATATATCATATCATGTATCATATATCACATATAATGTATAATGTATCATATCATATATAATATATCACATGTCATGCATATATATATATATCATACTGCATATCACATATCATATATAGTATATCATGTATAATATATCATATATCACCTATCATCTATCACATATATATATATACATTTGTCATATATAATATAATCTATCATGTCAAAATGGAAGTATCATGTATATTTTAGGGTCCTTCTCCAGGGAAGTTCCAAAAGCATCGCACTGCGGCACTTGCCACGCTCCAGGCCTTGCTCAGCATGTCTGACTGGATTTCGTTCAGTGGGGGTCCCTGGTTACCCCTACCCCTGGGTCCAAGAGTCTGGGTCCACCTTATTTCAGCATTACTATCATGTGTATGTATATATATATATATATGTATATATATATATATATAAATACACACTGGTCTTTATGATTCGTATAGTATATAGTCATTATTCACGTTCTTGCTATTATTGATATTGTTGTTATCATGATTGTGGTTGTTGAAAATGTCACTATTGTTAGTGTCATCATGATCATTGTCTTTATTATTGATACCATTTGCTACTATTATTGCTATCGCCGCTTTTGTCATTCTAGCTACTATGCATTTGTATATATATATATATTGTACTAGATATTATTGCTGTTGCTGTCATTATTATTTTCTTATTATGTCCATGATTGGTACTACTATTGTTACTATTTTCCGTTATCATTACTATTTTTGAAAACATCATTATCATTGTTATCATTATGATCGTCATTTCTATGTTTTTTTCAGCCAGAAAGCGTCAGAAACCATGTTTGAGCCACCTTTCTGTCGAGGCCCTGCGCTGCAAGCCCTGAGCTTTCAGGGTGAGCTGCCGGATCTGTCGGAGATCAGCTGTGAGGCTACTCATCGGAGGGGCACCAGTGTTAAGAATCGATTTCTTGGGAAACTGACAAAGCACCGGATTTTGGGGCACCCTATTTTCAGTCAAAGCCCTATTAGGAATTTAAATCGCTATTTTGGGGGTAGCCTCCTCATGAATGGGGAAAGTCTATCCTGTCTGGACCTGGCATATCATTGTCAATGTGTGTTTGTGTGTGTGAACCATCTGAAAAGATGTAAAACTTCTACTTTCGATTTTATCTTGTCGGTTCTGTTTGCATTATTTCATTTCAAGCAGGGGGACCATCCATGTACTGTGAGCGATGGTCCAACGAAGCGGCCACAGTACATGCGGATATCACGGCTGATCACCGTGACGTACCTGCTTTTTCATGTCCATGTTTTGCAATGGGACGTGGCTAACCCAAGAACCACCAAGCCGTTCTCAAACAATTGGTTTTGCAATTTGCACGGTTGTCGCAATCTGTCAAGAGAGGTAACGACTTGGTTTAGATGGATTAGTTGCTTTTAGCAAGGACGTTGAAAGAATTCCTTCGCACTGTTTCTCGCTTCGAGTCATCAATCAATCCCTGTCAGGTTCAACTGGAGTGTTTTTTGCACGTAAGATGCATTCCACATCAGAATTCGCAATGACTGTTCTGCAAGTGTGTGATTCATGCTGGATTCGTCAAGGTGGCATGAACCCTTCGGGGAATGCTTTTCTAAGTACGCGCCTCGCATTTGACCCTACCCCAATGGTTTCGCATATGACCCTACCCCCATTTTGGGGTAGGGTCGAATGTGAGAAAGTAGCGTTTTTAGCTGCGAAAAGAGGGTCCCGGAGATGATGATGGTCATGATGATGGTCATGATGATGATGATGATGATGGTGATGATTATGACGATGGTGATGATTATGACGATGGACGATCATGATGATGGTGATGATGGTGATGATGATGATGATGATCATGATGATCATGATGACGGTGATGGCGGTGATGACGATGATGGTGATGATGATGATGATGAAGATGATGATGATGATCATGATGATCATGATGACGATGGACGATCATGATGATGGTGATGATGATGATGGTGATGATGATGATGATGATGGTGACGATTTTGATGATGAAGGAACGGCTGGCTGATTTGATAGCAATGAATGTAATTGTTCAAGGGGGGCTGGGTTGATTTCATACCAATGAATGTAATTGTTCAAGGGGGGCTGGTTGATTTGATACCAATGAATGTAATTGTTCAAGGGGGGCTGGTTGATTTGATAGCAATGAATGTCATTGTTCAAGGGGGGCTGGTTGATTTGATACCAATGAACGTAATTGTTCAAGGGGGGCTGGTTGATTTGATGCCGATGAATCTAATTGTGCAAGGGGGGCTGGTTGATTTGATACCAATGAATGTAACTGTTCAAGGGGGGCTGGTTGATTTGATAGCAATGAATGTAATTGTTCAAGTGGGGCTGGTTGATTTCATACCAATGAATGTAATTGTTCAAGGGGGGCTGGTTGATTTGATACCAATGAATATAATTGTGCAAGGGGGGGCTGGTTGATTTGATACCAATGAATGTAATTGTTCAAGGGGGACTGGTTGATTTGATAGCAATGAATGTAATTGTTCAAGGGGGGCTGGTTGATTTGATACCAATGAATATAATTGTGCAAGGGGGGCTGGTTGATTTGATACCAGTGAATGTAATTGTTCAAGGGGGGCTGGTTGATTTGATAGCAATGAATGTAACTGTTCAAGGGGGGCTGGTTGATTTGATAGCAATGAATGTAATTGTTCAAGGGGGGCTGGTGGATTTGATAGCAATGAATGTAATTGTTCAAGGGGGACTGGTTGATTTGATACCAATGAATGTAATTGTTCAAGGGGGGCCGGTGGATTTGATACCAATGAATGTAATTGTTCAAGGGGGACTGGTTGATTTGATACCAATGAATGTAATTGTTCAAGGGGGGCCGGTGGATTTGATACCAACGAATGTAATTGTTCAAGGGGGGCTGGTTGATTTGATAGCAATGAATGTAATTGTTCAAGCGGGGCTGGTTGATTTCATACCAATGAATGTAATTGTTCAAGGGGGGCTGGTTGATTTGATACCAATGAATATAATTGTGCAAGGGGGGCTGGTTGATTTGATACCAATGAATGTAATTGTTCAAGGGGGGCTGGTTGATTTGATAGCAATGAATGTAATTGTTCAAGGGGGGCTGGTTGATTTGATCCAATGAATGTAATTGTTCAAGGGGGGCTGGTTGATTTGATAGCAATTGTGCAAGGGGGGCTGGTTGATTTGATACCAATGAATGTAATTGTTCAAGGGGGGCTGGTTGATTTGATACCAATGAATGTCATTGTTCAAGGGGGGCTGGTTGATTTGATTTGATTGTTCAAGGGGGGCTGGTTGATTTGATACCAATGAATGTGATTGTTCAAGGGGGTTGACGGATGTCTGGTTTGAGGCAGGGTAAAGTGGGGTAGGGTCAAATGTGAACCGGGAAATGTTGTTTTTTTCCTGGAAGGGTTGCGTATTTTTGTTAGGGTAGGGTCGAATGTGAGGGTGCGTGCGGTTCTTTTGGAGTAGGGTCGAATGTGAGGCTGCGGCAGGGTCGAATGTGAGGTCCGTACCTTTCTAAGCAAAGCGTGGATGCAACGACCCGATGTCTGAATTTACACTTTTAATTTAGTAATTCATCTAAGTAAAGTGAAACAGTCGTTCAATTTTCAGCTTCTCACCGATCGGTCGAGTGAGTGTTGAAACAGCTTCCCGCTGTCTCTGGGAATCACCTTTTTCATTGAGTTGAGAGGGTTTGTAGTCGTCAGCTGCGCCAACAACCTTTTTCAGCGTTGCCCAAGAGAGTACGGAGCTCAACAACACGTGCATCATGTCACATGATCAGGTCAGGCTTCAGGACATGCTTGCAGGTATGGTGACTCTTCTTTTTTGGTCGTTGGTGAGGTTCAATTGTGCACGTAATTCACTTGAACACTGACAGCCGTCTATGGGGTTGACGTGACATTTAGGACGTGACATTTAGGCCTTTGAGCCTGCAACAAGGGGAAACTTGCACGATCGTGTGGATGCATCATTTCATTAACTAATCCCCCATGGGTCCCCTATTTCATGTGTTCTCCTCTCTACAGGTAGGTTGGGTCCTTCGCGTGCTGATGTAGGCGTAGGTTTTCGCCGTGTTAGGTTGGTTTAGGCGCTTCCGTCTTCCTCCGCTTTTCTTTTCCCTTGCCTTTTCAGGGTTTTCCCGTTCCGGGCCAGGTGTGTTGTGTTGGTGTTTGCTCCTTCCCTCTTCTTTTGCGTTCCCCTCTTCGCGTTCTGGTTATGTAAATTTCATTTCATTTTCATCTTCACCTCACTTTCATTTCCTTTCAATTTCATTTTCATCTCATTGTCCGGACCTTAATTTTCCCACCCTCCCGCGGGAGGGTGTGTGTGTGAACCATCTGAAAAGATGTAAAACTTCTACTTTCGATTTTATCTTGTCGGTTCTGTTTGCATTATTTCATTTCAAGCAGGGGGACCATCCATGTACTGTGAGCGATTGTCCAACGAAGCGGCCACAGTACATGTGGATATCACGGCTGATCACCGTGACGTACCTGCTTTTTCATGTCCATGTTTTGCAATGGGACGTGGCTAACCCAAGAACCACCAAGCCGTTCTCAAACAATTGGTTTTGCAATTTGCACGGTTGTCGCAATCTGTCAAGAGAGGTAACGACTTGGTTTAGATGGATTAGTTGCTTTTAGCAAGGACATTGAAAGAATTCCTTCGCACTGTTTCTCGCTTCGAGTCATCAATCAATCCCTGTCAGGTTCAACTGGAGTGTTTTTTGCACGTAAGATGCATTCCACATCAGAATTCGCAATGACTGTTCTGAGCAAGTTTGTGTTTGTGTGTGTGTGGAACTTCTGAACAGAAGTAAAACCTCTATTGTTGCTTCTTTTTCAGCTTTCCGGTTTCAGCAGGGGGCCCGTGGACGCATAGATGGCACGGGCCAACGAAGACACATCTATGTCGTCGTGCAAACGTACCTGCATTTTTCCGGATTTTCCGACATGGGAAGAGGCTCAACCCAAGAACCTCCCTGCCAATTTTTCAGCTTTACATGTCGAGTTGTTGCAATCAGCGCATGCGTGTTTTGGTTTGATTTTATCCTGTCCTGTACGGTTTTACAACAATGGCACTTTCTCTCCAGGTTAGCAGAGCTGTTTCTGCGCGCAAGATGCGTTCCAACTTCACAAGTCGATTAGCAATTCTGAGCAAGTATGTGTGTATGTGTGAAAAATGGGGCTCAACCAACAATTATGCTGGTTGTAATGGGATATGATGTATGACGGGATATGTCGCCAGCAAGATGTTATTTGGGGGTGTCTGAACATGGGATATTTTTTTGGGGGTATGATGATTCCAAGGGTGATTTAGTGATACCCAGTTTCAGACAAATCCAGTGACAGCCACAATAATGATCAATAAACAAATGATGTAAACACGTGGAATTTCCGATTGGCAGTTTGGCTTTTATGATGCCAACCAACCGTCAATAAAGCCCTGGTTTATCAGATGGGGGTATATAATACTTCTTATCGGAATCATCACTATTTTGCCCCCCCTATATATAGGTAAACTGGGGTTTATCAACCATGGGTTGACATGAGGCATCTCCAGTATTTGACATCTAAGCCTAGCTGGAACCCATGGCCAGAACACTCGCTTGCGGTCTTTCAAACGCCTGCTCCAGTCTAGGCCAGGTAAACCAACAGGTCTGGTAAGATAAGTGACTAGTGGAACCGACCTCATTGTAGATGTCCCCTTGTCTTCTGGACAAGCGGACCCCAAGGAGTTGCAGATTTGCCCCCCAACATCTGTACCATTATCCTTCATTTAAGATATCCCAGTGTGCCCTCACGCACACACAGATGGAACCACTTTGATGAGCTAGAAATTCGGGCCTTCATCCTCTTTCTGGCCACTTTAGGTGCTAACAAACCAAGCACAGTGACAATGAGCCATCAATCAAAATTAAACGCATCCCGGAAATTGTGAAAAATTGGCATAGGTACATCAAAACATCCCATTATACCATAGAAATCGCAACATTCGTTGGCTAAAAGCAATCCATGAATTTCATAAAAATCCGAGAATCCCATCATGTCAGACCTCAAGGTTAATTGATGAATGGTGAATGTCTGGATGGGATCGAAGGATTGTTTACCATCATTCTTCTTTGATAATCAAAGATGAAACCGGCCACCAGAGTTAGCACGATCCTTGGCACTGCCGCCTTGCGACCCGTTTCAGGAGCCCACTTGTTCGGAGTTGAATGAGGAGGATGAGTCGCAGGCCCTGAAAAAAAATGAGAGCGTGGTGGTTTCAAACAACAAAAATAGATGCATAAATCCAACCGTTTGGGACATTTTTTACGGGATACTTTGGAAGAATCGATGTATATGTTATCAAAGGAAGTTTAGTAGTCTAAACTCCGTGTTACGAAATTTTGAAAAGGTGAAGACATGAGTAGTAGTAGTAGTAGTAGTAGTAGTAGTAGTCGTAGTAGTCGTAGTAGTCGTAGTAGTCGTAGTAGTAGTAGTAGTAGTAGTAGTCGTAGTAGTAGTAGTAGTAGTAGTAGTCGTAGTAGGAGTAGTAGTAGTAGTAGGATAGTAGTAGTAGTAGTAGTAGGAGGAGGAGGAGGAGGAGTAGGCGTAGTAGTAGGCGTCGTAGTAGTAGTAGTAGTAGTAGTAGTAGTAGTAGTAGTAGTAGTAGTAGTAGTAGTAGTAGTAGGCGTAGTAGTAGGCGTAGTAGTAGGCGTAGTAGTTAGTAGTAGTTAGTAGTAGTTAGTAGTGGTTAGTAGTAGTTAGTAGTAGTTAGTAGTAGTTATTAGCAATTAGTAGTAGTTAGTAGTAGTTAGTAGTAGTTAGTAGTAGTTATTAGCAATTAGTAGTAGTTAATAGTAGTTAGTAGTAGTTAGTAGTAGTTAGTAGTAGTGAGTAGTAGTTAGTAGTTAGTAGTAGTTAGTCGTAGTGAGTAGTAGTTAGTAGTGAGTAGTAGTTAGTAGTAGTGAGTAGTAGTTAGTAGTAGTGAGTAGTAGTTAGTAGTGAGTAGTAGTTAGTAGTGAGTAGTAGTTAGTAGTTAGTAGTCAGTAGTAGTAGTAGTAGTAGTAGTAGTAGTAGTAGTAGTAGTAGTAGTAGTAGTAGTAGTTATAGTAGTTTAGTAGTTTAGTAGTTTAGTAGTTTAGTAATAGCGGCCATGGTCTTCTGCTGGGTTGGGCCCGTTGAGCCCGTTGGGCCCGTTGGGCCCGACGACAATTTGGGGCAGTCGGGCGGTCTTGCTGTATGAGGTTCTTGGAAGGGGATCTTGTAGGGATCTGTCGAGATCCTCGAAGATTCCTGATTTTGTAGAAGTCCTTGCGAGGAGATCTTGTGGATATCCTAGTGAAATCCTTTGTTGTAGAGGTGTTTGTGAGGAGATCTTGCGCACATCCTGCTGGAATCCTCTAAAAGATATTTGCGCGAAGATCTAGAAGGTGCTTGTATGAAAGTTTGCAAGGGAAGCCTTCAAGAGGTTTTTTGTACAAAGATCTTGTCAGATCCCCTCTATCAGGTCCTTCTTTGACGACTGTGTGAAATTCTCATTGAGGTCCTGGCTTGAGGTCCTGGAGTTTTTGACGCTGTTAGGGCCTTTTTGCCGGGGATGATTGTCTCTATTTTTTGTTTGAAAAGGTGGAGAGCCGTGCAGCGTTTGACAAAAGGATGAAGCGAAGCTCGGGATTTTTTTTGTGGCCGCTGTCTAGGAAAGAATCGCAGAATCTGCAAACGGCACCGCTTGACAAATCATACCCCGAGTGGATCCGAAGGATTTTGTTTCACCGGTTGGTAATCTGGTGGAATAATATCTGTAACCAAATGAAGAACAGAAAGCATGTGCATTAGTTTTATTTAGCCATGGATGACTGAAGCGACGAAAATTGGAAACATGATCCCAATGGCGTGCTGCGATCATACATTTTTTCATCTACAACCAGATGTAATTAGGTTTAAGATATACGTAAAGAACAATCACTCAATAAATAAATATTTATGTGTGTATACGCATTAGAAAGATACAAGATGCATACATTTATGTATATATACATATGTTGAAATACGGCTAATGCCTGGCTTTAGCCTGGCAGGGCAACGACGATGGGCAACGAAGCGTCATCATCATCATCATCATCATCACCATCATCATCATCATCCCTTGTTGATCTTTCCAGTCGAAAGCAAAAGCAAACGAGAGTGGGATTTTTTATAATTATTCCTAATACCTGTGGTGATCTTCCCACTTGAATCTAAAAGTTCAAGCAGGGTGGGCAATTATGTTTCTAAGGGAGCTTTTATTCCAAACACCTATCGGTGATCTTCCCAATTGAATGTAAAATTCACAGGCGGGGAACTTATATGCCAAATAATTACCCTTGTTGATTTGCCTGCTTGAATGTAAAGTTGAACAGAGATGTGATTCTAAATTCCTAATACCTTTGTTGATTTTCCCCATTGAATATTAAGTTAGCCGGGGGTGGGAATCTATATTCCCAGTACCGTTGTTGATCTTCCCAATTGAATGTAAAGTGTAACGCCAGCACCAGAAGGGATGATGGGTTCATTCAGCGCCACGGCCTCTCGAGCCCGTCGAGCCCGTTGAGCCCGTTGGGCCCGTTGGGCCCGTCGGGCCCGTTGAGCCCGTGAAGCAGGCCCGTTGGGTCCCGTTGGAGCCCGTTGGGCCCGTTGGGCCCGTTGGGCCCGTCGGGCCCGTCGGGCCCGTTGAGCCCGAACCTAGGAAAGGACTATTCTCTAGCAGTAGTAGTAGTAGTAGTAGTAGCAGCAGGAGGAGGAGGAGCAGTAGTAGTAGGAGTTGTTCTATGACATGGGTCAGAAGTGGTGCATAATTAGTTGAGGATGAAACCATGTCTTCTGCACATAAACGCCGTAAAAAGGGCTGTGTTGCTTTGCTACTCATGCCATTTTAAGCATGTCGGATCAGTTCAAAAGAGAACAGGCTGCAGAAGATTCTAGGACGCCGTTGCCTCCTCCATTGTTTGTTTGCCTGGGGATCTACGATCTTGCGCTTGGTTGGAAAGCCTCCGCGCCATTGCTCCTGCATATATGTATATATGTAAAATAATGTGCATACACATTAAGACGTAACATATTTATGTAACTAGCGTCAAGCAACAATATGGTTCTTGGGTGTGGTAATTGAAATGTGGAACTAATCCCTCATTTATGGCAAGTGAAGTGGGGAACATGATGTTTTCTAGGGGTCCCATCCAGGATGGACATCCCCAATGACAACGTGAACTTTTGGATGAGGTATGATTAGGAATTCTTTGTTCTTGAACCCATTTGGTGGTACTGTCTGTATCTTCAAATTTTGGGCGAACCCCTGCAGTACTTTTTTGTTTTCTCTGTGAAACAGACGTGTTTGTGCGCGCCCCCAACTTCTGATATATTTGTACCTATATATATATATATAGATAGAGAGAGACACGTATTTGTTTTCACCCTATTTGTGATCATGACCCCCTGTTTAATCCCAAAAGGGGAGAAATTTTGATGGTGGCACACCAGTCAGATCCGCAAAGTGTCAAAATTGACAAATATTTTGGAAAGTTCCTTGGTGTTCAGTTTTGCAATTGTTTCACCTGCCAGGTCATTCAGAGCCGTGCGGTGCAGTGCTACAGTTTGCTACAGCGCTTGGTGGAGCAGAAATCGAAGAGCAAGGTTGGCTGGAGAAGCAACGCAGGGGGCCGAGTTGAGGGGGTTAACCAACCATTTTGTGGGTTTCAACATGTTTCAACCAACAAAACATGCGATTTGCACTCAAAACTGATAGCAGAACCTGCAGATAGTGCAGTTAGTAACAGTACCCATGGTTCCAACGGGGTTGTATGTAGTTGAGCACTTGACATTATATATATATATGTATATCTGGGCAAATTATAGTGACCTCACTGTGACCTCACTGAAGTCAAAGTCATGGTTAGTAAGGGGAATCATCCCCAAATGGCCTTACTTCAGGTTAGTTTATTATTATTATTATTACTTTTTTTTAATTACCCATATATATATATACACACACACATGTAAGATGATCACCACGTTGCCACTTTTGAAGAACTTTCTGACTGTGGTTATCACCCACTGGACAGTTAGGATGGTCATCAAAGCCGTCATGTGTTGTTTGGGGCATCGTTTTCCTACAAACATGGGAATTGATCACGAGTTGGACGGAACCTTGCACACCCTCAAACATCTAGTTGGACTACGGCCTTTAGACGGCCGTGGTGTTTTTTTGACGTTGTGGGGGTGGGGTGGGGTGGGGCATGTATTAACGTTCATGTGAACTTGCAGATGAAGTACATGCTACGCTTTGGCTGCCCGCGGGTGCATGTATTCATGGGTGGGGTGGGGTGGGGTGGGATAATAACGTCCATGGCTCTCTCTTTCATAGGTCATGCTGCGCTACTCTTTGTTCTCTTGAGCTTTGCACCCATGCGTCATGCTACGGTACTGTATGTTTTCTTGAACTTTGCAGTCATGCGTCATGCTGCGCTACTGTATGTTCTCTTGATCTTTGCATTCATGCGTCATGCTACGCTACTGTATGTTCTCTTGAACTTTGCTCTCATGCGTCCTGCTACGCTACTGTATGTTCTCCTGAACTTTGCACTCATGCGTCATGCTATGCTACTGTATGTTCTAATGAACTTTGCACTCATGGGTCATGCTACGCACCCCTCCGTGACACAATATGTGTTCATGTGGTGCTGGCGTTCAAGCTTACAGAGTCCAGATCCTAAAAGGTTCTTGGAAGAACTGGAGGCGCTGGCTGCTCTGACCAAAAGACGGCTAAAAACATGTGACGACAAATTACTTTCAGGTTGGCCAGAAAACCCAAAAATGGTAGTTTCGTGTAGGCGAAATGACAGTTTTCGTTCTACTGCTTGTGAATAAGGGGTGAGCGACCTTAAAAATAAAACCGCACAAATTCCTTTTGGCACGAGCACATCAAACATGATCAACAACGTCCCATTGATCAAAAAAAACCCACGGCCATCTAAAGGCCGTGCTCCTAGTTTCAGGGATTTCCATTTCATTGGGAATGTCATGGTTAACCGATGTTAGCTAATTGTTTGGTCAAGCATGGTGAAGCGGCGTGGTTCGCCAATGGTTGAAACCATACGCCATTGGTGGTTTTTGCCACTGCTCATTCCTCATGGTCAACCAACGGTTCGCGAGGGCAAGAAGTCAATCCTGGACAAGGCGGTGTTTCTCGGCTGCGAGCTTGGTTTGGGATGATTCATACCCTAGGATCATATGGATGTGTCTGAAAATCGGGATAGATTCGGATAGATACCCCAATTTGTGGCAGTTTTAACTTTTAACAAGGAAAAGGCTGATTCACCATCAAATATGGTGGTACCCTATTTTCAGACAAACCCATGTCGGACAACAGATGACAACAGTCCTTTCTCCATCTACTGTTAAGTCCGCACTTTCATGAGAAAAATCAAAACATTGAGGTGTTGTTTTTTAGGTCAATTAGAGGTACTTTATGGTGAAAAAGTACTGGACAAGTCCCGAATACAATGAGAGGATCACGAACTGCTCTGTAAACTTTTTGCAAACATTTTAGACTCTCTGGTTAAAATGCCGGATAAATCCTTACTACCATCCATATGAAAAATTGCAACAACTAGTAGGGGACCCAGGGACCCAAACTTTTGGAGACGTTTGCGGTTTAGGCAAAGTGCCATGAAGGAGCGAGTTCAAGAGATCAAGGGCAGTAAGGTGGGAATTTTGTCGGGTTTCCATGGGTTTTTGATGGGACATGGATTATTTTTCTGATTTTTATTGGGAAATTTGATGATTAAATGGACGATTCTCTAGTTTTTTGATGGGAAAATGGAGGGTATGAAGGATACACACTATGTGGGTTCCGACTACTGTACTTCGAAATGGGAGTATGGGTCAAACCTATTTTATTGTCAGATTCGAAAGGGGGGGAAGGAATGTCCGCAAACACCCGCCTGCTATTTTGATGTGCAAACCTGGGTACCAAGGAAATATTCCACCATCAACACATCCTACGGTCCTACGATGACCTCACCTTCCACTGCCATATCTTCTTTTGGTATCCATCTATGGATGACTTTTCCTCTTTAACAGGCTAGAAAAAGGGATGGTTTCCAAAGAGTTGGACACCTGACAGGCACCATCATGCCAGTGTTTTGTAGTGCTTTGCTGTGGGAAAGCAATGGTTGGAACCTCCCCCATTCTTGGACATGAAGATTTGTGTAGACACGTGTGAATGGATGGTGATGGTGAAAGGATCTGTAGAAGACAACGGAGTGTGCTTGGGAGGTTTGCCAGCATCCTGCGCCACTTCAACATCGATCATCGATAGATGAGCCATTTTCCATAGCTATGAACCGGAGGGTAGTTTTGAGCGGTTACTCACCCACATCATGCATCATCATGCCAGGAGGGCTTAGAGCAGGAAGCAGACAGCCTGATGAGGACCAAGCACTGAGATGATTGGAACGGGAACAAGTAACACGTACAGGACCTAACCATCGGGGGGTAGATACAATACTTTTAGACCCAAAACCATCTCAAAACAGCTCGAACACGGGACATGCGTGGCCATTGTTTTTGCTCACCTAGAAGGTACCTGGATGGAATTGGTTCAACTGTCCACCTTTGAAGGTCCACTCCTTTGGGTGGACCCCTATTGGCAGGAGCTTCGATGACGAGATAGTGGACCTGGCGGACAGGAAGCGAAAGCTCACGTACTACTTCTCAAGGACAGGTGGGTGGCATGGCTCAAGAATAGCGGTTTGCGCAGAAATTGGAGATTTATTATTTATATCTTCATTTTGGTATTTTTCTGATTATTGGGGAATAATATTGAGGTTCTAATCCATATCCATTGGATTTCGGTGTATATGTGCCATACCTATACGGGTGGAGGGTCATCAATCCATCAACAGGAATTTATATAGCCATCATAAGGATTCCTATAGCCATAGGATCCATGTATGCTATATATGGTAACATTTACCATCAATATACCCCCAATGTTAGCATATATACCATACATGGATCCTATGGGTTATGGGATGGATGACCATAAAGGATTATATAATCCCACATAACTTGACCATGACACAGATGGTTGATGGTTGCAGTCGCCCCTCTATGGCTCTGTGGCCTTAGTGGTGTCACAGGGGCGGGCCTGGGGTAGAGAGGTAGAGAGGCCAGAGAGTAGGTAGATTTGAGTTTGTACATGGGGTAGTACTGTAAGTAGAATTTAGGTAGCATGTACGTAGTATCCAAATTTATCTAGGTATGGTAGATTTCCGGAAAGTACTCGGCTAGTAGTAGATAGCTAGCAAAAAGGAGAAACTGTCGTGCCAGCCGTGTTCAGCACAAACGCATTCTGACCAGATGATGGTGACCTCAAACAGCCTCAGCCTAGGATTGGTTTTCGTACGAGGAACACATACCACAAATGGTTTTCTTCAGATTGCTGATATGTTATTTCAAGCATGTAACTTGCCCAATTATTGAGTAAGGTATGTAACGTGCAGGGTCCCGAGAATCACTGGATTCTAATCCTGGAGGGTGGTGCCCGCAGTTATAGGTTTACAACATTTTTATCACCCTCATTAACTATAAACCCATAAATCAACATAGTGAAAAACAATAAAACACATAAGTAAACATCATTAAACATCCCATTTTAATTGTGCTACGGGGCACCACCTTGTCGTTAGGGCTTGCGACTAGTCGCCCCTGCGACTGGGATGAGTGCCACCAGCAAGGTGCTTGCCGTTCGACCATGCGATGAGCTGGACATTCCAAGCGGCCATCGAAGGGCTACTTGGTCCTGGGGCCTGGGGGTTACCCATCATTTATAGATGGTTTTCCCATAACAACTCCATTTATAGGGGATTTCCCGTTGCCGTGCTTGAATGCTGGGGGGATTTGTTTAGGGAAGTTAGTTGGACTTATGACCCATGAGAATGGGGGTTTATTATTCGGTTTTGCATTTGCAAAGATGTTTTTTTTGCAAATTGGGTATACCCATATGCAAGCCTCCTATTATGGATAGTTACAGTAATGGTTTATAGCATTTGTTTTGCACACTAAGAAAGACTGAGATTGTCCGAAAACTTGGCAATTTTGGTCGGTGTTTGGATGTGTTTTGGGCTAGTCAGCTAGTC